GAAGCTCGCTCTCTGCCGTGCTGTCTTCGAGTCTCCCGATATTCTCCTGCTTGATGAGCCTACCAACCACTTGGACGTCAAGAACGTCGCTTGGCTCGAGAACTACCTGAAGAACTCCCCTTGCACTTCCATCATGGTGTCTCACGACTCCAAGTTCCTTGACAACGTCATCCAGCACGTTGTTCACTACGAGCGCTTCAAGCTCCGCCGTTACCGCGGTTCCCTTTCCGACTTCGTCAAGGCTCACCCCGCTGCCAAGTCCTACTACGAGCTCGGTGCCTCCGAGATGGAGTTCAAGTTCCCCGAGCCCGGTTTCCTTGAGGGTGTCAAGACCAAGTCCAAGGCCATTTGCCGTGTTACCAACATGTCCTTCCAGTACCCCGGTACTCCTAAGCCCCAGATTCACGGAATTACCTTCCAGGTTTCCCTTGGTTCCCGTATTGCCGTCATCGGTGCCAACGGTGCTGGCAAGTCCACTCTCGTTAACGTCCTGACTGGTGAGCTTATCCCCACCTCCGGTGAGGTCTACCAGCACGAGAACATCCGTATCGCCTACATTAAGCAGCACGCTTTCGCCCACATCGATAACCACCTCGATTCTACTCCTTCCGAGTACATCCAGTGGCGTTTCCAGACCGGTGAGGACCGTGAGACTATGGATCGTGCCAACAAGATCGTCACCGAGGAGGACGAGAAGGCCATGGACAAGATCTACCAGGTCGAGGGTACCTACCGCCGTGTCATTGGCATCCACTCTCGTCGCAAGTTCAAGAACTCCTACGAGTACGAGATCTCTTGGTCTCTGGGTGACAACATCGGCATGAAGTCCGAGAAGTGGACTCCTCTCATGTCCGCCGACAACACCTGGTTGCCCCGTTCCGAGATTATCGTCTCTCACCCCAAGCAGGTCGCTGAGGTTGATCAGAAGGAGGCCCTCGCCTCCGGTCAGTTCCGTCCCCTTGTCCGCAAGGAGATCGAGCAGCACTGCGCCAACTTCGGTCTCGATGCCGAGCTGGTCTCTCACTCTCGCATGCGTGGTCTCTCCGGTGGCCAGCGTGTTAAGGTCGTTCTCGCCGCTTGCTCATGGCAGCGTCCCCACCTTATCGTCCTTGACGAGCCTACTAACTACCTCGACCGTGACTCCCTCGGTGCCCTTTCCAAGGCTATCAAGTCTTTCGAGGGTGGTGTTGTTATCATTACTCACTCCCGCGAGTTCACTGAGCACCTGACTGAGGAAGTCTGGGCCGTCAACGACGGTGTCATGACCCCCTCCGGACACAACTGGGTCCAGGGTCAGGGTTCTGGCCCCCGTCTCGACGCCAAGGGCGACGATGATGAGGACAAGTTCGATGCTATGGGTAACAAGATCACCGTTACCAAGAAGGTCAAGCTGACTGGTATGTTGTATTCTTTCTCACTTCTACATAATGATCAATTGCTAACTGGCTTTTTACAGGTTCTGAGCTTCGCAAGAAGAAGAAGGAGCGTGCTGCCCGCCGCAAGCGTGGTGAGGAGGTGTTCTCTGATGAGGATGACCTTTGAACATCCCAATTGGATGTTTAATGCATATTATGATCGTTTGATGAATTTCATATGCTTTGCTAGGACAAAATACATTTCAATGTTCAAACATTCGTTATTTTAAGTTTTCTATGTCTCGTAGATTGTATCCTGTAGTTGGCCATGTTGACCTAAGTCTACCTGCTTCATTGCCCTTGCCTATGTATGCATGTAACTTGGTTTTTACATGCATTGCACATCTTATGGTTTGCTTCAGTCCTGCATGCTTGAACTTCCCGTTCTCATCAATCTCATCTTTGATCTGGTACCATCCAATATCACACTGTTCAAACTTTCATTCAAGTCCTAACCAGGTTTCTACTCATTACCTTGGCACTCCCATAGTTCGGTTAGATCTCTGTTCGCAAACACCAGCACATGCACACCCATAAAACTACCTGCATGAGATGTCTGGAATTCCCTACTCAGCAAACATAGACCAAATAGAATCACAACCCCTTCAATTTTAACATTATCATTGCGGTAGTATCGACAATCCATCTAGTCCCGCCATTATCACCTAGCAAATACCTAGGCCCACCTTCAATCCCTTGACGCACTTTAGGGCTTTGTATTATATCAACCAGCCAAGTGGTCGAGCAGTAACTCAGCCATCACATCTTCCTTGGTCTAGTGGTGATGATTTCCGCTTGTCATTAAAACCGATAAGCGCGGGAGACCGGGGTTCGATTCCCCGAGGGAGAGATTTCTTTTTGCTTTTGTCATTATTTTACGGATCCTCTGAGGATTAGCATTAGAGTATGTATGTTGTAGTCCTCAGGGATGTCTGGGGGGCACTCGTCTACTTTTTGTACGGCATACCTACGGCTGGATTAAAAGGAGACTGAACCCCTTTCTGTATTTACTTCATAAGGACCGGCGAAGACATATTCATATGCTTTTTATATTTTGTATATGTGAGTAGTAGGTCAAGTAGAAACTGGGTCTCCTATTGACTCATACTACGTAGGAATAAAGCTGCATGGGTCAAAGCCTACTGACTAAGTGGAGCTGATATTTGGTGGGGTTTTGTTGGCACAGGAAGTCTATTCATTGACAATGATGGGAATTACGATGGATGGTATATATCCCGAGTAGGGGTTGGGTGTTGAGCGGTTCGGGCTTATATATATTTTTATATGGTAGCATTTCAATATATAAAAATAGATAAACCTCGATGTCTTTGCCACTGTGCGACTGTTTTTGACATCGCCTATTATACATGTATGTTTCTCCAATGGTCTAAGCCTGAACTGGCCCGACCTTCACATCAGTCCTCCTTTGCAGCTCAGCCATGTTATCCATCTGTCGTAATTTTTTCCGCTTCTGAACTTCCAAGTCCTTGAAACGCTTCTTGCCTCCATGCTTCAGCTTCGTAATCATATCAGCCGCTTGGCCGCGAGTCAAGTCCTCAGGCTTGACCTTGCCATCTCGAATGTGAGCCCCGTTCAGCATTTTGATTTGTCCCGGTGTTGCTTGGGCCCGTCGCCAAGGTTTCCAAGATGCGATATAATGTTCATCAAACTTGGTACTAGCAAAGGTATCCGCTGCCCGGACAATACTCTCCAAATCCGAACCAGTGGCGATCTTCCGAGGACGTGTGAATTTCGGTGCCTCGGTTGTTGGATCTTTGAATTTCATGACATGATGAGCTGTGAAGATATCGTCTGCCTTTTCAATCGTTATCCAGCCAGATATATCGGTAAGCATATATCTGTCGTCACCGACACGGACCCAGTTGTGCGGGCTGAATGACCTGATGTGTCGCTCGGACTGCATGTCTCCTAAGAGGTCGTATATACTGTCGTAAGTTGTAAATTCGAGTTTCAGGTCGTTGTCTGAGCCATCGTATGGTTCAGCAGCCTCAGGGGTGGGCTCCGATTGACTACCCTGATCATCATTCTTCTTCATATCTTCCACGCTGGTGTTGTCCAAAACCTCGTCTGGGTCCAAGCCGAACAATGTAGGCGTTGATAGGACTCCAGTTGCTAGAGAGGCAACCATATCAATAACATGACAGTCCTTCTTCCCAGGGAAGAGCCGAAGACCACGCCCGATCATTTGGATGAGCAGGTTTCGAGATCTGGTGGGTCGAGCTAGGAGCACGCAGTCGATATTTGGGATGTCCGTGCCTTCCGTGAAAAGACCACAGTTGAGCAACACCGGGAATTCCTGATCCCTAAAAGCCCGTAGCTGTTCCGCGCGAACGCTTTTAGGCGTGTTGGCTGTGATATACCTAGCATCGACGCCATGGTCGCGAAAAGCGGCAGTAAGCTGCCGCGCATGCTCGACATCGACACAAAACACAAGAGTCGACTTTCGATTCTCAGCACTTGCCATCCATGCCCGAACTGTGATATTGTTCGTAGATGTAGTGTTGACCGCCTCCGAAAGCGATCCGAGGGCAAAGTCTCCAAAACTATCTTTCTTGACTTTGGACAGATTGGCCCCGGACTTCACAGTCGTGAAGACTGCATTAGACAACCACTTTTCACCAATCATGTCCATGTAGTCCTTGTGATAGACGATGTGATCAATGGCAGCGCCCAGTTTGAGACCATCGAACCGTGAAAAAGTAGCGGAAACACCCACCAAGACTGGTCCGTTGGTAGATGGCTCGTTCAGTCCAAAATGTCCTAGAGCTTCACGGTATGATTTGGCAACGATATGATGAGCCTCATCAACTAAAATGAGCTTGAATGCACTCGGGTCGAACTTGTACATGCGTCCTCGCGCTAGTGTCTGAACTGACGCGATAATGATGTCCCCTGCTCCCGTCGCAACATTCTTGCCCATTTCTATTTCGACGGTCTTGTCTGGATAGGCAAGACTGCAGTGTTTTGCGGCTTGTTCGACGAGTTCGCGCCGATGGACGATAATCATGGTCTTGGTGGCTTTCGCATCGCGAGGAGGGATTCGGCTGATAAGCTGTGTGAATATGACCTGCAAAGATCAGTATCATCTTGGATAATGAGTAGATCCAGCCATACCGTCTTTCCTGCTCCAGTTGCAAGTGAAATTCCTAGGCGTCGATGGCCTTCACCCAAATATTTCAGCACGGATTGAATGCTTTCCTCTTGGTAGTCGCGGAGCACGATGCTCGGAGGAGCCGGAGGCCCGGTCGAATTAAAACGCACATGGCGGAAGGGTTTTTGCAAAGGACTCCTCACCAGATATCTCCTTGGGAGCCTCAATGAGATACAGCGTATGAACTCCATACAGATGTTAACAAATGCTCTCTCGTTCTGCGAAGCTCAACAAGAACAAACAGTGCAAACATGCTTATCGATAACCATGCATGTCAAGTGGATCTCCTTAGCTCAACTTTTTTTTCTGTTTCTATGTAGCTCTTGATGAAATTGACGTAGATTTCATTAAAGGCGCAGCTGTGATGTTTTGCTATCAATCGTCCCGCATGCGCAAATCTGCGAGACTGAACGATGAGCGACTCCGCCTCCGTCTATGAGCCCGACGACTCCGAGTCCGACTCCGACTTCGAACAACCCGAGCCTGAATCCGACTTCGAGCCATCCCGCTCGCCCAGTGAACGCTCTCCAACCCCCAATGGAGATTCAAACGAATATGATTACCATAATGATCCCTCATTCGAAGGGATCGAACGACAACTCGGTGATGCGCTTATGGGACGCGACCCGCAAATGCGTGGATCGCTCACATTTCTCCGAGCTTACTCCCACCTCATCTTGCAAAACGAGGAACTTTATGATTTTGCCTCGCTGAGGGAAAATGAGAACCCATATAATCTCAGTCAATATGGCTCGATGATCTGGACGCCCGCGGAAAAAGAAGTGTTCTTCAATGCGCTCGACCGGAAGGGCAAGGGGGGCATCAAAGAGCTTGCTGCTGCAGTCGGTACCAAGTCTGAGCTCGAGGTCATGGAATATATCCGAATTTTGCATAAGGCCTTGGCGGCTCAGTACAATTCCGACGTGTACCTGGAGCGCATGCCTGTCATGAGTGATGTCCCGGCAGCCACAGAGCTCAGCAAGGAATGCTGTGAGCTCCTTGAAGAATATGGAGATGTCCTAGTATTGAAAGAGTCTCTCGCCGAAGCTCAAGACGGAACGAAGCAACACGGAGACAACTGGATCATCACCAGGGCTCATGCACGGGATCTGGCCGATAGGGAGAACAACAGTGCTCGAGGTGACCTCCGCCTCGCATCTGATTTGTTCAACCTTCCAGATTGGCTTCGGCTTTCTTATATTTTGTTCATGAACTTGGGTGGCAAACAAGCGGAGAACAACTGGTGGAATCTTGCTAAAAGAAAAGACCTAATTACAGCATATGGACATAAACCATCTATGACTGCGGACACTGCTGTGGACTTCTACTCCCTCGCCGTTAGTGTCACACGTCGCTTGGTCCAATCATCCCTCTTCTTTGCAATGTCAAGATTGCGCAGCTCGAACCGCAGTGGGAATGATAGAAAAGGGTACATTCGCACACGAGACGTGCGGGCCGCTATTGAAGTGCTCAACATGAAGCACTGTAGGCCCAACTTATTGGACACCGCTCGTCGCAATGAAACAGTCCTTGAAGACATCAACAACCGGAAAGGCTGGGTGCCTACAGTATTCACGTATGAAGAAGCCGAGGAGATCATCGACCGACACGAGTGGACGCGGTATCGTAAAGACGGAACCATGTACAATGGTGAAATCGACGACGAGGACAGTGAAGACGACGATATGGAAATGGATGATGATATCGACACAGATGACAATTTCGAAATGGAAGTCGACAAGCCAGAGGCAGAACCCGAGCCAATGCCAGAACCGGAACCAGAGTGTGAACTTGAAGCAGAACCAGAATCAGAACTAGATGACATTGATCACGATCCTTCTCGCGTGGATCCTTCGCGCACGCAAGAGCCCGAGGAACTGGAAATGGATCCAGAAGAAGAGCAAGCAGACATTGCAGACATGAACGCCAGTCGTCGCGAAGAGGCCAATTTCCTGAAGTTAATGGATCGGCCTGTGCCGATTGTCGTTGACGAAGAGCCAATAAAGGAAGAACAAAACGAGGACGGTACCAAGGCACTGCCAGAGCGCAGAATCAGAGAAGATATCCATAATTGGCGGGATCGGATGATCTATCGCAATGAATGGGAGGAGTACGGGTACGATTTCATCGAGCTGAAGGAAAATATCGAATTCCCTCCGTTGAAAAGGGTCAAATACAACGAACCAGAAGTTGCTCTCCCCAAGCCGTTACCTTTGAGCGAACCAGCAATAGTTAATAGTGAGGATGAGGATGAGGAGAACGAGGATTAACAAGGGGAAGACCCACCAGCTGCTAAAGACTACGACAAAGTCACCCGAGAGGGAAGGCACTGCACTACTTAGAACAAGAATGTAAATTCCCATCAAGGACATATGATTAAAGAGTAAACACATTGATGAAAAAAAGATCCCAACCCCCTAGTTCAACCCCCTAAGAACAATCCGCTTTCTGGTGAGAGGGTGAATCAACAGAAAAGAACTCCAGCAGATAATAGAAAAACAGAAAGTGCGCCTTTTCCAAGCCAGAAAGTTCAGAATATTCATAACTCAGCGAGACGAAAAGCAGTCCCTTTGGGTTCCTCTCTCAGAAGATCCATGGGGGATTATCGTACATGTATTGAGGAAGACTAAAGGTCAAGGGTCTTGTAGTCGACACCGCCTTGAGCGCTCAGAGGCTGGGTTCCAGCCCGCATATCTCCGCCAACAGGCTGGAAGCTGTAGTGGTTTCCAATGCCTGTGGTGGCAGCATCAGCCAGCATCTGGTTCGTGTGCTCGTTGGGACCCTGCAGGCTTACAGTCTGAAGGGCATCCTGGGCCTCCTTAACGCGCTTCTTGAACGTCATGCGGTCCAAGAAGAGTTGCTGGCGGGCCTGCTCCAACTCCCGACGCTCAGCCTCGATAATCTCTTCCATCTCGTTGAACTGCTGCAGCTTGATCTCGAACTTCTGCAGGGTGACGTTAACTGCAGCAGAGACTAGGCGGGTCATTTCACGCTCCTCGTGCGAGGCAAGAGCTCCAGCACGTGCGGCAGCTGCGGCCAGGGCAATTGTGCCAAGGGTCTCCTTGGGCTTCGCGGAAACCTGCTGCTCGGCCTCGCGTGTGGGGTCCACGTCCATAGAATCTTCGGACTTGACTGCATCTTTGCCCTTGTCTTGTCCCTTCTCCAGCTGACTCCGAAGCTCCTTGCGGATCTCGTCGACAGACCGACCGGCCGCGGCGGCAGCTACTGCGGGCTCTGCCATCTGAGCCAAGAATGCCACAACAGAAAGAACGGGGTTTTCAGACTGGCTGATGGGATCACGTCCGCTGCCAGATTGCAGTTCCGGGGCATCTTCAACGTATTTATCCTCGATCTCCAGCTGTAAGAACTTCATGACACACTCTTCCCGAGATCGTGTGCCAACGTGGTTCGCAATTTGTTCCCAGTTTTCATCGAAATTCTCCAGGCCCTCGAGCAACAAAATCACTTCCGAGTCTGACCACGGAGTGTTTTTGTCAGTCAAGTGAGAGTGACCCTTGTCCTCGAGCTTGACAAAGTCTGAGGCATTGTGGCTAGAAGGCATTCGTCCTTGAAGGAAGCAGTTGGGACACAGGTCATACTTGGTGTCTGGTGTAGTGGCGTTGGCCGATGTCGAAGCCGATTTAGCGTAGTGGAATCGAAGTTTGGTGCAATCGATACCGCAAGAGAAGCAGTGTGCCTTCTTCTTGGATTCCTGCGCAATGTCCAAGCCGTTTGTTGCTTCACCGTTCGTCTGCTTCTCTTTATCTTCGGTGGAGGTGATATCCTTGCCTTTTTCATCGTAAATGGTGCGGCGTAGTTCAAGGTTAAGGTCTTCTTTAGAGGCAGGGATGGAAGAGGCGGCACGCTGTGTGGCTGGGTGAATCTTGCCGGAGGTGACGCTGTGGTTTGGTCCAGGCTGGAATGGCTGCAGACCTCGTGGAGTATCTGCGACAACTCGGAAGTGACCGGTAAATGGCGGTCCAATGTTGGACGGACGTGTCTGGGGGTCAACCTGCAGATGTATTAGCTAAGATGTTTGAATGGGAAATAAACTAGGTCACTCACCTGATAGTTGATCAAGCCCCACTGCTCAAGGAATGAGTGAACACGCATAATAGCACAGACGTCACCCGCAAGGTTACGACGGCAAGCAGTAACGGTCAAATACTCGATGGGGTTCAATCGATAGGTATTGATCATGAAGTCTCGGTAATCTTTGTATGTAGCAGGTGTCTTGCTGCGGTTGCGGCCATTGAAGAACTCGGCGAGAGCCTTCTTTTCGATTGGGTTGATGGTGTTCATATCAAACCATGTCGCATAGCTGGGAAGGATGATGGCGTGTGTTTGGGTGACGAGTTGTTCGCGCGCAGCAGCTTCCAGAGACGACTTGGATGGCGCAGGTTGGTCTTCACCCGCCGCGTCATCAAGTCCATCCGTTCCCCCTACCTGCGGATGCGACTCGCCCAGAGCATCCTCTAAGCCCTCAGTGTCGGGCTTGCCGTCGGTCTCAGTACCACCCATCTCTTCGTCTTCCTGTTCAACTCCGCCGTTCCGAGGTTTGGGAGATGCGGGAGCATCCATCGGGTTGTCGGACCCAGGTGTGTTTTCAATCTTCTTCACGGGCGAATCCTGGCGCGATTGCGCTCCTTTCCACAAATTTAGCACTCAGTGCAACATCAAAGACAGTTGAGGGTAGGTATACCTGAGGCTTCGCGAGCTGCATCAGCCGCGCCATCTAGTCCAGTCATAGACTGGAGATTCTCCTGGGCCGCACCTGAGTTGATGGAAGTCTCATCCATGATGGATCAAAGCAAACAGCTGTCGCGGTCGGCAGAATGTCAACTCCTTTCCCGTGTATCAATTTGTTCTGTGTAAAGCGCAATAGTGGTAGGGGATGGAATATGAAAAAGCTAGCAATGGCGTAAATCCAGGCCACGGGAGATGGAAGTGGAAGCCCAAAGTGATGATTGGACGGGTTACTGGGGGGCACTTGGGGGAGGTTGGTCGCGACACGCAAAACTCACGGGTGAGTGCCAAGAGTTCAATCGCCACTAGCCTCCTTGGGACTAGGCTCCTTCACCGTGATCATGTGATTTATACTACAAAACGTTTGAGAACTACATCAACCTGGGAAGAATCTGTTTCAACATTACACTCCTACTGTTGCTGTCAAGAGCTTGAGATACTGCCAGTAGAATTCTACGAGAAATGGCGTTGAATTATATGACGAATTGCGAAGAAGTGTCATCAGTATGTACTGGAAAACTAAAAGCTGGGGAAGCTCCTCACTGTCACCAATCTACCCATCTACTTACGTTCTATCATTCTCCGTAGTATAATATTAAGCACATACGACCATAGGGTGTGGAAAACAGGGCTTCCCGTCCGCTCAGCCGTACTTAAGCCACACGCCGGTGAGTTAGTAGTTGGGTGGGTGACCACCAGCGAATCCTCACTGTTGTATGTTTTTGTGTTTTTTTTATTTAGATTCCAGTTCATTCGGGGACTCCTTCTTGTCGCTCTACTCTTAAGTCCTTTCATCCCATTCGCACTTGGCTGAAAATCTCAACTGGTATTGATGAGGCTTTTGCCTGAATCCACTAAAGAAATCTTCACTGTAAAGTGCTCTTAAGTTGTTATTGAATCTACTCATCTCACCATCAGGAGTGTTGGAGGTGTACGCAGCGGTATAGACGCCAGGGGTCAAACCCCCATTTCTAGGCAATATCGGTGCTCTGATGCCTCATTTTGTGAAATAAGACCAGCAGAATGATTAGTATAGTTAAATTACTATTACAAGATAGTCGGCCGTATAAGCGGCCTTGTGATGTCTTTTCAGCGGTCTCTTTAGTCGTGTTCTAAATATTATTCTGTTTATGTATACTACTTTTATAAGTCGACGGTTGTACAAACGACTTCTTGATGTATAAGCTTTAAATCCTTGATAAACCGGTGTTAGGAGCGGTCAAGAAGCAGGCAAAATGAGACATCAAGGTAATGAGACATCAAGGTATCAATATTGTCTAGAAATGGGGATTTGACCCATGGCGTCTATGCCACTACGTAGGAGGTGTGTAGAACTACCCCTTATGTGCACTAAGAACATATAACTTGGAATAGGCAGACTGTTGCGCCTGGAGATTTACACCTTCGTGAACACTACAACGGAAAGGGAAAGGTCTCGAGGGTATCATCCAATACTTATGTGAATATTTAACTAAAATGATAATACAGTGGGAATGAATTACTTTGGACTCACTGCTTGCTTCTTCTTGGCAGGGAGCTCAGATTCATCATCACTATCACTTCTACCTCGCTTTCCTCCAGCGGCAGGGGAGACCGCTGGGGCAGGGGCAACAGCAGGTGGGGGGAGAGCAGCATAGGGACGTGTGCTTGCAGCATTTGCAAGTATATCGAGGGCAGAAGGCACAGGACTAGGCTCAGCTGAGCTTGCAACTTCTGCAAGTATTTCTAGGGGAGTAAGGTTAACAGGAGCAGTAGCACCGGGCCCAAGTACTTGCTCTGCAGCATCTGCAAGCGCTTCTAGATTAGCAGCAGCAGTAACCACCTCCAAGGCGATAGCAGCAGCAAGCACCTCACTATCTGGTACAGGGGCAAGAGTAGCAGGAGCAGCAGGAGCAGGAGCAGCGGGAGCAGGAGCGGGAGCGGCTGGAGGAGGAGGAGGGGGAGGAGGGGGAGGGGGGGCAGCAGCGCCAGGCGTAGGTACCTTCCAGGCGTCATCGGTGAGTCGGTAATACTTAAGAATGTCGAATAAAATTTGACCAAGGACAGCGTGAGTCTCTATGGCCTGAACAGCTGATGGTAGCTCTCCTATCCTAGCGATAACCTGTGCTTCGAACGGCTTACTGGCATGCTTTCTCGAGAATTGATTTACCCAGGTATGGCCTGGCCTAGCAAGCCAAGTGATTAGCATAGGATCGTAGACACTTCGAATAAGATCGAGGACGGATTGACGATCAAGTGCAGTCTGTGGGTGGTCGAGGTTATCAAGACGAAGCGGCATCCAGATTCTCCTCTCATTCGCGTCGGTTCGCTTCAGACCATTGTTGAGTCTCAATGTGGTTCGAGGCATGTTGAAAAATGTTAATAACGAATGATTTGTGCTGAGTGAGATTGTTGGGTTGTTGGATTGTTGGGGTCTTACTGTTTGTTGTTTGGTTGTTGTGAATGAATATCGAGGGCTGGGATGGAAGTTATAGTAAAATACTTGAAGACCTCTATGAAACTCGAATGCGAATATTCGTACGTTTGTATTTTCTTTATCTCGTTTTAGCACAAAGGCATGTGCGAACAATAGAATACTCGATGAGATCTTAACTGAAGACCAATATAGATTCTTTCAAATATAACGGCATTGTTATTTTTTAAAAGACAAAAAAAAAGACAAAGAAGAGGAATATTTAACTTCTTATAACCCTATGTATGTATTTTGGGCAAATTAATGAATGAATGAACCTTATCTAAACCAATCACACGCAATATACATAGCGTTTTAGAACATAGGAACACGGCAGTCTCTAACTGCTAGTGCACTATGACAGATTTTCGCATTGTAAAATTTGTTAGATATGCCTATTTCTGTAGTTAATTGGTAGTGTACTTACAGACTGATCGATTGCTTGCTGATTACTGCATTTCACCATCATCCAATGTTATACTTAGAAAAGTCATCTGCACAAAGCCTTTTCCCACCTTTTTTGCTGGTGACCTTTATAAACAGAATGATATTTGAGAACAGGGCAAGAAAGTCTCCTAAAAAGACACCACAATGCCCGACTATTTTCATAAGTATAAATCAACACATACCTATAGGTCATCGCTGTTTTTCATCATCTTATTAGGAACCCTATATAAACCTTCAGAGTAATATTAGGGTAATAATTACCTAAGTTGAGGTCCAAACCGAAACCAAGCAAGCTGAGCAAGAACAGTAAATAGCACTCATTCTCGTTAATCTTACAGAGATCTCACTGTAATAATTTATGATTACTATGGATAACAATCCAACAAGAACCCTACACCCAAGAGATGTCCTTCGTCAACTCGCTGACTCAATGAATGGAAAGCACGATGAACTTTCTATGACCATCCCCGCATACACTACCTGGAGGTCGGCTCTCCAAGCTGTCAAGTCAGCCCTCAACAGTGTTGACGAGCCATTTATGGTCCTCCATCCCCACAATACAAACCGTCGTATCATGCGGGAGTCGAGCTTGCAAACAGCCTCGGAGTCTCCTACAGAAAATATCTCGGCCCTCCCTATTCGAACCAATGTTAACCTGGAGACGCGACCGCTCCGCCCACCAATGAGTGAAGAATGCCGCGAGCGTCGCCGCCAGATGGCCAAAGAGGTAGCGAATATGGAATTCCGATATCCCTATTACATGCGAATGGGGAAGAGATCCTAGATGGATTCTGAGGAAATATTTTGGACGATCAATATGTCAATTTGGATGAGGAGATTGAATCGATCTGAGAGCCCACAGACCGAAAACTCATACCGAAGAGCATTGTGCTGCTCTGTCATGATCACTGCTTTTATTCGCATGGACGGTGTTTGGTTGGCTTGGAAGAGATGAAATGCTGGGAGGAGAGGCTTATTTACTTCTAGGCTGAAGCCTCAGAGTCTTAAGCTGGACCGTCCGGTGTGGTAAATGTCACGAAGAGGAATGAGGATTCTCTTGCTACAACTGTCTGCATAATATGTGCGGTTCCCACCGTTGCTTCTACCACGCCACTTGTCTGAGCTACCCAAACTGTGATGTGTGCGGTCAAAGAAGGGCGTGTCTCTAGAATGAGAAAATATTTGGATATTGTAAACGGTAGTGGAGAGGTCTAAGAAGGCTTAAGATGTGGCTAAGATGGTGAGACTGGAGAGGAAAGTCTTAATGAGAAGACTGGGTATTCAGGAGCGCTGGACCTCGAACTGACACAAGTCAATTTGTTATATATCTCAGATCAGCAGTTTGGTGGCTAGCCAGTTAAGGTTAGATAATTGCTTCAATGTTGATTGATCGCTGAACGGGACATTATTCAGACGCTATTTGAATTTTATGTATCCATTTGCTCACACAGTACCTTCCTTTTATCCTTCCGGTGTATTTGTGGGTCTCTTTTATATTACCAAAAGACAGTAGATTTGTATCATTTCATACTTTTTAATCAGATCCCGCCGCAGCCATCAGAACACGGCTTTCCTCGTAGTCACTCGTGCCATTATCCGGGTCGGCATCAGCAGGTGTACATGTAGCCAGCTCAGATCTAGGTCCCGTGACAACCTGGAACTCCCTCTTATCGGTAGCAAGCATCATATTCTCCGCTGCCTCTGGAAGCCAGCCATTGATAAAGTCCCCATGCCAGCTGTATGAATTCCCGCTAGAAAGTTGGAGAGGGGCCTCACCGGACCAGCCGTCAGGCAAGACGCCAGAAGTATCGAAGCGCACCGAAAATCGCAGCTGGGGGATGCGCTTCATGCCGTCTGGACAGCGGTTCGGATTAGCGAGCCATGCGCGGCTGGAGTAGCCACTGACGAGGGTGTCGGTGTTGACACAATTGGGGAACAAAATCTGCGTCTGGAGTCGACCCAAATTGCATCCTGCGTTGGGCCATCCATTTGCGTCTGGTGACGTCTCCGGTCCGTACTCGCACCACCAGCTCATGTTGAGGAGGTCGTCTACCTCATCAGCAGTTGTTGCTGTAGCATTGCCTGCAACTGCTTTGTAGTTGGTGGGGAAGGGAATCTCGGCATTGCCGATGTTATTGTAATATGCCTTGAAGTATCGGGCTTCGACTGGGACCAAGCCTGTGCCGTTGTTGAAATAGAGAGTTGGGTGCCCTGGCCACAGTTAGATGAGCGTACTAAGCCTAGTTTTGGGTGATGAGGATTAAACTAACAGTAAACGGACAGATCGTTTGGGTTGCTGTTCGTAGTGCAGCCGGACATGAGCTCTTCAGTTGTCGAAGTGTTCACATTAACAGCATCATTACCGAAGAAGCTGTGCATATGGCTCGTATACTTCCCCGGCTTCACAATCGAGTCGATATTCTTGCGCATAATATACCCAGAGTCAACTATGGTGTACCCTTGCACCATTTCAGCGGTGGCCAGGAGCACAAGAGGTAGCACGAGCATTGCGAGAGGGATCTGCAGAATAGGGGAAGACTGTAGTTGGTAAAATTACCGCTGAAGGAATGACTCGAGAAGGTGCATATAGGCTACGAAGAGATGGAAATATGTTGGAATAGACTTTATACTTGTCAACAGAGGTGGACAGTGCAGAAATAACAAATTAATTAAGGAGTTCAAACAATCTAGTTTCATATATTTCGCGGGGTCTAGTGTCGCAGGCTCAACATAAACTATCCGTACACCGACCAAATCTAACCAACCCTTCTGGTTCGGTTAATTATAAGACCCAGGTGACCAGGTCAGCTAGAACCCGGTTAATTATAGTGTGACAACACCCATCCACAGGATTCTTGACATGTCCCCCTATTAGGGAAATCGCCGAGCCAGATATCGCAAGATATCGCATTAGGTTCTGGGCGTCGAGCTGCTGAGTGTGTAGCCGTTGCCAAGTTACTAAACGTGTTTCATACATGTTTCATTGTAAGACCGCTCTGAGAATTTCAGGTAGGAATTCATTATAGCCAAATAAATAACATAGCTGCACGAAGTAGGAGAATGGATTGGTGCTGCGGGATTCTCATGCTCTAGAGGATCTAGTCGCCTGAGGAAAGCAAGACTGGCGCGGTTCAAAGTAGACGGATCGGCGGGTTCAAATCTGCACTCCACTCCATCTCCAGTCAAGATGAAACAACCCCGTCTGACGCGCGCCTTTGGCCGTACAACCGCGACTTTCTGCCGAGTTTGTGAGATTGAGCAGTTTACTACGTATTATGTAGACAACTATCTTGTGTTGTCAATGATCGAGATATTGTGACATTTGACGTTTATAAGCACTATGAATGGTATTGGTATTACCGCCTAAAAAGAGGTTGTGGCGTGCATTAGTGTCATTTATCGCCCGAGCTAGCAAGAGAGTGTATATAGATCGAGCAATAAAACAAGATGAAAAGAACAAAAACACAAAAACATACAACAGTGAGGATTCGCTGGTGGTCACCCACCCAACTACTAACTCACCGGCGTGTGGCTTAAGTACGGCTGAGCGGACGGGAAGCCCTGTTTTCCACACCCTATGGTCGTATGTACTAGGTTATGTATGGGAGAGGATGATATAGTATGACTGGCTATGGACTCCAGTGAGGAGTGAAGGTCAATACAATATGAATGCAGCGAGATACCCGGAACCGAGGAAAGAAAGAGAAGAGAAGGGAGAGGAACTATAAATATATGTAGTCCTACGCAATTGATTCGAACAATGGTGCTACGTTCCATGTCAGCAAGGGTAGTGACACATCTATAGTTCGTAAAGGAAAACTACTAGGAGAAGAAGTTTGATGTCATCGGTCAAGTTTCATAACGCTACTGTAGCCGCCTTATAGTCCTAGACCTGTATTAAAATGTCATCATAACGATCTGTTGCGATAGAATTGGTGAATGGCGTGAAAAGGAATCACAAAGAGGTCTCCATGAAATGACTAGTTCAAATTAAATCCGAAGCTTAGCATATTAATATCTCGAACATGGATGATGTATAAGTGCAATATTAGCATAATTACTCTCTATCCTTATAATATTGCTATTATTTCTGACCTTGATGTTTCTAGTGTCCTATATTATTGTGCTGGTATTTGGCCGGGCTATTACTTAGTGCAAAAAATTGTCTGCTTGCTAGATCTATAAGTATGAGGAACGCTGTGGCGTGGCAGGCCTCAGGCCCCCAGGCACCCACGCATGTATTTATAGCTAACCCAAAACCACGCTAGTCTGCATCTATCACACACAGCACTAATCTCATTGCCTCCGTCTTCTCTTTCTCCAAACAAAGACAACGTCCAAGTTTAAACACAATGTCTACAAAACCTACCAGCAAGATATTTCCATTCAAAACCTTCATTTCAGACCTATCGACCAACCTCGTTCCACAGTCCCTTCTGTCATCTCCCGAAAATGGCGCTGGCGGTGGACGCTTGGTCATTGTAGGAGATGTGCACGGGATGAGAAAGTCCCTTGAAGAACTCCTTAGAAAAGTCGGCTTTGACAAAAGCAAAGGAGATCATCTCATACTAGTTGGCGACCTAGTCAATAAAGGGCCCGATAGCCCTGGCGTTGTTGATCTGGCTATCAAGTTAGGCGCTAGCGCAGTGAGAGGCAACCACGAGAATGCAGTTCTTAATGCAGCCGTAGAGATCAACGCTGCAAAGGATAGTCCACTGCCTTCTGGGGACTTCACTGGCATTTCGGTCGGACCCGAGAACCCCGAAGTAGACCTCCCTAAGGATACTGTTCGAGATCCTGAGAAACCCGATAAATGCGCATCTCCTACAACGCGTGCGACAGCACTAGCTCTTTCGCCGCATCAGATCGACTGGCTTGCTGCTTTACCTTTGATCTTACGTGTCAAGCTACCTCAAGACCTAGCTTCCCCACTTGGCGACACTCTAATTGTCGTACATGCGGGTCTGGCCCCTAGTACCTCACTTGAAAACCAAGATACATATGCTGCAATGCATATGCGGAGTCTAATCCGCACAATGGGCGATGAGGACAAATTAATACCGTCTGAAACTTCCGGGGAAGAAAGCTGGATCATGGAATGGGACCGTTGGCAAGATAGTCTATCGTCCAAGACTACGGTGATATTTGGGCACGATGCAAAGCGTCGTTTGCAGCGGAGCAAATATGCGATTGGACTGGATTCAGCATGTTTATACGGTCACAAATTAAGTGCGCTTGTGATTGGGGCTTCCGATGGAAAGATTGATCATCAGGTTATTCAAGTCGATTGTGCTGATGTGCCCGTTGCCCCAACAATATCTGTGAAACAAGGCGACAAGGCAGTGGTTGGATAACTTGAATAAATTGTGAATAGATGATTGCTAACCGTGAGAAAGCTGCATTTTTGTCACACACCCAAAAATAACCATCACACCGAAGACGCCTGCAAAACACTGTTCACCTTTTTGACCAAGGTCTACTCTGTATTTCATGCATCCTTAGATAAGTTCAGTTCTGTTCGGAGCATGTCTAAAGCGAAATTGTCATTCTCGAATTCTGCAGTGCAGGTACCTTGAGGCATTCTGCCACGCTTATCCGGGAGCAGGTTGCCTTTAAAGGCACATGAATCAAAGTCGATTAGCACTGGCATGTTACTGTGGCTTGCAAACATAACATTTCCCAAATGAATATCGTTATGAACAAGGCCAATCTTATGGAGATGATTGATACCGGCCTGAACCTGTTGGAGACAGCTTTCGTCGACCGACCCGTCCTCAAGACGGTCCGCGAGCGTCGCCTCGTATTTTTGGAAACAAAGTCCAGTGATCCGGTCGGATTTTACCACGCAGCCAAGGTAGTGGGAAACATTTTTATGTGGGTGTTTTATCAAAAACTGGCAGATCTGCGCTTCTTGGAGTAGATATTCGCCGAGTGATGCTGATCCGTTGTACCCAGTGAGCCGAGGCTGCTTGATGTAGACGTCCGGGCTATTAGGGTTTTGGCATATTGTGAATTTATCTTCAAATAGGGGCCAGATATGCTCTGGTGGAATCTTCTGGAGGAGGGATTGGTCGATACTGGCGTCTTTTATAAGATGATCCCGTTTGGGCAGTTCGGCCCACAAATAGCTGTCGCCATCCTGGAAGATAACGTTGGTATGTAGAAATTTTGGATCACCGTCTCCGAACTCCCAGGTCTCTGCCTTATCATACAATTTCATTTCAATAATAAGAGAGCTGTTTTTCTCTCAAATGGGATGCGAAGTGTGGAAATGAAGAGGAAGGCTGGATCAATAGCACGGCGATGTTAGAGACTTGTCTTAAATACTTAGGGGCCTACGCACGCACCTCGGCTTACATGCAAACAAGACCAACATATGAAATGTTAGGCAACGCAGCATGAAGCGGTGAGTGTGAAGCGTCAGATTATTGCTTCTATTAGCTTCCTTGCTGGTATTTGAATGTTCCTATTTTAACTGCGGTCTTCCTGGTAGCCGTGCTCATTGATGAAGGTGATTGGTGGATTACATTCAAGGCCAGGTATATCGAACTTGTCGGTGAAGCAAGGGCCCTATGAGCCTATGCGGTGCTCAGTTTGATTTTCAACACTGGCATCACATTGAAGCTAGAGCATAGGCGGAGGGAAGAGCCTCTTTATTTGGGACATTTACAAGGGTTGAAATAAAGGGAAGACAGGTGATACATGTGAAAAAGGGTCTTGGAAGATGAAAAGGATGTGATCGCATTCAGATGATTGGTCTATAATGCCATAAAAAGTGTTGTAGGTAGGATATTTAGCCAAAGCAACTACCCCATTTTATCTTGTGCATCAGTTGCTTTCTACGGTTGTCCAAAATGTAAACATATTCTGTAGTATTGAATAATGACAATCGACGAGTTATTCTAAAATCATACTATTATTGACTACTTCAACTTGTTATCTCACTAAAAATATGGATCCTTTCAATCCTTCTAACAAAGACACAATGTCATCTTCTAGAAAGCCATACTGCTAGCTATTTTAGGCTAAAACAGATCAAAAAAAGTTTTGGAACGACATGATAAAGACCATGGCTTTATTAACCTCCACTCAACAAAGGACCTTTACCAACCCATCGTATAGAACACGCGTCAATAGACTCGAGAAATGTCTATAAGAACGGTTAAGTCCTCGCTCGAAAATAAACTCGATCATAACAGCCAAACAACCTTCACAGTCAAAGCATCTTCACAATATTCCTTCTAGTTCTAGTTTTATACTCACATCTTTTTTATATCCACACCAACCAACCTTCATCGCAACCATGCCTAGCCGCGGCCCCACTATACCTATCGGAGGGCGAACCGACCGTCACCATCACCATCGCCATAGCACAGAGCGTGAGCCTCGCGAGAGAACCGATCGTGGCCATCACCATCACCATCACCACTGCACAGCTCATGAACACCGCGAGAGAATCGATTACGACCACCGCGAACTCTACCTTCAGATTTGCTACCCGCAGAATAATGCTGTCCATTGGCTGATCTTTATGAAGTACCCTGGTGCCGATCGTGGCACCCGGTTCCATAGCACCGGCTGCATGGGTGACCGTGAGTTGTCTATTGAAACTGACAAGAGATTTGATAGTCAGGCGGTCGAGAGCACACACTATCTCGGCACGATTTATGAGACGGACAGTTACCATGTTCACCGAGAGGCTGGGAAGATTCCACTTCAGAGCTGCCAACTATGGGTTTGTTACTTGATCCTTAGACTTGAGAACAAAAGGATGCTCAAGAAGGGTACATACGACCATTATATGAACGGTTATGAGCACAATATGGACGAGCATTATGGACCGGGAGAAGGGTTTGAGTGTCGGGTTCATCTTCGTCGTGGACATTAGGTATTTATTTCTTCCTCTTTTTCATCCTCAATTTGCCCCTTGTTTTCTTCAAGTTTGTGTTGATTTGACGTCTTTGTGCAGAATATATGTCTACTTATTGCCCTTCAAATCAAATTTGCATACAAATGTACTGGAAAAACATTATTTTTGTCTTCGTATATCCACTAATTAGGACATTACCATTTACTTCGTAGTATTACTCGTATCTGCATGATTCTATAAAAACATAAAGGTGACCGTAAACATCGCTGCTGCGAATGCCATCAAGCCCTGCACACCAGCTGATTCCTTGGTCAAGAGTCCGGTAGCTGCTCCGGTGTGGTTTGCCGACCCGTTGACTGCAGTTGGTTTACCACCAAGTCCAAGTGGCAGTCCCTGGTAGCCGAACGTCAGGTTCTGGGGAATCGACTGGTTATAGCACTGTCCATTCGAAATATCCAAGTTGGTCAAGTCAGCCGAGTTCACAAAGAACATGTACATCGACTGCTTGAGATCCTTGAATCCGGACGTATCGTATGGGAACTTGTCGCCCGGATCGGTTGCTGAGGTGTTGCGGATGAAGATACACTGGACTTGTTCGGGGAAGTCGGTGGCTAGTTTGGGGTATTCGCGCATGACATCGCTGTTGCTGGTGTCCGCAACCAGGATAAACTTGCGCTCGGGGAAGGTTTCGAAGATCTTGTGCAATAAGAACTTGCGAATTGATAGAGTGGCGGAGACATCGCTGAAGTTAAGAGGACGGGTATCGAAGGAACCGCCGGGGTAGTTGTCGTAAATGAACTCCATGTAGTTTCTGGTCACTTGCTCGGGGGTGGTAGTCTAGAATGACAATCAGTATTTTGAATGTGAAGGAAGCAGAGGAGACTTACAAGGTAGTGGAAATGCGCATCAGGGAGGCTCCTGGACCAGTTGCTGTAGATTTCTGGCATCTTCTCCCAAGCTGTGAATGGGCGTGCGAAAGAATTGAGTATTCCTTGGTCCGGTTGGTAGATCTTGGTGACACGCAGAATGTCGTCAATGTCGGAAATGAAGGTGAGTCCCTTCGGAGGTACAAGGTAGGCGGTAGCATTTCCGATGCTTGCGCCCTCGACATGAGTATCCAATCTCTGGATCTTTTTGGTTTCATTTCCCGCAGTAAGGCCATTGCCGTCAATCGGCACAAAGGTGTCGAAATCACCCTCGACTGTTGTGTTGTAAGGCAGAGTAATGACCTGCTTACCACCTGTTGTCTCAGATGATCCGCCGCCGCCGGGCCCTCCGCTGGAACCCTGACTCTTTGCAGGCTTGATGTGGATCTTGTTCACGGCAACCTCTGGCTGCTGTACAACGAATATTTCGGCAGTCATGTTACGTGCCTGGACCTGCTGTGATTTAGGAAGCTTTGAGATACTAGTGTCGACAAGGAAGATATCGGCCAAATCATTCAACTTTGAGGTAGAGATGTCTGGCTGCTTATAAACGTTTCCGTGGAAGCGAACATTCCAGCCTGACTTAGTCCAGTTGGCATATGGGGCGATGTTCAATACATTGGTTGGCAATGCTTTCAACTGGGAGTCGTCCAGTCCGAGGGAGCTAGCAACTGCATCTCCAGTCGGGAAACCCTGGAAAAAGTTGGGCACTCCAGATGCGACCCACGAAGGTAGGCCAGAGCCAAGGTCTGAAACGATGTTGTTGGCACCAGATTCAACATCGCTCAATATGTTTCGGGCAACAATGGGAGAAGGGTTTCGTTCCACCGGAGAAGGTGTGATGGCGGGGTCGTGCGGGGCGATATTCGTGGCGAAAGCAGTTGGAGCTGGGGAAGCGGAGGTAATTGAGAGAAGAGAGGCCTGCACAAAGGCATGTGCAAGAATGGACCTCATTGTATCCAAATATATACGTTCTAAAAGGGTACAATGCTAAGACAAACGCTCACAAACATACAACAAGAGGAAAAACCTGAGCAGCTGTATATTATTGAGGAAAAGTCCTAGAAAATCAAAATCTGCGAGGTTCAATTTATTTAAAAAGTCCTTGGAAAAGGAAATTAACTGGGAACTCACTGACGTCATTATATATCTCCACTATCAGTTTCCAGATTAGGCAATCCATTTGTAGATCAATAAAATGTTATACTTAGAAGAGTCGTTTGCACAAGCGTTTTTCCGCCTTTTTTTTGCCATCGATCTATAAAATTAGCACGTCTAAACAAAGTTATATCTGATAAGGCTACTGCAAATATATCACAAGGTATGTTCATCGGTGTGCTGATCGGTGAGATTCAACGAATCGAGAAATGTCTGAAACGTAAATGATATCGCACGATCAACGTTGTTAAATGGGGAGTGAGGGGATTATTCTTCCAGCACATGTAATTGATGTCAATTACGATCAATTTATTCATTAGCTTCCGCAAATTTATTCACCAATGGCGCCTGTGGAGACGACAATGTTCCTTATAGTGCCCGGAATCCTCAAGACTTCAAAGCAACCTGTTAGCCTCTATACTTGATATATGTGACAAAGAGCATACCGTCATAATTTCCAATGGCTCGAATGATTTTAATTCGCAGTGATGGGAATGAAAACTGTGAAGCATATCCCCACACCGAAGACTGAAGCTTGTCGGGTCCCTGGTTCAATACCCACACGCTCCAAGGCTGCCAGTCAGGACGAACAGTTCCATATTGTTTATGGGCGTAATAAAGCCAAAGCTGGTATCTCGCAATCAGAAGAATGTTAAAATAGAAGCTCTAGATCATTGTTGGAAAGATAATATCATGAAGAGCCGCAAAGCTTCTAGCCTTCTTTATTATAATTAAGTTGCTCCATGTTTTTGCCAAGCACACAGACATCCATCGCTAATTTATATAGTCAGTGTCTCCAAGTACGAAAACTGGAGTGAAGATCGTTATTATATATCCCGCCCGATCCTTGGAATACCCACCAAGGATCCCTCACTTGTACAAAAATGGATCGAATCCCGTCATGAGGATAATCCTCGTCCGAAAGTGTATCCACTTCTCTTGGAGCCTAAATTTTGCACATTTACAACAGAATGACATAAAAAGATTAGCCTCGCAGGAGTAGATCAGATCTCGCCTCAAAACAGTGCAATAAACGACCATTATTCGGAAAGACAAGTGCCCGTGCGGGTCACTCCAATTGAGTAGAACCATTCGATATGATGGGTCATCGAGTAATGTCCCGAAACTAATTAGTCTAGAGAACGATATGTCCGAACTCCCGCGTTTCCAATTCCCGTTCGGGGACATCGGGTCACAGGGGCATTCCATTAGATGCGGTACCGCAAAATGCCTGGTCTACAGAGTATATCCATATATCCATGTCACCAAGGGCCGAGTTGGAAACAAGATATCGTCGGGTGGAGTAAGTCTGTGCTTTGGCGCTCCCGGCCGCCGCGGGAACGGCCCCAGACGCTTGAGACTGACTACCCGTTGTGTTCAACTCGAGTGGGTTAGCGACATCAACCAACACAGCCCCTTTTCTTGACGTGCTGGGCTAACGTATGACTTCAATGGTAACCGTTGAACTGTCGATCAAATCTGAAACTTTGGAGCTATTGCTCCGCCCCCTAACTGTCGGAGAAGGCCTCGAAGACGATCATCTTAATTTATCCCTGCTAGCGTCGCTTCTTTCTTCGCTTGTTTCGTAGTCCGGTTACTTGGCCAGACTATGTGCTATTGGGGTGGAAACTGGACGCGTGTTGCCTGGAAATCATTTCGAGCTAGCTCCCCGATGATGACTCGAAAGTGACAGGTCGAGAACGGTAAAAAAAGCAACCAACTAAGGCAAATAGATTAAACAATTGGGTCTTGCTAAAAAGTACTCCGTAAGTAATTAGGCGACAATTAACAACGCGGCGGCCCTTCAAATAATATCGGGTCGTACCCCCGGGGGATGCCTGCCCCGGAAGTCGCTCGGGGGTGCGTGCTCCCGAAGGCACGCGGCTCAATTTGCTCGACAGGGGCATCATGTGGGCCTCTATAAAATAGGAGTTCGGTAAATCGGGTACGTCTACAGATTGGGCCCTAGAGAATTATAAAGTAAAGTTCATAACTCTTGGTTCAAAGGACAATATCATATGTGCTTGTTTATTTTGAATTTTTCCTTCCTATTCACTCAATCAAGACCAATTTTCATAATGACTGACGTGAAGAAAGTAGCGCTGGTCTTCGGTGCTAGTGGGATCTCCGGATGGGCTGTGACCAAAAACCTATTATCCTATCCCACTGCTACCACGTTTGATCGGGTTATTGGTTTGATGCACCGTTCACGAACAATTGCTGAGACTGGCCTACCTCAAGACCCCAGACTCGAGCTGTACTCAGGGGTGGATCTCCGCACCAACCTCGAGACTGTGAAGAGGCAGATGCAGGAACGAATTTTAAACCTAGATCAAGTCACACACGTCTACTATCTTGGTATGTGATACGATATGCATCAGGCATCAAATTGACTACGCATGGAAGCAAATGCTTACCAATAATAGCATACTCCAATGCTACTGCGTACACAGAAAAAGTGATGAGTATCAAGAACATCAACAAGGACATGACAAATAATACTGTCCACGCAGTCAACACTCTCTGCTCGCGGCTTCAATTTTTTGTCCTCCAGACTGGGACTAATGTAGGTTCTCTCCCATAATATATCCCGAACTGTTCTAACTTTGATAGCACTACGGGGTTGCGGTATTCCAGCACATAGACAAGATCGAGATAAACCCTCCCCTAAGGGAGAATAACCCCCGAATTCCATCGCCTTACGGAGATGAAATCTTCTATTACGATCAAGTTGATTTGATCAAGGTGGCCGCGAAGGGCAAATCATGGAAATGGTGTGAGGTTCGGCCTGACCAGATCATCGGTGAGCCACTCTTTACCTTCACCTATGGACTGGACGTCTTTCTGACATTAGAATGACATTTAGGATATGTTCCTAATGTGAGCGGCATGACCTTTGTTGAGCCATTGGCTCTATACCTCGCTCTCTATCGTTTCGTCAACGGCCCGGGTGCAAGCGTCATGTTCCCCGGTACAAAGACCAACTTTACCTACACGTTCACAGACTCATCCCAGGATCTGATTTCAAAGTCTGAAATTTACCTCTCTGTGGTTCAGCCGGAACAGGCTAACGGTGAGGCCTTCAACATTGCTGACACTGATTTGCCGGGGTCGTGGTCCGTCAAATGGCCGATCTTGGCTGAATACTTCGGCCTGAAGGGAGCCGGTCCCGGTGAGACAGGCTGGGTGGATATCGAAGAGTGGTGGAATGAGCATCAAGATGACTATCGACGTATGTGCCAAACCTACTGTCTGGAACACCGTGACCTTCCTCCTTCGTCGTGGGTTTTCATCAAGGTTGGCTTTACGCTTCTTGATCGCAACCGGGAGATGTCTCTTGACAAGATCCGAGGAGTAGGGTTCAAAGAAGAGATTCCCGCTGGAGAGGGTTATATTGTTGCCCTCGAGCGTATCGCGGAGGCCAAGTTGATTCCGTCTCAACGTGCGCTATCCACCTCCCCATTTTCGCAACCAGAGCCGTCTAAAGTTTTGGACCAATATCCTGTCAAGGACAAGGCAAGCCATGTGAGCGCTTAGATATGGAGAAGGGAAACGAACCAGCGACATTCTGGTCAAGCAAATCGGTCGAGATACGCTAGCGACAAAATACAGACCTCCGTTGATGATTTCTTCATACCCGGTGTAGCAAAATACGAACAAGAAATGCGCTTTGAATGAGAGGAGTTAATAATCATCCTGCGAATGTTGCCTGAGATTCCAGCCTGTGATAAGATCCTTTCCTTTCCGAACATCGTCGGTACACATGATGTCGAAGGTTTCTATCGCCTTTCCCATAGTGACGATGTATTCATGCCTCAGAACTATCCTCATCCTGGCCAAAAGGGCCGCCACTTCGTGTGTGAACAAGGCTGCGAGATGCTCCTATTGCTCCTATTGTTTTCGGGTCTACTGTTGATGCCATGGAGATGGTGCGCCAGAGGTGTTCTCGAAGGAAATGAAGCCGAAAAGTGAAGCTGATGCGAAGTGGTGAGAGGCGACAGGCGACACAGGATCAGATGGCCCAGACATTTCTCTGAAACCTGTTAGTCCTTTGCGTATGAACTGTTTCATGGTTAGTACTCACGCTGTGCAAATGGGGGATATGAGGCTGAAGTGCTGATAGTCTACCAAACGACGGCACATAAGGGAAAGGATGGAGGATATGGGTTTGAAAAAAAGAGACTAGAAAGAGAAGAAAATGATTTCAAGCTTGTATGCTGAAGGAAAGAGAGACTGGAGATATATTCTTGTAGGTATTTCTTATGTACTTGATTTAGCGCTAGAATAGTCGGAAAGTTGTATCGATAAACAGAAATATGCAAACTTCATTCCACCATGCTTCGGTCGATAGTTGACCACCGTGTTATGCAAGATTTCATCGTGCAGTCGACCATTGATATGACTATTCCAAAACATAATATCCTTGATTCGACTATCATGCCTTGTATTCAGGTGGCGGAGCCGAAGCCACCGGTGCTTTGGGCACTGAACCGACCTTTGCGTGCGTAGCTGCATGGTTACGCAATATCATTCTGGTCTTTGGATTATTTGAGTAAAACTCGGGGGTATGGCCATAGTCGTCCTTTGAATCAACGATAGCACCATGTGCAAGTAAAAGCTGGATCATCTCAGTAGTCACAGTGCCGTACCCCATATTCTCAGCGGTGATCGCTATCTGAAGTGCCCGACCTCCTTGATAACCTTTCATCTCAGTATCCGCGCCATAATTCAAAAATATCCGTACCATCTCAATCTTGTCTGTCCTGATAGCCCTATAGAAATGGAGCTCTTTGTCCGCACCGGCAGTCTTACTCAGTTCTGGATAGTGGCGTAAAAAGACTTCGACAGTCCGGCTGTGACCATTTTTCACTGCCCACGCGAAAGGCGTGTTTCCATCGTAATCTTTTGAGTAGACTTGCAGACTGGGTCCGACCAATCTGGTCCATACTGATCGATTCAAAGCCTTGTCGTGCTTTAGAAGAAGATCGCAGATGTCATGATGCCCTTTTGCAGCCGCCAGGTGTAGCGCCGTTTCGTCCTTATTAGCGCCTAGGGTGGGGGTGTTGCAATCCAGAAAGAGTTGGACTATTTCTGTATGGCCCAAGGCTGCAGCAAGGCGAAGGAGCCTAAATGTTTCGGTCTCCTTTATCTCGTTTGTAGGAGGATCACACTCAAGGAACAAGCGAACAATCTGTTTGTGACCACCCCTTACAGCAAGGCGGAGTGGTGTTGCGCGGTTGCCATCCTCGATCCGAGGTGATGCATTGTTTTCGAGAAGGAGGCGGGCGATATTCCAATAACCCTCTTTTGCGGCATTATGAAGAGCCGAAGTTCCGACCTCGTCCACGGTATTCGGATCTGTCCCGGCCTCTAAGAGCGCCGTGACAAGATCAAGTCGGCCATGAGCCGCCGCAACAATAATGGTTTCAGTGATTTGGGATGTTTTATTCGATTTTTCAGCCATCTTGATATATGCACGTAACTTAGTGATGGGAATGAAGTTGGGTGTTCAATCTCATCTTATTGAATTTTTTTGGCTTTTTAGCGTAAATCGACTTAGCCCATTCCAGTACCAATAAGCGAAATCTATCAGCGTTGTTCCCGGCGATCTCCACGTGGGTGTATAAGCCACATAGATATCGAGATACCAAAGTCGAAAGAATGAATTTGCAGCGGGTAACAATGTCAATCGTATTCTTCTTTAAGCTCAATATAGTTAAATGCAACAAACCTTGGAAGATACTGAGGCAATAGCTGCCAAGAGGCTGAGTGGCTGAGTCTTTCAAGTGGATCACGGAATTAGGCTACACTTGCCTTGATTGGTCACAGCCGTGTGCATAGCGGGTATCATCGCTCCGAATGTAAACTGTGAGTTATTCAGCCGCTTAATTCGTATTCTCTCTGGGGTATACACTAGTATCGTACCGCCTGGGGGCCGACGGGGCGCTTTCCGGGGCGCTGGCGCCGGGGCTTTGACGGGGGCCCTTCGAACAGCCCCCTCCGCCTAGGTGGAGAAGCCAGCTCCGTTAGACACTACAGGTCCCGGGTAGTGTAGTTCTAGGATTGACGGTGATTTTGACAAAGGTGATGTGGAATGTATGTTTGAATATGGTAGATCAAATTGTGAAGTTGTTGATTAGGGGCAATCTCCTTAACACGAACACTTTTATTATGTTCGAAACATTCGAAATAAAGCAGACTCTAATCAACTGACAACTTTTCCATCTGAAAGATGCCCTCAGATAGAGTCCACCTATTGCGAATATATTCAGTAAAGTGCCCAGAAACCCACTTGAGAGTTCCCGCGAAGGGGCTGTCACCGGCGTTTGACGCAATCTCTGCCAATAGCTTTCCGTAGGCCCACATATCATTCAATCGACGTGCTTGGAACGGAAGCTCAATAGGTAATATTTCATCTTGTGTCTCTGGAGCACGCCATTCGTGTGTTACTCCATCGATGCCGCTGATATCAATGGGGACTACATTACCATCATAGTCGAGAACAACGTTTGAAGGCTTTATGTCCATGTGCGTTGTCCCTGCGCGGTGAATAACGCCTAAAGTATTCCCAATTTGAATAGCCCATCTCTCCCAGCCGAACTCCTTAACACGCTGTTTATCAAGAACATGCTGTAAGGAGCCACCACTATAGTACTGAATACCGCTCACAACCAGTTGTTCGACTTCATTTTGAGGGGTTGCGTAAGGGTTATTTAACATCGCAATACTAGCTGGCTGAACGACCCCTGTCAAGCCTTTGAATTGTTAAAGATTCTCTAGTTCTTCCTGTATAACGACCGAGTCGTGCGGTTAGTAAAACGGACGTTTGACGACCTTTAGAACATATGGTATTTTGTCGCCTTGTGTAAAACGCGGAACACTCCGGGCGATTCCATCCTCTTCGATCACTTTGGCGATATTGATAGCTTGGAAAGAGAGGAATTGGAGATGTAACGGATAAGTCGCTCTCAATGGGTCCTCCCGAATGTAGACTCGAAGGCTTGGAGCAAGCTTTGTAAACGGATTCGAGGTATCTACCGATTGGCGGTATAGCATGATAGGTTCAGTTGATTTCGGATCTTCGCTTAAGATCACTTCAGTCTCAATGTTATCTAAAAGTGATAAATATTCAAAATTTGTTCGTCGTTCGAGTTCTGATTGTATTTTCGCTGGTTCGGGATGAACAAAACAGTGATTAAAAGTCATTTTGATCCACGTTTTTTTGTCTTGATACTCGTAGATGAGAGTCAGTGAGCGACTGTACGGCTGAGGCTCCGCTTCGACTCCCTATCTTCACAGTACGACTTCATTCCAAGGTCAGAAGTGGTAGAAAGAGAAACAGAAGCTGTTGCGGTTGGCATCTTGACTTGAAGAATATGGTTCATAGGCGAGGTAATTATTTTTCAGATTGGAAACTTGTGGGAAAGGCGAAGATCGCTTATGTTTTAAGCTCGATGTCTGAGGCACTAAGGTACCACTCGACATTAACCATTTTCTCGTTTCGAACGTATCTTTTTATCGAGCCCCAAGCTGGTTGTGTTGTAGAAACCAACCTAGCATGAACTAGCATCCCTTAGAGCTTACCTTATCAACCGTGACTTTCTATCCTGCGGTCATCTCGGAAGATCCCGAGTGCAAATGCCATCCCACTCTGACGCGATAGCGATGTGAATCATGCGGGGTCAATCTCGGAAGCTCAGAACAGAGAAAATATATATTTTTGCTTATTTCTATTTGCTCTTTCTGCGCTATAACATTTCCCCAAGGTCTTTACTTTTCCTTTTTCACCCTTTCCTTTTCTCAAAGCACCATGACTATCGCAAGAAAACCGCGCGTTGTTTCCCTCGGAGAGCCTGCATTTGTGGGCAATGAATACCTCGCTCAATTTCAAACCGAGTTCGACTATTCCGTCTTACCTGCGAAAAATCGCGAAGAAACCCAGACCTTGTTACCAAAAGATATAAAGGAAAATGGACCTATCGACGCATTCATAGTTCGCATGGGTACGCCGCCTTATGAGCCATTCGATGAGGATTTACTTCGAGCACTGGTCCCGGGGTGCAAGATCATCACTTCTGCTAGTGCGGGGTACAACGAGTTTGACGTGGACTGGATGGCGAGTCAGAAGATTGTGTTTTGCAACACCGTCAATGCCGTCGCCGAGGCTACTGCGGATATGGCTATATTTCTGATACTTGCTGTTCTGAGGAATACTACAAATGCCGAGCAGAGTGTACGGAGCGGCATGTGGAGAAAAGGCGCGAACCTGGTTCCTACTTGTGATCCGTCAGGATTGACTCTTGGGATTGTCGGTATGGGTGCTATTGGAAAGGTGAATCTTCAAACGTCTTTATAGACTCTAGTGTAGCTGACTTTCTCTCCTCAGTACCTTGCCAAGAAAGCCGCTGTCTTCAACATGAAGATTAAGTACTACAATCGACGTCAGCTACCAGCCTCCGAAGAAACAGTTTATGATGCAACATACTGCGAGTCTCTACATGACCTTCTTCGCGAAGCAGATATCGTCTCCCTGAGTTGCCCTCTGAATGCTGCAACTATGAACCTAATTAGCAAAGCCGAATTTTCCGCCATGAAGAACGGTGCATTTCTCGTTAACACGGCCAGGGGAGCTGTCATCGACGAGGAGGCTCTCATTGCGGCACTTGAGTCAGGTAAGGTACAACGTGCTGGACTTGATGTGTTTGTGAACGAGCCAAGCCCGAATCCCTACTTTCTGCAAAGTGATAAAGTCGTTTTGCAGCCACACTTGGGTGGCTTGACCGAGAAGGCATTTCAAAAGGCTGAGAGAGAATGCTTTGAGAATATCCGCGCTTTCTTCATGTCCGGCAAAGCGAACTCGCCAGTTAATACCAAAACAACGCCCCCTTGAGGGTGGAATGTTTCAGTGACAGTGGATATCAGCACAGTGCAGTATCTAGCCAGTAATAACTCTAGATCCAGAAATGAATACATTGTTATTAGCTTCCACGTACGTAGCCCCAATAGGCCCATGAGGGATACTAAACTTATTTTGTAACTTGTCTTGTTAACTTCTAATCCAGTGATGTATAACTGATCAATAACAGGAATACGCAAGTCGTTTCCACTGGTCCCAGAATTTTGCGCTGTTGTGGGGTGGCAACTGGGTAAGACGTTCGTAGTAAATAAGACACAAAGTAAAGGCGCGTGACGCGAAGCTGATGAAGTGGAATCCTATCAAGATGCATAAGAGGGTGGGTCCATTTATGAACCGGCTTGCTGACTTATTATGCCTTAAGGCAATTATGCCGAAGTTAATCAGTTCATAACACTCTTATTGGATATTACCTCGCCACCTTCACAAACCTGTACAAATATCACTCATATCAGTACTTGTTTTAATTTCTCTTGCTCTTTTGTTTCCAATTTAAATACTTTTTGCACATATATAATCCATTTTCGCCATAACATATATTAGATCGGGTATGGAGTAAAGGCGGACAGGATTCACTTTGTCTGAAGCATAAAATGGCCAAGGCATAAAATTACTAATCGTGCCAAGCGCCCAACCTTGGAACACACCTACCAGGTAATCTTAAGGTTACTTGATGTCATTTAATGAGCAAGGTAAGCGTGATACGGCTGGGGAGGGCGTTGCTAGACAACACGAGATGCGGGTAATTTACAGCATAAAGCCCCGCGAGTTCCCATGGTTGAAAATAGGGAAATCGTCATAGACATCAAAGTGGAAAGGTCCTAGGTATATATCAAGTCGTGTAGGTGGCAGCCTTTACCCCACATTCAATTTCAAAACAGTCACCATATTGACAATGCATCATGGACATTGAAATGGCCCAGAAATATATCCAGATCCAGATTCAAGATGATCTGAAGTATGATATCCGCATCGAGAATGCGGAACTTGAAAGGTACATTTCTTTTCTCTCTTTTCAAGAAGAAGGCATGTTTTCTGAAGTATGCATAGTGGCAAATTCTACAGCTCAGATGATCGAGACAACATCTTAACGTCTGAAGATGTTGACGACGTGATTATTCGCCATAACGGCGGAATCCGAAGTATCTGCGCTATGGATGCGTCAGAAGGAAGTATCGATCTCGTTGACGATGTACGGGACACGAAGATTTGTGATCTAACCTGGAGAGCCTCTACACAGCTTGAAGATCGCAATGAGATGATGAAACTCCACCACGATCCTAGATACATCGTCGACATTGGGGAATGGAATGAATGTGGCAATATGGGATGGATTCCTGTTACTGTCAAGGAACAAGATTGATCGTTATCGGACTCGGAATGAACGGGAGACGGGAGTGGATTTGTGCTTCATTTCGGAACAAATTGAACATAGTTGGAGCTTCTTTTTCTTGAAAAAGAGATTGTCGCTATGGTCAGAAACTTGAAGTGATGTCGGCCACCTGGTCTCGGAAATACGTTTTCTGTATCGGGAAGCGCCTGTCGAGATATTCCAAAAAATAGTCTCAAATGAAATGCCGTATCATGTATTCAGTGCGAAAGATAACAAAATCCAGGAAATCCCATATTAGATACGATAAATACAGCACTTCGTAAGTCAGCCTGCGATTTGCTCTTATCCTAAGCTCTTTACTGTGTATCAGCGCTATGAATGGGGACATGGTATACTTGAGCAACCGATTAGCCGTTCTTCTGATCCATAGGTTGAATGCTATGGAATTTATCCGAGTAAGATTGTTACTTGATGTTTATATATATACTTGATTTATTTCTAATACGGCTATATTGTATCTTCCTCGGTTTATGCCCAAGCTCATATCTGTAGTTCTGTTCCCCATACCGTTAAATGAAAGGTTCTATATAAGAAGTCGTTTGTACAAATTAAACCTTTCCCCACGTCAAAATGATATCTGAGAAGACCATTAAATTAGCCCCTGAAAAGACCACCGAAAAGACCACTTAAAGGACTGCCAAAAAGACAGCCCGCAATACCGAGTCTTTCAAATATCAGGATACATTAACATAATGAAGAAAGGCAAACTTAGAAGTTTCTGAGTACAAGGTTTATGTCCGATCCTAGGGGAGTTCTTTTCCCGATAAAAGTTCGGACTCGAAACTCACAAGGGGAATATTTGGGTGGAAGGAGCCTCTCAGGTTCTGAGCCCTTTAAAAAGTCGTGACTCTCAAAGTAACTTAACTTTGTCAACAACCCCTCTCAAGATGCCGAACAATGAGCCTACCGTGAGTGTCATTCAGACCTTCTTCGTCCCACTCCCCCTCCCCTTTCTCCGTGTCTTCACTCCACATCATCTCTTCGCTGCATTATCTTGCACTCGCATAGGCTTACTCTAATCAAGTCTTGTGTTCTTTCCTCTTCTCTTGTTCATCTGGCCGCGATGGCGACACGTATCGTTGAAGATCTACGCGACCCCAATCACAACGTCCGGATTTATGACAATGATGGAGCCCTGCTGGCAAGTAAGCAAAGCTCACTGTGCAAACGCGACCAGGGAATGCGAGAACGCCTGCCATTAATGTTACATCGACAGCCTTTCAGGTCAGCTCGGACTCAAGCGACAGATACCATACTTCCGAGATGGTGTATCGCTACTGTAGCATGATATTCATCGTCCAGAGCCAGTCAGAATGGTCGATCTTTTACCTGCATGCGAATGGCTTCGCCCCTGATTCTACCGGAAAAGCTTATGAGCACTCCAAGAAACAGAGAGCGGGGACCAGCAGCCCACCTCGTTTCTCAAAATGCGAGAATACGGGCCCTGGTGTATTGATAAGGCTCAGGACGTGAAAAACTTTGCCAGAGCCATGGAAATTGTATGGAGATCGAAAGATTTAAGGTCTGCCTCAATAAAGACATGCTAGACCTGCAGCAAATCACTCCAGTCACCATGGTCGCTCTGGTGACATGATAGATCGGGTTCCTTCAGAGGCAAAACGGGCAGAATTAGCGAAATGGGATGAGGCGCCACTTCTGCTACTCTTCTTTTGCCATGGGCTACCGAATCATGACTTGTTGTTGGATGATGGGAAATCAGATTGGTACAATTGCCGCGACTTTCGACCGCCCCTCCCGCGATCTTCCCTTCCCGGCCGGTTATAAATATGACCTTTCATTGATCAGTAGCACGGAGCTGATCAATATGCGCGCATCACCCGGTGTGAATATTGTTCTTGAATGGGCCAATGGAGAAGAAGCACTTGGGGGACACTCTGTCTTTTGTGCACGCTATACACGGAGTGGAAGCGGACCGGCCCCGACCAAGACAATATGATCACCGGACGAGTATTTGCATGCGGAGAGGTGACTGATGAGAATACGAGGCAAGCGGTGAAAAATGGAGCCCAGTATCACCGGGAAAGGCAAAGTAGAGATCATACAACCAGTCTGCTTTGGAACACACTATCATGCACCGAGCGCGTTCTCAATTGGCATTTCGGTTAAAATAAATTCATTTAAATGCATAGCTATACAACCGGGTGAGCGCGCAGCCCAGTTAGATTTGCAGCTCGCAAGTAAAGTACATAACCAAAAATATGTGTCGTAGTCCTGGAGATGGCAACCCATTCACCATGGCAGCGCACTCACCATGGCAACATGCCGAGTAATTTTTAAACTCAGTCACTCCCTGCTCACTTATTCCTCTATCCCTCCTTCATCTCTTCCGTTACCTTAGATCTTTCCAATTTTCAGTTGAGAGAACCAAGTGTCATTTTCAACCATGGAGAATTATCAGAAAATTGAGAAAGCCGGTGAAGGTGACATATTGTGCCTTCTGTTAGCATGGCTACCATGGACCCTAGCTGACGATGGTCTTACTTACCCTAGGAGCATACGGTGTCGTGTACAAGGCTCGAGAGCTGAAGCACCCCAACCGTATCGTTGCTCTGAAAAAGGTCCGACTTGAAGCTGAGGATGAGGGCGTCCCTAGCACAGCCATCAGAGAGATCTCCCTTCTCAAAGAAATGAAAGACCCGAATGTTGTCCAGTTGTTGAATATTGTACATGACGATCGTCGCAACCTCTATCTTGTTATGGAATTTCTGGACATCGATCTGAAGAGATATATGGACGCCCTGCCTGTTAGCGAAGGCGGCCGCGGCAGACGTTTACCGAATGGATCCAGGATGAGAGTCGGTTTGGACGCAGCGATGGTGAAAAGATTTATGGCACAACTGCTTGAGGGTGTTCGCTACTGCCACAGCCATCGTATCCTACATCGTGATTTAAAGCCGCAGAACTTACTCATTGACCGCGAGGGTACTTTGAAATTGGCTGACTTCGGACTGGCTCGAGCCTTTCGCATTCCGCTAAGGAAGTATACCCATGAGGTAATAACTACCTACCTAAAGAGAAACTACCTTCGCTATTGAATGCTAACATCTGTTTCCCAATAAGATCGTGACCTTATGGTATCGTTCCCCGGAAATCCTTCTTGGTAGTCCCTTATATTCCACCGGCGTCGATATGTGGTCTGTCGGGGCTATCTTTGCTGAGATGTGCACCCGCGAGCCTCTCTTCGCTGGTGATTCGGAAATTGAACAAATATTCAAGATCTTCTGGTAAACACCATTTTTCCATGTCTCTATAATGGGATTGACTTTTCAATTAGTCTCCTTGGTACTCCCAACGAACAAAACTGGCCCGGTGCCACTGCGTTGCCCGACTTCAAATCCAGTTTCCCCAAATGGAAGCGGACCCGTCTTCCTCTAGTGCCTGGCTTGGAGAGCGCTGGCTGCGAGCTACTGGATTCTCTTCTCCAGTACGACCCCACGAAAAGACTTTCCGCGAAACAGGCTTGCCTTCATAAGTACTTTCCTAATGGAAGTTCATACTATTCTGGAAGAGCCTGTTGAAGCATTAGAGTATTGACCAGTGCAGTGGTGACCTGAGCCTGCCATGTACTAGGATCTGTGAACTACCTATATGCGCATGTAGTCTTCGAGACGCTCATAAAAAATAAGAATAGTCTGCTGGTTATTCTAAACAGACAATCCAATGTATTGCTAGCATTAATATGTATGAATTTGGCGTTTTCATGCCCTCGAACCCTTTGCGCTAATGCATGTCACGCAAATATGGTCCCTTACTTCAATAGAGTAGTACATACACTTCTTGAGAACGCATGTATATCAAGTATACATATCACGTAGATATATTATGATGTACTTGGCTAGTTGTAGTTAGGCTTTTAGGATAAAGCAGAGGGGAGGCTCAGGAGAATATGTACCGCGTTCCACAGATACAAGTAGATGGGTCATCTGGAACAGGCAATCAGAGCAACTAACTGTTTTACACTAAACCCTACGACATGTGACCCTATACCTTACGAAAACGCAAGTAGCAAGTAAAATGTCGCACAACGTCCTGAAGCCCAGCTTAGTGAGGCGAGAGGGAGAGGTCATCATGGGATTCATGGCCTTGTAGTTAATAAGTCCTATACAGAAAGGGAAACCGAATATGTCACTGACTTTAGGAATGGGAAACCACTGGTGGGCTAAATTTACCATGATCTACAAATATTGGACGCGAATGATTCAAGGACCCTGTTGTGACCCATTAACTGTTTGTACTTGAGTCGTTGTTAGGAACTACATACATCCACCATAAGAACTTCCAGTTGAATCAGGTCCTCGTGGTATTGAAGATGGATATATTGAACAGCTACTGGATTTTTTCCGCGCTTGCTATTCTGGCTCTCACCTACAAAATTTTTCTATTCATCTGGCATGTGAGTATATTGCCGTTAATTTATATAACCTGGGCCATTGCCAAGTAGCAGATGCGTTCTAAATTTGGTGCTGCGAGTTGTTCTAGCTCCAGTGACAGACAAACACCGTAGTCCCGAAGACCTTCTTCTCCCAGCAATCCATCGCACCAGAGCCCCTTTATCTGAATATAACTACAATTTCCACAAGTCCAACTCAACATACTTTACGGACCTAGACATGTCACGCGCCAATTTGAGTCTCTTGCTTTTCCACCAACATCTATAACTTCATGCGACCCCCACCACCGCTAGCATGATCCTGAGCGGGGTGCAATGTGGTTTTAGAAGGGAGACCAAGCTATATCAATCATATGAGGTATGGTCTCGAGTTTTGGGTTGGGATAAAAAATGGTTATATATCTTGTCACCCTTTATTGAAAGAGGTACGATTCAGCATGCCAAATATCATCTGCAAAACGAAGACCGGGAGCGCTTCCAAAGCTATCATATCCACAAAAAGGTGTTTGCATCAGCCGTTTCCCGCTACGTCTTCAAGCTTGGACACAAGACCTTTCCTCCCGGGAAAAAGCTGGGATGGGATGCTGTGCATGAATGCTTTAATGGGGATGAAACTGCTGCACTCGGGATATATTCCTGTTTCTTGTGGTAATAATAAACCCTCTAAAGAAATTACCAGTAACAATCTTTCCTTTTTCCCTGCTCTAATGTGTGAAGGTATTGAAGACAGTGCCCAAGTATGCTGCTGACGCAGAGAAATTTACGGAGGTCTAATTGGTCTATATAATATGAATTATCCAGCTCTTATGAACTATTATCATTGTTTCTATAGCCATTAGGGTGGCGGAAAAATACATATGATATATATATAGCATGGAGGCCCATTGTTGCTCTATATGAACTGCTTATCTATTCCGGTTCCTATAACTGCCACAAAAGCTCGCCTCATCGACTGATAAATAACTAGTACTTCATGTCATTTGGGCTACTTTTACTGGATAATAGCAGGGCACTCAGGATTATCTTGATGAGCGATAGCTTATAGTTTTCTCGCATGGAATGAAGGGGTCAGAATTCAGCATCCTTGCAGCATTTGATGTATATGCTAGGGATGGAATGGATAAGTGATGGACAATTTTCCCTCCCATATTAGCGGATACTGTCATTTTTGTACTACATGTCAGGTTATTTCGACCTCAGCAGATCCTCATACATACATTCACGTGTAACCCCAATGCACGATGACAGATCACACACAGTTACTTCAACATGGCTGAAGATTTCTATTCACTATATAATTGACTTCAAGGATTCATTTTCCTAAGAAATTTATTGGCTACCAACTTCTTTTGATCGTGCCCGCTCTCAACTAGCCTACTAGCCATGTCCCTTCTTCCGCTGTATAGCTTCGAGCCTCCTCTTGACATGATCATACATCGCTACCTTTGTTTGAAAGCTATATTGTTAAACAATTACAAAGATAGTCCATTCACTCATGGCATCCAACTCGTACTCCGCCCGGGTTGAGAAACCCGTGAATATGCCTTCCCTACTCTACTACTACGAGAATCTACACTGGTTCCATCTGACTGCCCATATCGTTATTCCAGCGGTTCCCATATTATGCTGTCCATTTGTTTCTCTAAGCCTAAACACAGCCCTCCTGGGATTTGTTCTTTATTGGATAGGCAGCGTCAGCCTCACAACTGGTAAGTTCAGCAGCCACATGGGTTCTCCATAGATCTAATCAGATTATGGCTACACAGGATATCATCGCCTATGGACGCACAGATCATACGATGCTTGCGTTGCCTTGAGGGTATTTCTGGCAATCATCGGAGCGGCACAGCTCCAGAGATCAATTCTCTGGTGGGCAAGACACCACCGTGCACACCACTGGTATCTCGATACAGACAAGGATCCCTACGATTCTCGAAAGGGTTTCTTTTTTACCCACATGGGCTGGCTTATCGGACACACGCCCAAGGAGTGGGGCGTAGTCAGGATCTCAGACTTGAAAGAGGATCCAGTAGTCGTATGGCAACACAGATATTATGAGATCATTGCTCCGTTATGTTGTTTCGGGCTGCCAACCATGATTGCCCATTACGGATGGAATGACTGGCAGGGCGGGCTCGTTTATGCTGGCTTCTTTCGTGTTCTTCTAAACCAGCAGGTGACGTATCTGGTCAATTCTCTCAACCACTCGAAGTGGGCAGGGGCACAGCCATATTCGGACAAGAATAGCGCTGTGAATAACCTTTTTACTGGAATTTTCGCCAGTGGCGAAGGATACCACAATTTCCATCATACTTTCCCAGCAGACTTTCGCAATGGGGTACAGTGGTATGAGTTTGACATATCTAACTACCTTATTCGGATATGGTGCCAGCTTGGTCTTGCTAAGAATCCGGTAATGGTGAGCAAGTTTGAGATTGAGAGAGCGCGACAGCGACAGAGACGGGAGAACCGGGTTGACGGGGCGGCTGAGAACGTTGAAGCGGATCACCAGCCTCTGTCACAGCTTCCGAGGATGCAGTGGGCGGAATTTCTTCGCCAAGCAAACACTGGCCGATGCCTCGTATGCATCGACGGAGTGATCCATGACATATCTGGTTTCATGGGAGAGCACCCTGGGGGCCGAGATTTATTACATGAAGTTCTTGCCAATGATGGGACGGCCGCATTCTATAATGGTTTTCATGCCCATTCTGCTCATGCCAGAAGAATCTTGGCGACAATGCGAATTGCCACTCTTGAAGGGGCTCAAGTGTCTAACTGGATGTGACTTTCGTTGGATGCGGTGTATGGAAACCAGGAAAAGGGCTCTTTCCGCATCGGTGTTTTTTTGTTCAGGCCTCCTACTGATATGCTCTTATCTTTGGTTTTGAATTGGATTATCTTATTTGAGAAGGGGTGCTTAACAAGACTGCTAAACATGTGATTTTTCTAGATATATCCTTGCTAACGTTTTCGGTTTTCGTGCGAGCTTACAGTCATAATAACTTATATCCGTCCCTCGGGTACCTGTTTAGCATACAGTGGAAGAGAGAGATGACGAAGGAGGATAGATCTGATCGTAGAACCTATTAACGGACAGGGTATATATACCCCTGTAAATCTAGCAAATAAAGTGGCAAACTAGCAAGCACAGGGTCTCAGTAGTCTAGACTAGGAAATAGCAAACAGCACGGATATCACAACAGTACCAGTTCTAATCCGGAGTAAATGGTCCCTTACCCCGTACCTCCACCTCGCTCCACCATGTTAAATTAAAGACATGTGCTGGTAACGTCATTTAAGTCCGCTGACTGCGCCTCGTTGGATGGTTGAATTTGATTCGTTCAGTGTACTGCAAGACAAATAGGAACAGGGTTTACACTAGTTGAAATACCAGCGGAGTAAAGAACCGAGCCGAGTGTACGAAGTACTTTTGGGAGAAAAAAAATTCAAGATGACTCTTATGGGACCAATAATATGACTTCAATTTTTGTTCTAATGACCGGTATATTCCGCTAGCTTGGGATGCGGTCTGGATTGGAAATCATATAAAACTAGTCTGGTACATTCAACTTCGTTGTGTTGATCGCGTTAATTCTCCCCCACGCCAGATCGACTCCAGGTTATTCCTCTCTACACGTTGGTCAAAATGCGTCTCTCTGCTGCTGTTGTTGTGCTCGCTGCCGGTGCCGTCGCTAGAGCTCAGCTATCCAATATCCCCCAATGCTCTGTATGTCCCGTCCGCTCAATATTTCTGCTGTCTCGTTTCTAACCCGTGGTTGTTTTTCTGTTCTAGCTTACCTGCTTCACCTCTGCCCTCGGAAGTGACGGCTGCTCTGAGCTCACGGATTTCGCGTGCCATTGCCAAACGCCTGGCCTCGTAGGGGAGATTGTGCCATGCATCAATGAATCCTGTGATGTCCCGGACCGAAAAGGTATGAAAAGCTACAATTCCCTCTTGCATGACCCGAATCTAACTAGTCCTTATAGCTGTCTCCAGCATCGTTGATAACTTGTGCTCCGGTGTTGGCCATCCGATCTCTATTACCGGGGTGGACACATCGGCTCCCATAACGACTGGAACAGGAGCTGTCCCAACCTCCTCGAGAAGCTCCAATTCCACTACCACAAACAGTGGTACTTGGTCAAGCTGGTCGAGCTCCAAGTCTACGACAACAATTACTTCCACGATCAGTGGAACCTCGCCAAGCACCCCAACTTCGTCCACGGTCGGCGGTGGGTCAGGCTCCCCGATTTCGTCTTCGACCAACCCAGGCTCGCCCCAGCAGACCCCGGGCGCCCCTGAGTTCAATGGTGCCTCTGCTATTGCACCCGGAGCTGTCCAGATGGTTGGTAGTGTTATCCTGCTCGCCAGTATGGTCTTCTTTGTTTGAAGAGCCATGTGGGGCGACAACGGAATGGTTTTTTGATTGCTCTCTGCTATACTTAATCTGGCGCTGGTACCTCCTACGTTAATTGCCTCTACCAGGCTATCTCAAGCCACACTCATTTTAATACCCTTACTATTCTAGAATTGAGTGTTCATACATCGAATGGTGGGAGTTTGAATTCAAGACGCATTTATTCACTAGATATATTCATAGTCTGAAGTAATACATACTGTCTTCTCTAGTTTTTTGATGACTATATAAAAATACCAAATGGGTAGAACTATCTGAGACATAAATACACCATTATACGGGCATCCCACTTTGCTCGCCTCCCCCAACCGGGTGTGGGGGCAATCGGATGCAACGTCGGCAACAGCGCACTAGAAAAAAAAATGAAAAGAAGGATAGGGGAAATGAGTTTGTAATCAGCCAACAATTTAGTGGAGCAAATGGCATTTGACTCCAACACGATTCTGTGAAGTTGAGAGTTTGCTGCCCGATTTTTGATAGACAGTAAAGCATGCTCCCCCGCAAGTCGATCATGGTCCTTATCATCTCCCCCAGAGTATTATGGCGGGATGCGACGGATATCTCCTCCGCAGTTGAAAGAATATGGGGCATAATTGGCCGATCTCACACCCCGCAAGCCCTAATTAATTAGACTTTCTAGCATATGCTAAAATTCTATCTACACTGAGGTCTGGGGATTGGAGAACTAGAACCTCGGCGATTGAAAAATTTGGCAAGACATGTGAAAATAAGAGTTTTAGCTCGCTTACTATTTCCATGAGACATTAATTAGAGAAAGTACGCTAGACAACGCCAATAAAAGCCACCAAGCCACCCATGCCCGCCAAGATTTACCCGAAAGATAGGCCTAGAGAGATGGCTTTTGGAATAGTACGGGCTCTGAACAGGATCGTCTTTGCTTTTGCTTCTTTTTTGCTCTGTAATTTACAATACCACAAATTAATCCCCGAACTCCCCTACATACAAGTGGGGGTACTACAAATCTTGGAAGTGTTGCTTTTAACTCTAGGCCGGCTGAGGACAAAAAAAAAAAACAAGGCTAAATATTACAATATTAGGGAATTAAATCAAAATCATGCGCACGTACCCAGCTCTGCTAAAAGGTCCCCGGCCGTGAGGTCGATACCGCCAGCGCTCGAATCCTCCCTGCCAAACCCTATGAACAGTGTATCATCAATGAACCCATGGTACTTTTGCCCATGGCTTTTCCAACTAACACTAGTCACATAGACCATCTCAGAGTCATCTTCCAGTAATCCCGTGGAAGAGTCTTCTAATTTCTCTGATCTAATGCCGCGACCAAAGATCCAGAGTGGTTTTGACGAGACGGCATGGATGTCAAACGGCGCTGAACGCCGCATCAGCACCACATACGGCTCATATACGGCATGAAGACCTAGTACAGTCTTTCGCTGGATGATGAAAAGCACAAATGTATTGGTGGCATCCGCTCGGCAAAATGGGTCCGATCGTGCGCATAGAGTGATAGCTAGCGAGTTTGTGGCTTGATGAATGACTCCGGTCTCAGGCAAGAATCTTTTGAGACATTTTTGGTCCGAAGTAGCGGTTGTAAGCGCTAGGTTCGGTCCAACAGAGCCATCTAGCTCTAGTTTGGAAAACACTCGGCCCGGTGTAATTTCATGGTGCAGGAACATTTGTCCCGAATCGTCCCAGAAAATAAACCAATTCTTTTCAACAGCATTCCATGGCATTGGGCGTTGAAGTTCGCGATATTGTCGGAATTCGTGCTCATTTATCGCGTCTACCCCCCAATCCATCATGATTCGGAAGTCGGATATCCATTGTCCGAAGCATGTAAAGAATGAATTGGAGCCGTAAATCGTGTACGGGATCTCCGGCCCGTAGAATACCCTTGCGTCATGGGGCCCGATGCTGAAACTAAAGTACGAAAGGTCGCCGTGGCACTTGTTGGGGTCACCGAAGGTCGCTGGGATGGGTAATTGTAGTGGGGGCTCCAGACAGCGCAGGGTTCGCTTGTCGGCTGAAAATGCCGCATTGCAGACGAGTTCAGCGAACCAGATTGAGGGAGCACCAGTAGAAGGAGGATTGCGAAGTTGTGCAGTGATGATCCAGGTGTCAAGCAGCTCTGGATGGGGGATTATACTGGGATTCATGACGGATCTTTTTCCGAAATCGAGATCAAAGTATTTTCGATCGGGATTTGATGCCGAGTATAGTATGTGGTGTGACCGAGACATATCTTTGTCGGATCCAGCATATTTTCGGTCCTCATCCGTAACTTGTCCATCCCGGCACTGGGACAGAGCTTTGCTGCCATGAACGCCTGAACAAGCTATTTGTGACTGGTTATATTGACCAACCGAGAAATGATCCGTAAACTGAAATGTTGATTGCAAGTTCGGATGGTAATAAAATTTGGCGACAAGTATGACCGTGGACAATAGCCCTGCAATAAGTATCAGGTGTGTGGCTTTTTTTTGGGCCATGTTTAGTTTGGTGAGTGTAGACGGGATGTAACAATAAGAGGTTATAAGTCTTATTTCAGAGAAAGCCCAGCCGAGATTGGTCGTTGAAACAGACTAGAAAAGGGGGGCTTTGACTGAGACGGGAAGTGACTGTATTGAGGGGTGGCTTGGTTGCCACAACTCTTAATTTATCACGAGTGATCACAAAATATACCTTGGTGACTCGGATATCCTTGCAAAACTATAGGGAAACTGCTTCTAGTAGGGATTTTCAATATTACAAATAGTACTACCAAATCGAAGGTAAATCCCGCGTATGCCATTACAAGAACTTTATGATCCACTGGTATCCTGAGCTCTGAGCTCTGGGCTCGAGGCTTGCAGTAACTTTTGTTCCCAGTTACAAGACTATTGTTATATAGCAATTTATAATTTAAGAGAAAATTTGCATTATATACTCCAAATAGAACCAGGTAAATCATGGACACATGCAGAGGGTTGTGAAGTTTCATTCACTCAGCGCCCTTTGATAGAGCAATTGAGAGAACTTCACTGCCGGCTCATCAACTAGTCTAGTCGTAACCTCTGCCAGCCAGATGGTCAAGGGCAACAGAACCATATTTGCGACGAGAAAGTTGAGTTCAAGCCCAAACGGACCAAAGTTAGGCAACGGGAGGCGGTTAATCCACCAGGGACAATTCTGCTGGTGTGACTCGCGTACGAAGCCCACTGCAGCATAGAGCCTGTCACCCAAAATCCACAAAACTGGTCCGTGAACTAGGTAGAATGCAAATGAAATACGGCCCAAGTACAGGTTGAATGGTGCAGTAAAGAATGTCTTGAGCCACTGCAGGTGAGATGTGCATACGACGAGAAAGACGGCAGCCCAAAACAGATAGAACCACTTGTAATCAAACACTGCTTGGGGCTTTAGGAAGGATAGGAGGTACCACCCTGGCGAGTCACGTAGTTGTTGCAAATTGTCCGTATGTGATGGGACCCCTCCAAGATAAAGGCTTGTATAGAAGAGAGTAGTCATGATGGCGGCCTTGAAGGGACCCAGTCTATGAAAGAAGCGGGGCAGGTCATTTCGTACGGCGAGGAGGTCGAGATCTTGGAGAAGCATGCCGGCAATAAACATAGCATAGTGTGCTCCATCCGCAATGTACAAAAAGTACACGACCAGCGCGACTTCGGCTAAGAGCCGGGCATTGCGGCGAAGCCTTGCAAAGGCGAGAACGGCAGTGTAGACAGCCAGGGAGCCTCGGTGTTCAACGGGTATAGACCAAGCATGGAAATTGTATGTGAACCAGGGCTCGCCGCCTGTTCGGAGAGGGAAGCTGAAATTCTTGAACTCGGCGTAGTAATTCCATAGCTCCGCGAAGTAGCTTCCTTGGAGCTCCGGGATAGCCTTGATTTTAAACAAGTGCAAAAATGTAATGTAGCATAATGTTGTGCAAATGACAGGAATATATAGACGGAACCATCGACGAAACACGGCCGAGGAAAGGCATTTACCTAGTCCAACGTAATCCCCGTCCTGGATGTTTACCAATGGCCTCATTGAAAGAACGTACCCAGAGAGCACGAAAAAGACACTGACGGCAAAATGGCCCCCTGAAAAAAATGTTCGAACACCAGGAAGGCATGCGAAATAGTGCTTGTTGTCGTAACCGTAAGCCAGCTCAAGGGCCTTTCCTGGGCCTGCACCATCGTGGGCCCAAAGTTGATGATGTCCCCAGTAGACTAATAGAGCTGCAAAACCTCGCAATCCATCTAGATATGCGGTGGGCCTGATAGGTGACCGTTGTTTTTCATTCGAGTTGTCGCTATTTGACCGCCCAGTAAGGTATGTGGGCAGGAAGGGAACCATCCAAGAAGGGATTGACATCCCATGTCGAGAGTGTGTCATATGGGCAAACTGTGGTTTCCACTTTCCATCCTCGAGGGATCGCTCTGAGCTTGACTTCAACAACTGTGAAGAGTCGTCGATTGGGTGTAGTAGAGACATTGGGTGAATGGATTGAAGTCAAGAGAGGCCGTCATTTGAGAAGATCAATGGAAACCTAAATTTCTGATAATTACACGGTCAGTACAATTCTGTTGACATGTGAATGTCGTCGCATACAGGGAGTCGCCCTTGTTAGTGGGGGTGGGGGCCCCCGACTGATCCCCAATGACTAGTCACGCCGAGGCCCTAAAAGACCTGTGTCTAGATTGCGTTTTGTATTGATGAGAGATAGATCGTCGCCACATTCTGCCACTCCCCCACAAGTTAAGGCCCAAACTCAGACCTCGGGAGGGAACATTTGTCTGGGGGTGACATGTGAGTGGATATCCCCCCAGATAACAACCCCAACATGGGGGAATTCAACTAAATCCATAGCCCCCACTCAATTTCCCCTATTGGACCCCCCGCCCGAATGGCTAAAAGTTGTTTCACTGCTCAAATCCAATTAATCTTTAACCCTTAACCATTTCCGTGTCAGCGACATGCTTATTGCTTGAATGATACAATACACCCTAGCAAACACGCGAAGATGAGAGAGTAACGTGACCCGAGGCAATCCATCATAGATTTAATTAAAACCACATGTTAATTACCACATGTACTTGTATGTAATCTACTTATCAGTGAAATAACCTTGTAAGGTCCTGTCTTCCTGGACTAATCTTTCTCCTTTCTTGAACTGAATTAAATCACACAGCTCCAGTCATGCTGGAGAAGAATTTTGTGTCGCCCAGTCTCTTTCCGAAGAAGGCACGCAGATTCACACATGGGGGACTGGTGGCTTTGTGTCTGTTTATCTACTTTTGTATCACCAGAACCTCGCAGGACTTTGGCGAGAATCAATCGCAGTCCACTCCTACTCAGCTGACGAGCAATAATGGCGAACTATTTCCCAGGAAAATCTGGCAGATTTGGAAAGTGAATCCATTGGAATTCGACGGGCGTGATATCGAGGTAGCGCGGAGCTGGATATCTAAAAATCCCGGCTATAGGTACGAGGTTCTGACCGATCAGAATGACCTCGACTATGTCGACACAAATTTCGGACCCCTTGGGCTGAATCGACCAGATATCGTTGAAACATATCGGTCTTTAACGGCTCCAATCATCAAAGCTGACCTACTGCGGTATCTTGTTCTGTATATAGAAGGAGGAGTCTATGCCGATATAGACGTGGAGGCTTTGAGACCAGTCCAGCGATTCATCCCAAACAGCCACAATGAGCGCGAGATCGACATGGTCATTGGCGTTGAAATCGATGAGCCACGCTTCAGCGACCATCCTATACTAGGTCAAAAATCTCAATCCTTCTGTCAGTGGACATTCATGTGCAAACCTCGACAGCCCGTGATGATGCGACTAGTAGAGAATATCCTCCACTGGCTCGATCAGCTCTCCATGCAGCAAGGGAGGCCAATCTCAGAGCTTGAGCTGGACTTCGATGATGTGATCACAGGCACCGGGCCTTCTGCCTTTACAACCGCAATACTATCTGAAATGAGCCGTACAACGGGGCAGGAGATTACATGGAATATGTTCCATGATATACCAGAGTCCAAAGTTGTCGGAGGATTCCTGGTTCTCACGGTTGAAGCCTTCGCTGCTGGGCAAGGTCATTCGGACTCGGGCAGCCATAATTCGCGCAACGCGTTGGTCAAGCACCATTATCATGCATCCGCGTGGCCAAACCGTCACCCACGGTTCTCTCACCCGATCTTTGCAGAGGTCGAGAGGTGCAATTGGGATGAGGATTGTGTGAAGAGGTGGGATGAACAAACGAGTGCTTTTGCCGCTCTGCCTCAGGAAGAGCAGGAACGGCAGATTGCCACATTCCAGGCAATAGGCGACGCACTAAAAAATATGGAACCACCTCCAAACCAGGGAATGTTTTGAGTTTTTTTATTGCTGGAAATGTGATTATGATATAAGCGGTACGCCCTCGCAGAGCTCTCACTAGAGCCAAGGCACGAACTCTGTCGCCCCAGCACCATTCAGATGATTTGAACAGCTGCAAGCCCTGGCAGAGGCTTAATGCAACAAACAAAGATTGCATGACCCACAGCGACACAATTTGACCCTGGGGCAAATTGGGCCTCACTTCGCAGATGATTGATATGGCGTTACTGCGACAGGCTTGGATGGGATTGAAGACTCCTCAGAGATACACCTGATCTCGGGCCAATTGAAAGGGCAACTGAAACATTTTTTTTCAATCAATAATATTTCACTTGTGCTTGATTATTATTCGTCTGTACAAAATTTGCTATTCAGTCCTGTAGTCCAACCCTCTCCCCACCTTTACTTGTCACACCAGCGGAAAATGCACCATAGGACGCTAGCCCTAATGTATTTACTAAATACCACAGCGCCCAAATAGATTGCATCTATCTGTTCCTTGACTTGGAGCCTCTTGTAGGCGCGACGAATTGATGATTAATATCAAGTGCCCAGGCCTCTCTCTGGCCTGTTTTTTTGGCCATGCCGGGCTCGGCACTTCAGATGCATGGGAAAGGAGGCCAAAATATGACGCCTTGCCTCTCAAGTGCCGGCACTATCTGATACACGTGCAATTGTACTTGGAGGGAACCATCTAGTAATCCTCACCCATCGCAGGTACCTCCCGTCTCGTTCATAAAAGTTGAAAGGGGCATTGGCGGGGACATCACTCTCTTGAACTTGTACGACGAATACATGCATCGCAGCCATCCATTTGTCCTCTAAAGCCCAGCCTACCAGCGCTACTTGCTTCCATGCAATACATTGGTTTATCTTATGCGGGTCTTTTTGGCGAAGAGAGAAAATACTAGGCATGTTTGCGTGGTGGGTGGATTCGTAGGTCAAACTGTTGAGCATGCTTGTTAAGAGAGAGATGAAAAGGGAACAGAGTTGTACCGAAAAAATCTATGAGGAGACCGTATATTTATACCGATATAAAACAGTAAGCAAACTGGCAAACAGCAAGGTTGATAACCTAACAAATGCTAGTTATAGTTAACTACTTCTGGGAATAGAGTGCCTAACCATTCCGGCATCTTTCAGGCATCTTAAGGCACCGTTAGCGCTCTCTTCGGCGGGGTATTCTTAGTCTCATCCGAACTCCGACAACCAAAGTCCGCACAGCCCAGGGACATGTCTTTATTAACCCTCCCAACTGAACTACTCTCATGCATCGCCACCCACCTCCTTCCATATATACAAGATGTGAATTCTCTAGCCAAAACATCTAAAATGATGTATGCAATCGTCAACCCCATTCTCTATTACCACCAAATCCTTCATCAACATAGCTCGGCCTTAATATGGGCTGCCAAAAACAGCAAACCAGACCCCTGCAACCGCCTGCTGCAAGAAGGTGCAAACCCCAACACCCAAGATGAACAGCATAGAACGCCTCTTTTGTGGGCAGCTGCAAACGGTCACAAAGAGGTTTCTTCACTTCTTCTGCGCTCGGAAAAGATAGACCCGAATGCGCCCGATGCGCATCTCCAAACTCCTCTCGTGTGGGCCGCAGGGAATGGTCTGCCTTCTGCTTTCGCGGCGTTCGATTCGCCCAGGCCAACAGCGGATGCCGTGCATCCTAGGGCGGGCGATTACCTTGCCATTGTGAAACTGCTACTATCGACGAAAGGCATTCAGCCCGATTGCCGGACCCAGCGCGGGGAAACACCCCTTACGGCTGCCGCAGCAGCGGGAGCAAAAGATGTGGTAGAGGAGTTGCTTCGCACGGGGAAGGTAGACGCGAACTCAAATGACCGGTTCGGGCAAACTCCGCTCCTGGCAGCAGCCCGAAACGGGTACATAGGGATCGTCAAGCGCCTTTTAGCAATTGAAGGTGTCGACGCGGACGGCGGATCCCAGAGCGGAAATAGCCCTCTCCTGGCCGCCGCGAGGAACGGACACGTCGGGATCGTGAAATTGCTTCTTGCTATCCCTACCGTGGACCCAGACCGACAACCTAGTTTTGGAGACCCGGCTCTGTTAAGTGCCGTTGCTGCTGGGCACACGGATGTTGTGGAGACGCTTCTTGCTAACGTGAAGGTTGATCCGAGTTTACCGAATAAACATGGAGTTACGGCACTCATGAGGGCTGCGCAACTAGGACGGACGCAGATTATGCGGTTGCTGCTTGCGAATGGGGTCGAACCGGATACAAAGGACAGGGAGGGTAGTACGCCGCTGATGATCGCTGCTGAGAGGGGACATGTCGAGACAGTTGAGCTTTTGCTTTCCACCGGTCGAGTAGAGGTTGACTTCGACTTAACGAAGAGGAATAGGTCGTCTGTTTTTGCACCGTCGGAGTTGAATGAGGATGTTGTTAGGGTATTGGATAATCATAGGAGCCTGCGTCGAGGCGGCTCGTTAGATTCTTGAGGTCTGATAGATGTTACGTTGTATTATATATTAGAATAATAGTTATGTTAATATCGGGATGTTTCTTATTTGGTTTAAAAGATTTTGTTCTCGGCCAGACTGTCTCTCGATCGTGGCTCGAACAGTTCGATTCTTGAACGGATCGTAAATAGCACTATGCCTTTTGATAACCATAACTCGAGATCCTGCCGGGGTAGGCGTAGCAAGACATCCCACGTAAACCGGGTGTCTTTCCGAGGCGTACACCCGAAGCTATTCACACTACCTGAATAGGCAATTCCCGGCAGGACGGACGATGAATAAGCTTTGTGGGGCGTATCGGGTAGCGGCGGTAGACACATATATATATTTCATGCAGACAGAAGGATGTGCAAGTTTCTAATGATTTAGATAGCCAATAGTGAAACTTCACTATATATATTATTAGTTAATCTTATCCGTCATCAATTTAATCAATCGACTTAATTCCCATGAGATCTCGGTCAATTTGCCCAAAATACTCAAAAGTACTAGGAAAATCTGTATTACATATGGATCTGCCAAGAATTGGCAAGAATTGGCAAGTCTGTATTGTTGGAGGCCTACAGCACATCGATGGGCCTAAGGACCGGGCTCAAAGCCCAGACGATTTGCAGGTGAGGGCGGGTTGGGATTTGGGCATTATGGACCGGTGTGGAGGTCTAAGAAACTGTATGGCTAGTGTTTAGCTTGGATCGCCGAGGAAGCATATCCATGCTAGGAAACAATTCACGTCCTCCAGTTCTTCTACAGTTCCCTCTTCTAAGGCAAAAGTAAAATGGATTGGTCATGCTCTACCGTACAGTTACCTCATTACATCTGATAGACTCAAAGAACACCTACTGGTCTGAGCAAAGAAGCAGTAGATAATCGCTTGTAAGTCCAGACTTGAGACGAGAAACAAGGCACAATTAGGCTAAGGGAAGACCAAGGAAGGGTAGATCCAGTCCTGAGGTGGAGTCCTGACACACTTAAACCTCGGGGCCTTGACGGATACCTCCGACCTAGCGGGCCTTAAGGTGAACTTCTAGTAAGCCCACTCCCATAGGATTATCAAAGGTTCTCACCACCTGAGATATTTTAGCAATTATCCAGAAAATGCAGTATCAAGGAACATAATGAATGAGATAAAGTGGACCACTTACTTCATACCGTGGATCTGCCTGTTTCAAGAGCTTCTCAAACTCCCTCCTCGATCTCTGCTTCGCGCCTAAAACAACCATCATCGTCACATCTACCTGGCGCAAATGATGCTCTATATGACGGGACACCGAGCCACTTTCCGGCAAAATGACCTCATTCAACAAAAGCGGAGTACCCGGGGCACATTTCTCCAAGGCCGGGACGATAGCCCGTGTGATCTTGACTGCATCAAGGTCATTGTAATTGTGTAAACATTGTCGAAGAAGAAACGCACTGGCGTCGTGAACAGGTTGAGGCTCGAAGAAGTTGTGGCGCTGGAAGGTTACACGGCCTCCTGTGCTTGATACGCTTTCTTCTTTGACTTGGGAGAGCATTTGCTCCGAGAGGTCTTGGACTATGAAACGGAGGGATGGGTATTCCTGTGGACCAGTTGTTTTTAGTTACTTGTGCACTATATACAGAGAGGTAGAGAACTTACTCGAGCGAGGGCGATGGATATATGGCCTGAGCCACCACCGATGTCAACTACTTTGCCGACTTTTAGAGACTCCCATGGGAAGCTGCTATGCACTAGCCTTGTAACCTGGCTGTCCACTAGACCGCAATTTTTAGAATGATACTCATTCAAGCACTGAAGTGGGAAGAAGTTGGTGCAAGGGGATCAACTTGCGAGAACGGACTCACACTGTGACCATGCATTCATTGACTGTGCAAATCGTGCTCCCTTCTGCGGATTCTGCTCATAATATTCGTATGCCGGTAACCCAAACTTAGCATAGAACGCAGAGTTCTCATTGTCTGAGACGTATGGGGAACGGTCGATTTGTGTTGATAGCTCAGCCGCCGCTTTGAACATCTCGTCCATCCTGTTGAAGCCACCCTCAGTATTAGTCTTCAGAGTTACCCAACTTCTTTACCTCCCCTTTGAGCGACATAGACCTACTGCATGTGTACCATAGCATGGAAATTGCTATCCCTCGCCATAACAGCCGACATAGCCGTATGCCTAAACACACCACTCCCACTTCCAACTTCCTCGAATATACGTCGCGTGGCTAACAGACGTAACAGCCTTGTTGTTCGATTCTCGTCCATTTTGGCCTTGTCTGCAAGCATCCCCGCGTCAATGCTTCCATGTAGCGGGATATGTCCGAAGAAGCCTCGCTCAACTGCAATCTGCAACACCGCGAGGTCATAATGGGAGAAGGCATAAGTGCGTAACGTGTTCTTTGGGCCATTCACAAGACGGAGCAGGTCTAGAGCGCTATCGTTGAGGCTCGCTCGCAAGGATTCGTATTGTGGTGTTTTGGGCACGTCTCCGGAAGAGGCGCTGAAGTTGGGCTCTGGGTAGGTAGATGCGTTGAAGCAGGAAGATAGTTGTGTAGACAGTTCGGAGATTTGTTTGGCGAGTAAGATTATGGATGGTACGTCGCTCTTGGGTGATGGAGGTTTGTTGTCTAGCGATTGATTGTTGTATGACGAAGCCGCCTTGGATACTCCTCCGGACCCACCCTTAAATTGAGCTACCTTGATCGATTTTCGACGCAAAGAGCTAGAAATAGCCCGACCATTTCCCCAAAATCGAGAGATCAGTTGCGCAAAAAGAACCAGATAGAATGAAAAAATAAGCAACACCGATATGACTGCTTTGAACAACATCGTCCTGAGAGGAGTGTGATTAGAGCTACGAAATGTGAAAGGAATATATCGCTATCATGGCTTATGCTACAACGTAGAAATTTATATACACACTTACCTGTTCGGACTGCCCCCGAGAACTTGTTGTGGAAGTGCTCAGGCCTGCGAAGGAAGGATTGCCTAGCGCAGGGATTACACGACAGATACGACCTAGTGGAAGAAAGCGATGTGTCAAACACCCCCGCTACTTATTCGAACAGGAACCTGCATATTGTAAGCATGAGGCAATTGAAGCGGATGCTAATGGGGAGGGTGATGCGAGCGCCAGCTTGCAAGTACGAGGGTGAAGTCAAGTCAGTGGCGAGTACGATTGTACCTCCAAGGGCACGAGTGCTAGCGTGTATGAAAGTATCTCGGCCGAGAATAATACTAGATCGCATGATGTTGAAAGAACTAGATCTCGAAGCACCTGACTAGTCGACTGCTGACGTGAGTTGATCTGACAGAGAGGCCCGGACTGGAGATCCCCCAGCATGATCTTGACAGTGAAGCCTGATGCAAGTGGATGATCTAAACTGGTACCCGATAACACAGCCACATAATTTTCGGATACGAGCCCGAGGATGTTGGATATCTAGATAGCATATGTGGATAGTCGGCAACTACAAGAATACCCCTCGGTAGTAAGCCCGAGCTGTTTCTGCCTTCCGAGCTGATATGCTGGCCCAACGTCGGGGTGCAGCCGGCTTTTGATTTGACATCTTGTCGGGTTCTCGGAGAGAAACAAAGAAGCACACCAAATGCTCCAAGGTGACGCACTTCGTACATTGAACCAAGGGGAATGAGCCCACTTTAGGCATTTCGTACATAACAGCGTCTACTATAATATATCTACATGTACGTCTTCTAGATTGCCTGTAGTCTAACTGTCTCCGGCTTGGCTATATTGCCCATTGTCTCACCTATAGTTTGATAAGGAGAGTTAAACATTGCTGTCAAACTGAACACGGATCAGATTCTGGATCGAAAATATCTGCTGCCGTCGAGGTCCCAAGCTTATAACCTTAGTTCCCGTCATGGTCCTCCCAAGCTACAAGTCCGCACAAACGAGCATGTCAGTCCGACTTCTACTTGTAGCCCTTCTCGTCCTATCTGTGTACTCTCTCATACAGCGATTCATCGCGTGGCACCGACTGAGACACATCCCCGGTCCGCCTTTGGCGTCGTTCTCGAACCTATGGTTGGTGTGGCATGCATATCGAGGGACTCTGCCATGGGCGATTAAAGATGCTACTGATAAATATGGTAGTACATCTTTGAGACTATGGAAAGAACTCTTACTAACTTAAATTAGGATCTCTCGCACGCGTAGGACTCAATGTGGTAGTGAATTCCAATCCCGAAAGCGTGATTAAGGTCCTCCAGCCTCGTTCTGGTTTCATCAGGGCTCTTGACTACCAAGCTGCGCGCTTCAGGCCGGGCAGTGACAACATACTGTCTATGCGAGATGAAAAGGCTCATAAGATCTTGAAATCAAAGACCACAGCCGGGGTAGCATCGCCTAAATCAGTCTTTGGGAAACATGCTAATTTAAGCTTGCAGTACAATGGTAAGGACGTGGAGGGCCTAGAGGGCCAAATTGATAAGGTCGTAGAGTCTTTTATCAACCTCATTGAGAGGAAATATATATCCACATCGAATGACTACAGGCCAGTTGACCTGGCGCGTATAACGCAATATTTCACTTTGGATGTCATCATGTCCGTTGCCTTTGCGAGGAATTTCGGGCATCTGGAGTCCGACTCAGATGTTTATCGATACATCCATATGACAGAGAGCTTCATGCCCATGGTTGCTATCATCTTGGTTTACCCTTGGCTGTGTAATGTCCTGGAGTCGAGATTCCTGCAGATGATGGCCCCGAAGGATACTGATGAAGTGGGGATGGGAAAGGTTATGGGGTAAGATGCAAAGTTCCGTCTTTAGCAAAACCAGAAGAATTTAAAGATGAAGTAAAGTGAGCTAATAGAATCCTAGATTTGCCAAAGAAGTGGTGAGCGAGCGTTTTGGTCCGAACAAGGTCATCCGGAAGGACATGTTAGGCAGTTTTATTGCGCATGGCATGACTCAAGACGAAGCAAATTCGGAGACTCTAGTTCAGATGTACGTTAATTCGACTGATATAAACCCATATTACAAGCTCTAATATCCAGGATAGTGTGGCAGGATCTGACACCACAGCGACAGCAATTCGGGCGACGTTTCTCCACATCATGAGTTCTCCACATATTTATTCGACGCTCCGCAAAGAAATCGATAACGTCGGCCCTTTATCCTCGCCCATCACTGATGCCGAGGCGAAGAGAATGCCTTATCTCCAAGCAGTCATCGAGGAAGGGCTCCGCTACTGGCCGCCAATTGCTCTCCTCGCGTCGAAGATTGTGCCCAAGGGAGGTGCTACAATCAATGGCTTCTTTGTTCCGGAAGACTCTAGCATCGGGGTCTCCGCCATGGGGATTCAAAGATCAAAGGAAATTTTCGGGGCCGATGCGGATGAGTTCCGACCTGAGAGGTGGCTGAGCTTTGGGGAAGGTGAAGCTGAGAAGGCCAGGGAGAAAAGAATGCGCAGCACTGTCGATCTGGCGTTCGCTTCGGGGAAGTATACCTGCCCTGGTAGACCGGTGGCTATGATGGAGCTCAATAAGATTTTCGCGGAGGTAAGTTCTATCAGCTCAGAAGCCATGTGTTGTTCACTTACCAATTTTCGGCAGGTCTTGCGCAAGTACGATATCGCCCTGGTGAATCCTTCTCGGCCGTGGAGGTCAGTCTATGCAGGGGTCTGGATGCAAAAGGACTTGTGCGTACGCATCAGCAGGCGGGAGCAGTGATAGGGCCCCTGTAGTAGTTCTAACTTTATGGGAAAGGGTAGTGGTGGAATGGATGCCAACTCGTATCGTGTCGAACTTTTACCGCTCAGCTGAAATTGGTGTTAAAACGTAAGACACTATTCCTAGCTGATAAGAAATCTTTCAGCCCCAACAAAACCCCTCAGCCCCGATAGACTTGCATGTACATTCTCCAAGATACACTACCTTCTCTTTGTCTAGATACATGTCCGTACTAGCCTATCTAAGAACTTTTCTAGTGGCGGTGCGGCCCGTGCCTCAAGCGTTCACGTCTTCTAACTCGGACCTACCAAACGCGTTTATTCCTATTCCACATCCAGAATGGCGTAATTGGAGGTCCAGGATATATTATTTCACAACTAAAAATAGTAATGGTATTATATTCTACCGACTTTCCGAAGTTACAGTGGGACCTCCAAAATGTTGGGCTAAATATATGTACCCAGTCATACCGCCTCCGTACCGCCTGCTTTTTAAATATACTGCTACCACTATCTTCTTAGACTTACCGTCACGTGGCTGGTTCTAACTATATTTGGGGTTTAAACTGGCAGAACTGGTGGAATACAAAGGGGGGTATACAGCGCGGTATTAAGATTATTAGGCTTGGCCCAATATTTCGGAGGTCCAATGCACATATGTTGTACATGCATATATTTAGGCGAGTAGTTTCCACTTGGAAGTATAGATCATGCATAACTGAGGGATTAATTTCCGATGGATGTGGGTCTCTCGTCACCAACATGGATTTATCATTTCGGATGCAAGTTCAAGAAATTAGGCCAAATTGGCCCCATATCTAACCATAGTAGGCAAACGGAGAGTGGTCTGATATCTCTGCCTGATACTCCTGGTCAGTATGGTGGATCTGCGACGCTGGTGGGACGACAACAGGACAGACCAACACTGACACGGGCCCTCGAGCTAACAAAATCTAAGGAGTTGCAGCATATCCGTATCCGCTAGTACTGAGGGAACCGATTGAAAGATTTTATCCTATCCTGGAGATTGCTGGAGATCGTCTATTATCTTGAGGGGCCACCTGGCAGTGTTCCATATTACGTGTTCAGTCAGTGGACATACCTACATTGCATGGATGTATTTGCTCCACACCTGGATACCTGCCCAGGTGCACCTATAAATTAACATAATATTCTGCTAGCAGAACATTAGAATAGCTCCATGTATAACGATTATCTCTACTTATATAGCGTAAGAATTGAAGGAACAGCATCGGAATTTTAGATGAAATATTACTATCACTTCTTTACAAAAAAGCGGCTTGCGCACTGTTCTAAAAACGTTCTGTACTTCGCGTCTAGGAAGGCGGTATTAGCGGTAAATTAGGGGGCCTATGTACTTGTTCTATCACTGTACAACGAGGGTATTCCGAGTTAATACGAAAGCATATGAAGTAGGTATGTAGTCGTAAAATACCATCTCTCAGATAGCCAACATCTAAGCATTCCGTAGTATTTACCAAAAAATCAATGTGGATACCGTTAGGCCTTCTAATCCACACTATATTTGTAGTTGCGATTGGATCAGTGGCTAGGCCGTAGGCGTAAAATTTTAGGCCTGCTCGAGGTTTATCTAGCGCATTGAACTTTTAGGATACGCAATCCAGACAGCGATGAGGGTGCTTTCAGTAACTTGGGAGTCGCTGAGTCGCTTGAGATTGCCCAGGTGCACATCATTAGTCTAAAATGGGATAGCGCATTCGGGCCGGAACCCCACTTCACACCATCTCCAAGTTGGAGCCTCCTGCTTAACGTACAACGCCTTGGTCAGGAGAGAATAGCAAAACGACCGTGCTCTATATATACATACTAAAGTAGATTCCCACCGATTACCTCCGAAACGCAATGAATACGATGGCCTCACTGGGTCCCTCCAGAAAGCCTCAATCGCAAACGCAAGTGACCTCGTCCCAGTTGAAGCGAGCAACATGCAACTTATGCCGTGAGCGCAAGGTGCGCTGCGACCGGGAAAAGCCGCAGTGCCATCGCTGTCGCAAATCGGGCCAGACGTGTGTCTATCCCTCGGACAAGGCAGATAACAACGAGATCAAGTCGGCGTTGAATCTGCTTCACTCCCGTCTGCGTAAGTATGCTCCAGATGCTGCCCCCCCCCCCGCCTCCCTCCCCCAACCACCCACCCGCTAACACTGAGAAATTCGGTGTTGGCGCCGGGGAGGAGGGGGGTGGGGGGTGTTCTTTTTGGATCTGCGCTTACAACGACAGTACAAGCGGAAACGACGCTCCAGGAACAAGGCTTACAATTTACCACTCAGTCCATGAAGCCGACTTCTGCCTTATCCCCAGGCTATACGTCGCAGAACTCCCAGTTTGCATATGACCTACTGTCACAAGGTGATGACATGGACTACTCAAATATGGTATTCCCAGAGTTTGACCCGAGGTATGCTCTTCTTTAAGTCCAAGGAGCTATATACTGTGCTTATAGCCTCCTTAGCAACTACCATGGGCCACCTGCCATGATCGATATTATGAACAGCTCTGGCACAGATGGGACTCCTTCAGATCTAGATTTGGATATGGCCAACCTAAAAGACAATCCACCAGGCCCCACATTCAAATTCAACCCACTGTTCGAGCAACCCACTCTCTTTAGTGGGCTGGAGCAGCAGTACGTACCCCACTATGACAAACACATCAGCCTACCGTCTAATTATGCGCTATGCAGATACCGGTCGTACTTTGATATAGTGCAGAAACACATGAGGTTAATAGACCAGCAGGAGTTTTTGCTATCCGTTGTCCCAAAGGAGACGCACCAATGCATGGCCCTAAAATATGCCACTGCTTTATCTGGCTCCACTGCGTGTGGAGAGTCAGCCCTAGCCATGGAGTCGTACATAGCAGCCCGGTTCCATCTAGAACAAGCCGAGAATCTAGCCGATAACTCTTCTTTCTTAACCCTTGAGACGGTTCAGGCTTTGCTTCTTGTTGCGAGGTTTGAATTTACTCATATCAGCGGACCGAAAGGGCTTCTAACCATAGCGCGGGCTATGCAGTTGCTAGGCTTGCTGGGATATGACGTGCTCGATCGGACCTCAGCAGAAGGCGAAGGAGATATATCTCAGATGATGCCGCCAAAAGCACATAGTCGGGAATATATTCAGATGCTACGGCGGACGTTTTGGATTGCATTTGCGATGCATTGCAATGCAGCTGCAAGTTTCTCATGTTGTATACCAGTCAAAGACAGTGAGGTAGGTTTGCATTGATTACGACTTGCCGCTTTCCTTTGTGACCAACGACTCCATACTAGATCGGCACCGCAATGCCAGTTCCCGACCCAACAATAGACTCCGATCCAAATCAGCACGTCTATCTTTCCGAAGGAATTACGAAAACCATGGCGGAGGGACTTTCCGTCTTTTCGCTTTTTATATTCGCCATGAAACTTGTCGTTGACGGAGACCGCCACCGCCAATCGACCAAGAAATACGTACGGGACAACGCATCTGACTATAATTTTTGCCTTGTCCACGACAAGATCGGGAGAGAGATTACCATCATGTTAAATTCCCTCTCGGCACAGGAGTCTCTGGATGGGCCAGATGACGAACTTCGCGTGCTCACTTGTATCATCGTCATAGGCGGTCGAATTGATTGGCTCAAGACGGCTATCATTGGATCCCAGAAAGCTGCGTTTCTAGGTCCCATTGCTAAGGAATATCGCACTTCGTGTGTCGCTGTCACAAATGCTATGTGCGACTTGCTTCTTCAGGCGAGTGTTACTGATGCAAAACAAGTAAGTCTATCCTAATTTCTTCTTATACCATTTACCACGTTCCCGTTCTTGAACATCACAGCAGACCATCTCAACTAAAAGCACCATCCGCTGACATGCGTTCTACTCGCTCGAAGGTCCCCGCCTGGAAAGAAATGTCGCTCTTCATAATGCGGCCGCTAGCCTTAGCCGCCGAAATCCAGCTCGACGTCCTACAAAACCCACAAGACATGAGCTATAATGCATTCTCATCAACGCGCGAAATACGACAGAACCTCGAAGTCTTGTGTAATGTCATGGTGGTGTGTAAGCCTGCTACTGGGGAGTATGACCCTAAGATTCAAGCATGTGCAGCCTTTCTGGAGAAAACAAAGTTTGAGAGAGTTTTTGATTCAGGGCTGCTAGGGAGGGGGTGTTAGTATACATATGTATGAATAGGTAGGGTTTATTGGCGGTGGAGTTAGGATAATAAAGGGGAGATCATCTATTATTATGGTACAGCAATCTGGGTCTAAACGCATTTTCTAGTGTTCGGGGGTTATGGTTGTGATTAATACAGACAACTCATAATATATCAGACATTAGACATTATAATTTCCTGCAAGTTAGGGAGGAATACATTCGGCTAACCTAACCCCTCCTGTCCCAATTACATCTACCACCACGTACAATACGCCTTAACTACGCAGAAGTGTAAATACATCCGAGCCAGCACTTCGACTGAAAAGGTCAGATACCAGTAAGTGGTGATAGAATTGGGCTTAGCTCTTAGCTCGGTCTCTAACCGAGTTCATTTACCAACACAGCCGGGGCATGGCCCGAGCTAGTCGGCCGTACCTCCGAGCATGTAGCGAGCCCTCTCGCAGCGGGGCCACAACGAGGCTTTGTATGGGCTCGGAGTAGGATGGCTATACTGTGATCAGTTGATCTAGTAAGTAGCCAAGTGACTGGCATTGTCACCCCCAACTGAGCAGGGGCCAGGTGTGAAATTGTATAGTGCATTACTGAGAGAAGAAGCGTTAATTTTAGAACATGTGGGAGGGGGGCCTGAGTTTTCCAAAGGAACCACCCTGAAATCAATTAATACGAGATTGGCAGATTACCTATAAGTAGCTATGTTTTTCCCCGAACTTTAGGAAATAGATCGTTACCACTAAGTCTGGCGGATCACCTCCTCACCTAAATCAAACGTCCAATCCCCACCAACGTCCAGGCTATTCTAACTTCCTAGAGTTGCAGAGCTCTCATCTCTTTGGAAATGGCACCTACCACGTCTGAACCTTCGCTGATAGTCTTCGGGCCTCAGGCAGAGCTCTCCTCTCTAGATGGAATTGACCAATTGAGGCAGGAGCTCAACGAGAATCCTCAACTATCCCATGTCCTCAATGCCGCAAAGCATGGGGCCGAACTGTGGAAGCTCATTGCCGACTTCGATCCTTCCTTGAACCATATTCCAGGAGCAAAGCTGCTCGCTGAGCTCCAAGAGTGGGTTGTAGGAGACGGCCCTTTGCCAAGTTACGACTTCAACGCATTTCGTCTTCCGGTTACCGTTCTTCTCGAGATCGCTCAGTATTTCCGCTACTTGAAGCAGCTGAATGTGGTCAGCCCTCACCGTGTCATGCTTAAGAGGGTCCAATCTGGCGGCGTCCTGGGCTTCTGTGTTGGGTTCCTCGGTGCAATTGCGGTGGCTACCTCGGAGATCGAAGATGAAGTCGCATTCACAGCTGCCACAGTCTTTCGTTTGGCTGTCATTATCGGTGCCTATGTCGACAATAACCAATTTGGTATACAAGGGACAAAGGTAGGCTGCATTGCTGTTCGATGGAAGGGAGATGATGTTCATGAACATGATATCTCTAATCTTGTTAGCACCTTTCCAAAGGTATTGCCCTTGCCCTTCTTGCTAAGTTGTCAAACCTGACTTAATGAGCAGGCGTATACATCATGCACCATCGATTCCAAGTCCATTACTGTCACAGCCAGCCTTTCTGATATAGCCAGCCTAACTGAACAGCTGCGAGCATATGGCTGCTATGTGACCACTGTCAGTGTAGAAGGAGCCTTTCACTCGGACATACATACCGCTGCCGTGGAAAAGATCAAGGACTTTGCCCTGGGCCGTCCAGATCTCCATTTTCCCAGTGTTGACAAGCTGCAAGCTCCACTCCGTTCTACCGTGAACGGTGAAATCATCACCAGCGGATCCCTCCTCCAACACGCCCTCGAGAATATTTTGCTGAAGCCGGCCGCATGGTTTAAAACGGTGCAGGGGGCCGTTGCCCAGCTGGAAGACGGTCATAAGACAGTTGCGTTTGCAGGATTCGGGAATCATATTCCGGCTTCGCTTGTCAGTGGTGCGGGTTTATATGTCTCGAATCTGAATAAGTTGACAGTATCGAATCCTCTCAACTCATTCCCCAATGGGACAAGGATAAAAAAGACAACCAAGCCAGGAAACCGAGTTTCAGATGCGCAAGACTTTGTGCCTTCTGAATATCCGCCCAACTCCATTGCTATCGTCGGTATGTCTGGCAGATTCCCCGGAGCAGATTCGTTAGATGAACTTTGGGAACTGCTGCTATCCGGCAAATCAATGGCTGAACCAGCTCCCGCTGAAAGAATACAACTACCTACAACCGGCGAGTACGCGAATACAAAATGGTGGGGCAATTTCCTCCGCGACCCTGATGCCTTCGATCATAAATTCTTCAAAAAGTCTCAGCGAGAGGCCGTCGCCTGGGATCCCCAGCAACGGATCCTTCTCGAGGTCGTCTACGAAGCCCTAGAATCAGCAGGATACTTCCGCGCCGGCGTCAAGCCAGAGCTGGATGACTACGGATGCTACATTGGCGCTGTCATGAACAACTACTACGACAACATATCCTGCCAGCCTACAACAGCCTATGCCACCGTTGGAACCTCGCGCTGTTTTATCAGCGGCTGTGTCAGTCATTTCTTTGGCTGGACTGGACCTTCCCTAACGATCGACACGGCGTGCTCATCCTCCCTAGTCGCGATTAATACCGCCTGCACAGCGATCTGGTCCGGTGAGTGTTCCCAGGCTGTAGCAGGGGGGACGAATGTGATCACTAGTCCATTCGATTATCGGAATCTCAAAGCCGCCGGGTTCCTTAGCCCTAGTGGACAGTGCAAGCCTTTCGATTCAGATGCAGATGGGTATTGTCGTGGAGAGGGAGTTAGTGCGGTTGTTCTTAAGCCCCTAGCTTCTGCGTTGGAGGAGAAGGATCATATCTTCGGTGTCATTGTGGGGTCTGCGGCGAACCAGAATCTGAATTTGAGCCACATCACCGTGCCTCACTCAGGTTCGCAGGTTAAACTTTATCAGAATGTCATGAGCCAAGCTGGGGTTCATCCGCACTCAGTGACGTACGTTGAGGCTCACGGAACGGGTATGTAACTTTTGTGTCTTTGAAATGGTACTCACACTTCGGTCGTGCATTTGCTGATTTAGAAATAGGTACCGGCATAGGCGACCCAGTTGAGTGTAACAGCATTGCTGAAGCATTCGGTGGCTCTTCAAGGGACATCAAACTCCACTTTGGCTCTATCAAGGGTAACATTGGGCATACTGAAGCTACAGCCGGTATTGCCGGGCTCGTCAAAGTCCTGCTTATGATGGAGCATGGGCAAATCCCCCAGCAAGCCAGCCACAGGCAGCTAAATCCGAAGATTGCCCCATTTTCAAACACGCAAATAGAAATTCCGCAGAGACTGCTGCCCTGGGATGCACCATCCTTGCTAGCCTGTGTCAACAGTTACGGTGCTGCTGGAAGTAATGCGGCTGTTATGGTTCGCCAGGGGCCATTTTCTAGGATTAACCCTATTGACAATCTCAGTCATGCCCCAATTGGAACGAGGTATCCTGTGTTTATCTCTGCGGGATCTTCAAGAAGTGCTCTTGCGTATTCGGAGAAGCTTTCCACTTGGCTGGGGACGCTTGGATCTGGTGTCCGGATCTCTGATGTGGTGTTCAATATAGCCGATAGAGCAAACCACTCGCTCTCGCATTTCTTCTCAACCACCGTGGCCAGTATCTCCGAGCTCAAGGACAAGTTGACCACTCTCTCGGCGATAGACGTCCTACCGAGTCCGAAACCTATAGTCTTTGTTTTTGGGGGCCAGGAAAGCGAATCAATCGGGCTGTGTGAACAACTCTACCAGTCTTCAGCACTGCTTCGATATCACCTCGACGCTTGTAACGAGATCTTGATCTCTTCTGGCTTTGAGAGCATATACCCTGCAATATTTTCAAAAGGTCCAGTTGGGAACTTGACCACTCTGCACTCTGCGCTGTTTGCGATTCAATACGCTTCCGCAAAAGCTTGGATTGACAGCGGACTCAAGGTAAATGCAGTCGTTGGCCATAGTTTCGGCCAACTTACGGCTTTATGCGTCTCGGGCGTGTTGTCGCTCGCCGATACTCTCAAACTTATCTGTGGAAGGGCGTCAATCATGACGAAGCATTGGGGTCCCGAACCAGGATCTATGCTCTTCCTCCAAGCAAACCGTTTTCAAACTCCTCAGTTCAGTCTACGGGAACGTCGAAATTGCCTGCTACAATGGACCAAACAGCCATGTCGTCGTTGGCTCTGCCAAGGAAATCGACACCCTAGAGACATTTCTTTCAGAGAACCCTTCCTTTGGAGGAGACTCGATTCGGACCAAAAGACTGGAAGTCACGAATGGGTTTCACTCAAGGTTCACAGAGCCCTTGCTGTCACATATTACAGCATTATCTAGAGGATTAAGCTGGCAGGAACCTAACATACATCTTGAGCTCTGCACTGAAAGTGCGGAGAGTCCTGATTCCCGGTTACCGGCAAGTCATGCAAGACGCTCGGTCTTCTTTCAGCAGGCAATTGAGAGGCTTGAGAAGAGGTTCCCTAAGAGTACATACCTCGAGGTTGGCCGAGGGTCATCCGTTATTCAGCTTGCCAGGGGCTGCGTAGCAGAAAGCCACGAACATCTGTTCTTATCCCCTCAGCTGACGACGGCTAACGCACTGACTTCACTAGCAAATACCACCGCTGACCTATGGAAATCGGGCTATGCCGCGCAGTCCTGGCTTTTCGATCGCTCTCAGAAACCATCATACCAAATCCTTCGCCTTCCATCGTATCAATTTGAGAAGACTCGCCACTGGCTTGGCTTCATCGCTGGGAGAGGCGAAAAGGAAACATTGCCAGAGCCTACAGCTGAAACTCAGCCTGTAATCCATGAGCTCCTCAAGTTCCTGCGATTCAACAACGACAAGAAGACCAGCGCAGTGTTTCGTATCGCGCCGCAGAGCGATCGGTTCCAGTCCATGCTAAAGGGCCACGTTATGGGAGGCCAGTCTCTAGCACCAGCCTCGTTGTACTTCGAGATCGTCGCTCGAGCTGCGTTATTTCTCCATTCAGATACTTCAGCCACGACCTGGGTAACAGCTGTTCAGGATCTCGTGATGAATTCGCCAATTGGCCTTGACACGAACAAGGAGCTCCTTCTCACTATGCAGCAAACGGATGATCAGCGACCTTCATGGTCATTCTCGATTATTACTCAACTACCTCCGAGTCAGACGGGCCGTGTCAGTGCACCATTTGAGACATCGACTGGACGGGTATATCTCCAAAGACGTGATGATTCCAAATCTGCCCAGCTGTTCCAACGCTTTGAAACCCTCACCGGGATCGGTCGCTGTGAGGAGATAATGAATCACCCGGACGCCGAAACAATGGAAGGAAAGCATATCTACCGTGCGTTTAACCACATAGTGCACTACGCTGAAAACTTCCGCGGAATCAAGAAAGTCGCGTGTCTGCGTCTGGAAGCCGCCGGGAAGGTGATGATCGACGTGGACCCGAGCGATCCAATTGACCAGCGCCTCTGTGATACCCCCATGACGGATAGTTTCATGCAATTCGCTGGATTCCTGGTGAACTACTTCAACAACGACAGTTTAGAGGATGTTCTAGTGTGTTCAAAGATTTCGCATATTGAGATCGGGGGGAACTTCGATCCAGACGCAAAGGAGTGGATGGTTTATTCTAATATGACTCCAGGAGGGCAGACCGATGCGTCTGCTGATGCGTATATATTTGATGCAAGGAGCAAGCAAATGGTTATGGCGGCCTTTGGGTTCCAGTTTTCGAAGATGTCGCAGGCACTGCTAATGAGGATGTTGAAGAGCGTGAATAGACCAACAGCTGCTGAACCAATTAGTACGCCTGTCAGTCATCACAAGTCGGACACATTTTTAGCTAAGGAACTGCCACCCCTAATGGAGGGTGCGTCATCCACGCTTTCCAAGGCAATTAAGAAGCAGCCTAGTACGCGGGCAGAACTCTTCCAAATCTTGCACAATGTCACAGACGTACCTCTGGATGATATGAACGACGAATCGTCTTTGGAAGACCTTGGAATCGACTCTCTTATGGCTACAGAGGTCATGAACGACATTCGAGCGACTCTTGGTCTTACAATTGACCTGGCTAGCTTCCTGTTCTACCCAGATCTCAAGAGCCTCACGGCCTATGTTGATTCGAAGTTCAACGGCATCGAGGACAGCTTCGAGGAATCTAGCGGCGAGGAATGGGCGCCAGTCGATACACCTACAGATCACTCTACAGTACCTACCCCGACAGAGTCGATCGACGAAGGGCCGGCCTCATTTGAGGCAGAAGGGATTCTTATGTCTGCACAGTGTGAAAGGATACCATCCATCAATTCCGCGTCTAGTTCATTTAAGAATATTCAGTTCGCGTACGATCAACTCGCGGAGGGGACACTTGCTGCCAATTTTTGGACTGAAGCCTACCCAGATCAGAGACGGCTTGTTCTTGCATATGTCGTTGAGGCCTTCGCGGAGCTTGGGTGTGATCTCGCGAGGCTGAGTCCTCGTGCTGCTGTACCTATGGTGCCTGCTCTGGATAGACACAAGAGGCTAGTTCGTCAGTATTATCATGTACTTGAGGATGGAGAACTGATCTTCGCTACGGAAGATGGCTTCGTTCGAACAGATGTACCGGTTGATTCAACGCTCGCTGAAGACATATATCAAGAGATCGTTGACCTCTGGCCACAACATAAGGTCGTGACGCAGCTTGTGAAAGTTATCGGCCCAAAGCTCGCTGAATGTCTCGGTGGGAATATTGATGGTCTTCAGTTGATATTCGGCGACAGAGCGAACAAGCTACTTCTGGAGGATATGTATGAGAACTGGCCTCTTCTTCGAACCCCAACATTACTTCTAGGAGACTTTCTCAAAACTGCTTTCTCCAACTCGAACGGAGGTGGGAAGTTTCGAATTCTGGAGATTGGGGCCGGAACGGGGGGTACGACGAAGCACATCATCAAGTACCTTAGAAGTCATGGTATTCCCTTCGAGTATGTCTTCACCGATATCTCAACGTCGCTAGTTTCAGCTGCGAAGAGGAAGTTCAAGGATGACAGAGAAATGTCCTTCCAGGTTTTGGATATCGAGAAAGATCCAAAACGGGAATATGAGAATGCCTTCCACATGATCATTGCCACAAATTGTGTTCATGCGACAAGGAGCTTGCAACAATCGCTAGTCACCCTTAACAAAATGGTACGCGAGGATGGTGCCGTTGCGCTTGTTGAGATTACACGAAACATGTTCTGGCTTGATATTGTTGTTGGATTGTTCGAGGGATGGTGGCTATTTGAGGACAACCGCACGCATGCCTTGGTTGATGAGAAACATTGGGAAATGGAGATGAAGGCGGCTGGTTTCAAGGAAGTTTTGTGGACGAGTGGAGAGTCCCTGGAGTCAAAGACCGTCCGCGTGATCGCTGCTTTCAAATCACCCCCTGTTGAGACCAAAACGCCCACGGCGAAGGCGGCTGTTGAGACAGTCGTATACAAGACGGTAGGCAGAACGAAGATTCATGCTGATGTGTACTACCCTCTTGATTCGGTTCCAACACACACAAAACTCCCAGTCGGTAAATATGCACTTGATTGCCTTTGACTTTGCAGGCGTATGCTAACTACTCGTGCACAGCCCTGATGATACACGGAGGTAGCCATATGATCTTCTCCCGCAAGGACATTCGACCAGCTCAGACTCGTCTCTTGCTGAATAAGGGGTTTCTCCCGGTGAGCCTGGATCATCGGCTCTGTCCTGAAGTTAGACTTGTCGATGGACCAATGGTCGACATTTGTGATGCACTTTATTGGGCGAGAAACAAACTGCCGCATATCACACTCCCAAATGAAGGAGTCAAGATTGACGGTGAGAGAGTCGTCGTTGTCGGATGGTCGTCTGGTGGACAATTGGCAATGTCACTGGCCTGGACAGCTCCGCAAAGAGGGTTGAGGCCACCAGAGGCAATCTTGGCATTTTATTGCCCGACGGACTATGAAGATGAGTGTAAGTTAAAATCCCATCCTCTTTAAAGGGAGATTTAACCTCTCAATAGGGTGGAGCAATCCCATCCAGCCCGTCGGGGCAGAAGATCAGGGAGATGCATACGATTTGTTAGAAGCGATCCAAGATGAGCCCGTAAGTTCCCCACTCCATATTAAACCCGATATGTTGATTAACGAATCGAACAGATCACCAACTACGGTATTGTCGGTGCCTGGGAGCCACTATCGGACCCCCGCATCCGCACCGACCCCAGATGTCGCATCGTCCTGCACATCAACTGGAAAGCCCAAACACTGCCAATAATTATTGGCGGTCTTCCCAGCAAAAGGAACAGCGCAGGCTTTAACATCCGAGACTGGAATGCTCTCCCACGGCCTTCGCTAGATGAAATCGTCCGAGTCAGTCCACGCGCCCAAATCTCACGAGGCAATTATCATACGCCCACGTTCTTCATCCATGGAACAAATGATGATTTGATTCCTTGGCAGCAGTCTCAAGGCACTTATGATGCACTTCGGGATGCAGGAGTCACTGGTGGCTTGGTTTTGATTGAGGGGGCTCCGCATATTTGTGATCTTAGCACCAATCCTGAGTCGGAGGGCTGGAAGGCAGCGATTCAGGGATATGAGTTTCTTAGTAGCTACGTGTGAGTGATGTGGTGGTAGTGTATGAGTCGGTATCTGAACCAAATTAGGTGCAATCAGAACCTTCTATGTTTCCATCTAATGGAGAAGTGCGTTTGATTCACCATTATGTTTGCTGTGTAGCCCGTTAGTTAGCGATGTTGTTCTGAACCTTATATAAGAGAGAAGGTCTTAGAATGGATAATGGGTGCATGGGGAGGAAGAAGAAGAAGAGGTATTTTCAGCGGTAAACTTGATAAATCGCCAAACAGCAGCCTACATTTTTGACTCCATAACGTACTTGCATAGTTGTTTGAATTGATTTTTCTAGAAGAAGTCTCTCAGTGTAAGTCAGCATATTGAGAGTAATACAGCCTCACGCACGTAGCCTACTAGAGAGGTAGACCCAATTGCTAACTCTCAATATGCTGACTGACACTGAGAGACTTCTTCTAGAAACATTGCAGTCAAGGATGTTATAAAAGGGAAGCCGAATTTTCCTCCTCAATTCTTTTTTCTTATTTATGTATGAGATATAATACTAGGTCTAACCAATTCCATCCAAGCCGTAGTCTTTCGCATCAAACCCGCATTTCTCTTATAATGTACAGCCATTAATAAACTTGCGCAAATGTACTCCTAGCTCTTAGCTTGTCACCGTACTCCCAAAGAGCCAGGATTCCAAAGAAACACGCCCACGTCAAACCAGCGAGGACGCTACATCCCTTTCCAATACCTAGATTGATGAATAGTGGTTGCGAGAAGTGAATAGCAGCACAAGCCACTGCGCTGCGCAGGAATGCTATGAAGCTTGTTAGAAAAGGCCTGTTTGATAACTCGGGAAACGACTTCCAACTCACAGTTTGCAGCAAACAAACTCGCAGCATAGCGAGGATAGGAAATTGGAAGATAGATGAAAATACACATCGTAATCTAGAAAGGATGTTTAGCACACGGACATTCCCATGGCTGTCGGTTCACCTACCACAAAGACACATGACATGTAGAGAACAATACCAATCGTGGGAACAACCCAATTAATCCAATCCCGAGATGTCCAGGCGAAAATAAGGATTCCAAACGGCGCAATTAAGGCCGCAAAAACGGCAGGAAGAAGTCGATGTTCAGGGGAGCCGATTCCATTCTGATAAGTATACGGCTCATAGTGGAACTTGACAAGCGCCAAGTATGAGCCGGCCCCGAAGAAGCAGGCTACAACAACGCACAGAAAAATGATTCCCATAATACCCATCGAAAATCCGTGAATCTGGGTGTAAACAATCGGGAATGATTCAAAAAATGAGTACTAAGCGCCATTTGTTAGTTCACTATGCTGCAAGCAATCGCTATACTCTTGCTGTTCCGAGACTTACGAGACTTACAAAAATACCGTAGATAAGACCGGTATAGACATTAATAAAGGCAATCGACGGATCCTTCAGAGTAACCAAGAAAGGAGTAGTCAAATACCCACCCAGCAGTGACAGGAAGTGAATATTCCCTTGCTTAATCTCTGAATCTGATCGAAGATTCTCATTCCCGGTGGATTTGCGTAGACGTTTGGTCCGGTTCAAGAGAATGAAGTCGCCATTGGTTTCAGGCAGGAAAAAGAATAACAGAATCCACGTGAAGCCACATAGAATGAGAAGCTCATACATAGACCACCTCCAGGAGCTCAGGGGCACTGAGAACCCAGATAAAAGCGGACCTAAAGCGGGTCCTGCCAGAGTTGCACATCCCCAGAAAGTGAGACCATACGGAATTTTCGGGAAAGAAAGAATATCAGCAGCTGAGGCTCCTCCTGTTGCCAGAACTGGGCCACCCAGCAGTCCCTGAAGAAACCGTAAGACAATCAATCCTGCAAAATTTGACACGCGAGATGTCACAGCGGTGATAACTATAAAGAGCGTAAACGAAACGAAGTACGGGATATTGCGTCCAACCGCCGGTATTTCTGACAAAGGGCTAAAGAATAACGGCCCAACACCCTAGAAATGCCGGATGAGTTCGGACACCTCTGCCAAGGTGATGGGGATATACTTACATATCCTAGAACATACATCGAGAGTGCCAAAGACGATTCCTGGACGCTCACACCGAACATCTCCACAAAGGTTGGCTGAGCTGGAGTGATGATTGCGGATCCACAGTACACTATATCTAGTCAATATAAAAACTTCTTACGAAATCCCTCGTTAACTGACCGGAAAAGGTAAGAAGGCAGATCTGCGAAAAAGCGACAGTTTTCTTTGCCAGGGACCACGTCTGCGGGTTTTCAGGATCGGTTTCGCTATACCAACTGACAGTCTGGTAACCAGACTTTGACTGGCCTGGTGAAGGCACAGGCTCAGCTTTCTCTACATCGGCATCCGTGTCTGTAGAGCTGCTGTTCGCTGGAGGTGTAGGTAGTTCAACCTGTGTTTCTTCCGGCAGTTGATACTGGAACCCAGCCTCCTCATCAGGGTAAAGGAAGACCCGGGGACCGAGAACTAATCGGCAGAGCTGGCCAAATGGCGCATCGCGAACGCTAAATGCTGACATGGTCTGGAATCAAAACTTAGGGCGCTCCAACAAGTACCTTTCAACCTAGAGTTGATAATAGAGTGAGAACAATTTACAACATCACCTACTGGCTTATGTTCAATATTAAATATAGCACATATTCCCTCTATCACTCCATCTTTACATCCCTTTCTCGGTATTGCAGCCGAAAGGACTCATTTCTTTGTTCAAGGGTAGGTAGGGTAAACTAAGCTAAAGGGGTATAGATCTTCCCGAGCTCCACTTGTGTCGGCAAGCCAATCGGAAAGCGGAATGGAGTTCCTTCCAGCATAGGCGCGATCATATTGGCTACGAATCTTCGACATGCTCGGCCCCCGACCTGAAGTTGCACATCTCCTCGGCCGAGCACCCGAGACCTACCAAGATCAACGCCTGACACTTTGAGTGGATTTCCAACTAACAATGTTTCCGACCAACGATGCTCAGTTCTCCACCGGCCTTACCTCGATAGACTCTAGTGCCAATTTGAATACTAGGGATCGCGGTTCAGGACGTCGAGAATGACTGACTCACTCGCTGCCTTCCCCTTCCGCGTCGGACCCATGATATGTGAAGGTGGAGCTGGCTCTCTTTATATTGTGGATGTTACTCGTAACCTATTTGGCTATATTAGGAGGCCTAGCTTATCCTGTCATCCACTGCCTCGATCTGCTGTCGAAGTTTCATATTTCCCAGAATCACTTTTTTTTTCCGTACGCGAGAGACAATGCATCCAGACTAGAGAATAAAGAGCACGCTTCTACTTTATTCCTTTCCCTTGCTCGACGACTGCCGGGTGTGGCAACTCGAATGTATTTTCTGTGTGCGATTTTTCGATTGCCATGTTTTTATCGGGAGCTTTTAGAGGTGTAGGTGGTCAATGCGGTGAGGCGAATGATTGCGGGTGATTCTCACTTCTCACCCAGTTTTGTGATTGCTGAGTTCAATCTCAAGTGGAAAATGCGGGAAAAGACATAAAGAGGCCTTGAACCGTCTTCTGACAGACGACTTCTATTTCCGTGCCCGTTGCATACACCCGCAATGGCAGTCACTACGGACTAGTACACTTCGAAACAGAATATATTTGATTCAAATCTCATAGACGCTTTGTGTTCACGGGTGTGGTTTGTCATGCAATTGAGGTCAATTCGATTAGTGCAGGCTGTCTCAACACGCTCGGTGAAAACTTTATCTCCACAATGGATGAAGGTATCAGTACTACTCCGTACAAGAGTCGGAGTTTTGAAAAGCGAGAAAGCCATAGTGAAATTATTAGGTGATAATCTCGACAACAGTCACATGCAGTCACATGGCATCAGTGCGTTTGATCCCTTTCTTGTCTTTCACTCATTTCAATGTTTTCACCAGATCATGTACTGTTTCTCGTAAATCATTATTTCTCACCTGAACCCTGATGTTCGATTATAAACCGATATCGGTCTTCTCAAGGTTACTATGTCGACGTTGCCGAGATGACAAGAAGACATTAATGCAAGTGAACTGGAACCCGCAGGCTATATGTGAAATCTCACTTCTGTCAGAAGTTTTCAGGTCCTCCAGTGTAAGCCCTAACTAACAAATCACACGGCACTATGACAGCAAGTAAACTTCCGTCAACATCTATACCCTGGCCACAATGTCACCGCCGTTCGCAAGGCAGAGTATATCTTTGCCAATATCATGCAGATTAATGATGGGGAAAAAAGCAAAAATCGCCGTCATTGTGTTATGTAATGAATTGGGTTTAACTATCTCATTACGGATTTGAGACTCGGGATGTAAAGTAGCGTAAACGGTCACATGTATCTCCTCCTTTGGGGCAATCTTTTCACGAGCTTGACTTGAAGCATGGCAGGTCATGGAACGGCATAGGACGAACCATCAAGCGCTCTAATGTGGCCAACCCTAACAGGTCAACAACTCGATGTAAAGAATTCAGCTACTAAAAGTTCTTCTCTCTTTTAGTCTTTCCTTCTGTTTCGAATATGCTGAAGAGATAAAATGATCTCATGGTCAACAAGAACAGGGGAACTGCAAGATTTCCCCACTTCACTAAGCTCCATTCTCCAACATTGCGTAGCGTTGGCCAACCCATGCACCATGTTGTAACACCTAAGTGTCCCAGATCACCCCACCATAGTGCTGTTAACAATGCGCGAGCCACTTTGATGTCGTCGGTTGAGTGAAAGACGTAAATCTCGATTATAGCGATCAAGAGAAAGAGGTTGCTCGTCTGATAGGTGAGAATTGTCTCAGATGGAGCGAGGCTTGGTGGCAATGTGAGTTGAGATTGTCCGGATACGTAGTAGGCAGGTGAGATCGAGGTTACTGTGAATGCGAGGATGAGCACCACGGGCTCGATGATGCAGAAGATATAATAAGGAATAGTCGGGAGTGCGGAGGCCATTGTGGACGATTTTCTGGGCTGAGTTCGCTGGACCATCAGGGGAGGACTGGACTGACAAAGTGACTCAAGAAATGCTAGGCAAGAATCCACCGCTGTCATTTTGAATCCTTTTTTTTTGCCACAACACGTTTCCACATACCAAGCAGGTATTCCCGCAGCGGAGCCCGCGGGTTCCGCCTCCGCAGGCATCTACTGTAGCTACTGCTGAAGGAACCCCGGAACCTGGTGGGGATTTTCGGGTCAATCCGAACCCGACCGAATAGCGGACTCTTGATCCCAGCTCCACCGGCTGGGTTGTTATCCGCGGAAGTCCATAAATCCGTGTCCGAGGACAGCGTCCAGCTATTCGGGATCCTTGAATATAAATAACATAGATTTCCTTGAAAACGGTACGAACTCCCGCCCCTTTATTCATCTTGCAATAAACCTAATCTCCCTTCTACGACACCACCGCTTTCCATGCCTACCTTAGCACTTCCCGGTGGTACGTCACCTAGCCTCGGCCGGGCCATCGTTACGGCTGTCATAGCCAACCGATGGACTTCGTCATGGAAAATAGTTATCCTTTCGCGCTCTTCCCAAGCTCCCACTTGGCTGCGTGCAATCGACCAAGAATCAACACGTACCACGATCCGCACTGTCGACTACCTGTCCGTGGAATCACTTGTGGCTGCCTTGAAGGGTATACACACTGTCATATCCGTTACTTCGGCCATCGACGGTAGTCAAGCACAGATCCAGATCAACATACTGAATGCCGCTCTCCGTGCGGGATGTAAACGCTTCGCTCCATCCCAGTGGGGTTTCGGACCTAAGGGCTGGGAGAGAGTTTCTACCCTTCGATGGGGGAACCATGGCGTGTGGGATGAATGCACCAAGCACAAAGGCGAGATAGAGTGCGCCAATTTCAACCATGGATCTTTCATGAACTACCTTGGGCATGGGATATATCCTTTACCCTCTCAACCTGAGTCTGACGAGGCCATAGCTCTTGCTCAACTAAAGAAAGGAGGAGGATATATTCCTGGTGAGGATGAAGCGTGCCAAGGACTCCAGAGGCAAGGGCCTCTAATTGATCAATCGGGGGCTTTTCTCATTGGACTCAGAAACGGTATCGCAGAGCTTCCCATCAAAGACGATGGTCAGTGGCCGCGGATCACGATGACCTCTATGAAAGATGTGGGCCGGTTTGTCGCTGGTTCTCTCAACTTGCCAAAGTGGGAAGAGAACATGAGCATGGTAGGGGACACCCTGACAATGGGAGAACTTCTGGCGCATGCCGAAGCTGTGACTGGGAAGAAGTTCAAAGTGGTCACCCTAAAGCGAGAGGACCTCGAGAAGCGACTGGTAAGTCTGGCTCAGGATGACTTCATGGGACAGATGTGGACCGAGTTCAACCTTGCCTATATCCGAGACTTAGAGGATGAGGTGGTCCTACACCCCATTGTGAATAGCCTGTGTCCTGAAGTGAAGCCTACGAGCGCGCGGGAGTATATGGAAAGGTTTTGGAGTTGTTGATGGATACTGTAGCAACGAGATCAGAAGCAAAGCAGTCCACGACCTCTTTGCCTGCGTCCTGATTCGGAATATTATTGTTTTTGTCTAACGGAGATGCTCGTTCGACCTCGTGAGTCTTAAAATTCGTAAGCCATCATTCGTTATAGTACGGTAGAAGAAGAGCTTTCCTGGCTGTCCTGTCCATCTAGTCGTTGAACGGGTGTTGCAGTGACAACGTGGTCTATAAAACTAGGGTATGGCGAGGTCTTTCCATCCTCCATGTTCGAGGTCATACGGCTGAAAGCAGGGCCACAAGGACACGAATTAGCAGTCGTCTTCCTCGTCTCGAGGCTCTAATTGATCCAAAGTTAGCAGGTCACGGTCAGTCAATTTAGCAGATGCTAGTCCCCTTTCAGAAGGCCAAGCTTGTTACAAGAACCAAAGAAACATTACCCACTAACACTGTCTCTATACAACTCACTCGTTCGCAGTGGCCACTCTAGAGGGTAAGTGGTTGGCAGGATGGGGATTCGAATGCCTGCCATGTTTCCAAACGAGCAGGTATTAGTCTGTTTGACTTGTTTGCTGGGCCAACACTCTAGAAAGCCTGGGAACCTTACAAATCTCTAACACAGAAGCTATCTTAATCTGTTATTTATGACTGTACAAACTCTCCATAAAGAAACATCAAGAGGTTCGGGCGGATAGTTATTTGCGCGTTTATGTTGTAACTTATCTGGCATAGATATTGAATCCTGCATTTTAACATAATATTATATGACTTTGTAACTAGGATTACATTCTATAAGTGTATTTTCATTTCTTAGGGCAATATATCCCAGGACCAAGAGGGACCGAGACATCATAGCTTAATCCATCAATCTACTTGCGTATCAGAAGGAAACGGGGGTTGCGAGGTAAAGGCCTTGAGGTCGAATTTCCTCCAGGCTTGCTATTCGAGTAGGAGTCAAGCAAAGGGACCATGGGGTAAAGTAGGTTCACTAAATTGCGTTTCCCTGAGCCGTGATAGGTGAGGTCGCATCCGTCTCGACTCAGATGAATGTTGGAAGTTTTCCTTGTACTTGTCAGTCTATACTATTTCGCTGCATATATTTTTTTTTTCTCGCCTGATTTGGATGATCGCCTGATTTGGGAATTTTGAGGTCAGACAGAGTAGGAAACCTCGTGTAATTGCCAACAACAACAAAAAGAAACTAGCAGCTCTCTAGAAAATTATAGAACGGTGATTCTGTGTATAATGTTCACATATTTATTATGTATAATTATTAGAAAAGTAGCAAATTTTCAACAACAGGGAAAGGAGAGGGAGGAGACAGGAAATTTTAGGTACGCAGAATATAGACAGAACGAAGAGAAATAAAATCATGAGATCGGAATTGCAGACATCAACTTCTTCCAACCGCGTCAATCTCGAGTTGCCCAAGTATCCTACTTGATTCCCATTAATTTCAGATAGATCAATCGACCACTGGCTTAGGCACGGAATCCTCGAAGCTTGCACCCTCCCCTTTGGCAATACCTGTCTGGTCATTAGGCTTAGGCACATCATCATCGTACTTTGCTTCATTTCCACTGGCGATTCCGTTCTCCGCCACTGGGGGTAAGGAATTCTCAAATTCTGGATCTTTGTCATTGGCAATTCCATTTTGGACAGCGGGGATGGGCACATCTGAATCGAAACTTGCGCCATTTCCTTCGGCAATTCCGTTCCCGCTTGTCGGAGGTACAGTCTCTTGAAACTTTGCACCATTTCCTTTGGCGATTCCTCCAGGATGTAGGCCTTGATTTTCCCCTGTTCCTGAACCTGATTCTGCACACCCTGAGGGACAAGAACCCGCAGGGCCCTGTTTTCCATCAGCACCAGATGGACCCCTAACGCCCTGATCACCTTGCTTTCCTTGAGGCCCTTGCTGCCCTTGAGGCCCTTGCTGCCCTTGAGGCCCTTGCTGCCCTTGAGGCCCTTGCTGCCCCTGAGGCCCTTGTGCCCCTGGAGACCCCTGTGGTCCCTGCGGACCGGCAGGTCCCTGGGGACAAACAGTACAAGGCTGTGGCTGTACAGGTTGAGGCGGAGTGACTGGTTTTATAGGTTGAGGTGGAGTGACTGGCTGTACAGGCTGAGGCGGAGTGACTGGTTGTACAGGCTGAGGCGGAGTGACTGGTTGTATAGGCTGAGGCGGAATGACTGGTTGTATAGGTTGAGGCGGAGGAAATTGCCCACCGGGAATAACCTGAGGTGGATACAGGATATGCTGCTGCCCAAGTACAAATAGCGGGCCTTGGCCCATGTTCAACATACCGATGGATGGAGGTTGCTGAGGTGGGAGGAAATTTGAAAGGCTAGGACCGCCGTGTGAACAAATGCAGGGTCCACCTTGGCCATATCCATATTGAGGAAAGAGATTTTGCATGCCACCGATTTGTTGCTGTATTGAGTTGAGGCATGGTTGTTGACTTGGTTGATATAGCGAGACGGGCGTGCATAGTGTGTTAGAGGTGCAAATGTAGGCGAATTGAGCTAAGCTCGAATCAATGAATATGAGGAATGCGATTAAGGTCGTTGAAGTCTCAATAATTCTCATCTTCTCGTTGATATGGAGAGTTAGATAATCGTGGACGTATGCTTGATTAGTAGGGCTGGGTGAGTTTGTAGTGACAGGAATGAAAAGCCCAAGAATAGTCAGGATGTATCTATCTACAGTATGTAGTAGATAAGTAGGAATGAATAGCAATTCTATAACCCTAATGGATAGTTACAATCCGGAAGCGGGTATACGAGGGTTATGGGGACCAGTTGCCGACGCGACGAGACGGTCATTTCCTTGTCCGGGAAGGCCAGATACAACGTTGTATGCATGCCGCAAAGCATCGAAGTGTGGAGATATTACAACGCTAGGTGCTGATGAAGACGGATTTAGTAGAAAGATACTCAGGCAAAATATCCATAGTGGCATTTGTGAATGTAAGAAACTGCGTAGTAGAAGTCCAATGGTACGATTCTTGCTCGGTTGCCGTCAAGAGCATTGACAAGCAATACTAATTAGTGCTATGTAAGACATATCCATATTTGTCCTGCACAGGAATGACAGGCAGCTGCATAGCCTTCTCATCAACTTGGTTGAAGAACAACTTGTTGGCATAGTCCTTGTATTTATTGACTCGTTCCAACTGCTCAGGGCCGACACCATGAGGGAAAATAAAAATCTGGGGATGAGGACCTGTTTCAAGTCAGATGGAGATTTTTATAGCATAAAGAAGGAAATCTTGCATACGTGGATCCTTGGAGTTCTCTCTGCTCTTTTTGTAATACTCCTGGTAGTCTTGCATCACCTGGCCGAAATATGCATGGGCAGTGAATGCATTCTCGAAGACTAGAACCCATTTGGGACGAACCTTCTGCCCGACACTCTGCATGCCATATGCATAGAATACATTAAGGCGACCTGCTACCAGGTCTTCCTCCGCCTTTTCCTTAGTATTCTTGTCCTTCTTTTGATTATCCTTGATTTTTTGCTTCTCCTCCTCAACTGTACTATTGTTCTCTTTGGCACGCCTTGCGGCCAGAACATCGATCTTTGCTTCGCCCTGTTGGCCTCCTACACCGACGAGTTTCTGCTCGTAGTCATTCAATCAGCTTCCTTTATCAAGACTTTTGAGTGATATTGTCAAACCATCTCTCAGTATAACCCACCTTTTGATTGTCTAAGTCAAGATTGAGAATTTGATCAATACCAAGGCCTTGAACTGTCTCGCCCAAGCCCCCTGTCGAGTGGTTAGTATGTCTTTCATCTATTCATGGGTATGAAGGTTGGAAGATCCCACCTTTTCCACCAACTCCAGGTGCAGTTTTATTAAGCCCTACACCAGCTGCAGCGCCTGTTAAACCATCTGTTGGTGGCAAACCCTGACCTATCACTACTCCAGATAGATATGGTATGAGAAGGCCAAAGACCACGAGTTTTAGGCTGGAAAGAACAGGCATTTTTCGCCTAGACGTTCTGTGTTATGAAAGGCAAGAGCCGAGGGGGGACCTTGGGATATCAGACTTCGACAGCTTCAGGATAACAACTGGCTTATAATCAAGGCAAATACAACAGCACGGTAAATGTCAATGAGCATACGCCTACTGCTTAATACAGACTCACACTGTACATTTCATTAATCATAGAATACAAACAGACGAGTCACGTCATGCAACTCTGCGAACCTTGGAATTCGATAAGACGGTAAAACAATAAAACAACTGTCAGTTGTTTTAATGTACTGTTGCCTTCCCATTTTAGGTACATTCTACGGAAAGTAGGTTAGCCGATAGGGTCTCGAAGGGGTTGTAAAGAGGCGTAGCTGAGTAGGTGCTCGAGTCCTAAAACGTCCTTTCCACTTCCACACCACCTTGCAACCGTCATACTAGTTCTGTTTTCGACAGGGCCGGCCTGTGAAAGAGTCAAAGAGTCATAGACTCGTATGATTACATGTTGAAAAAGGTCTTGGAGCGGATTTGAAAGTCGTACACAATCCTGGGCCCGTGCGTAGCCCTCGATGATGTGGATGGGAATGCAAAAGTTTAATGGAACGCACGACACGAATGCAGGTGTGGCAGCTTATGACACATTTTGACGGATTGTAACAGTTCATCTAGGTCTAATTAGTCCAAATCTTGAAGCGGATATATCGGAGACTTAGGTGGCTTCAAGTAAAGTAAAGTATAAATCGGCGCATTTATGTCAAGACAACTTTTCTTTCCTAGGCCACAAGGGTGTTCCTATCATTTCATTTGGCTGTCGCATCCCCTGCAAAAATGCAGGCCAATTTACTTTTACTATGGGCTTTTATTTCTAATCTGCATTGTGCTACTGCGCAATTCTACACTGGATGTATTGCTCCCCCTTGCTATCCACCAGCGTACGCCTCTTACTGCAGTATTGTTCCCAATACACCATTATGCCTTAGTCCTGGAAATATGGGGGGGTTCCCCCCTCCCCCTGGATGGAATGGTAATGGAATGGGCTACCAAGAATATCATAATCCGCATCTATACCCTCATCATCAAATGCGGCCACCGCCACCACCTCCGTCTGGATACCAACCTCCTTATCCTGTGCAACAACCCTATCCGCCTCCAATACAGCCACATCCATATCCATTACCACCACCGCCGCCGCCTGGATACCAACATCCTTATCCTATACCTCCTCCTTATCCCCCATACCCATACCCACCACAAGAGCCAGTTCGTCCACCACCTCCTAAACCTGACCCGTGCCCTGTGAGCCCTGAGTGCAAGAGGGGGGATAAGGGTGAAAAAGGCGAAAAAGGCGAAAAGGGAGAAAAGGGGGATAGAGGTGAAAAGGGGGAATGTGACTGTAAAATAAACAAATGAGGGATTGTGCAAAACACACAAATCAACATATGAATCTCATAATGATTTTTGCATCAGACAATCACATGTTTATTCTTTAGACCAACCGAATACCAATTAGTCTCAACTGGCCGTTTGAAAGGCAACAAAGAGTGTAAAGAGATAAAGACCGTTTTATTAGGACAATTACCCAATATCACTCCGGCACTAGCATGGTCACACATATGTGATATAAGCTATGCATAATTTCTGTCCAAATGTGCTATGGTCTGTGAGTGAGGTGATGACTTTATTTGCAGATTGAACCCTGTAAATTGCCTTTGCAGCTGCTACAATGCTGACATTACTATGATGAGTGTATGATCTAATAGAGGCTTGGTTAGTGGTGTCAGGTTAAGTATCTATACCACCGTACTTGTATAATAGGTTACAGAATAAGGTTTCCTCGGAAGTACTGTGGCTTTATTTCCTCAATATATCAGTAGTACCTCATAATTCTTCCACCGAAGAAGCTGAGTAGAGGGACATTACATGCACAATAAAAGGTCTTGGTTAGTGCTTCTCTAGAATCATGGAATGTCTAGATAGGCATGCCATACTATACTGTATTGTGCAACGGCATACCCTTCGCCGGCACTTAGAATCCAGAAAATGTAGATATGCCGTAAATTAAACTTTGAGTTGCATTGATGTTTCCTAAACTGGCAGGGTGCCACAACATTCCGGTATGCGTTAATCCGGCCTTAGCGATGCTTATTTACAACATTTCCGGCAAATCACCCACCAGCTATTAACTAAGGGTTATTGAAAGTGTATTCTAGATGTTGAAGCTTGAAACGTTGTTTACGAGGGGATCTCTATGGGTGGACTGGGCTTCCTGTCTCACTGGCAGTAGGCAGTAACGTCATTGATTTGCCGAGGACGTGAAATCAGGCTATAAGCAGAAATTCTATCAGCTTCTGATTCCGGTCATTATTTATTATCACTCATAGGTTTTTACACGGCCTGGAATGTAAAGGTGGCACGAAGGTTCAACAAATTAGACCCTTTCAGCCAAGTGACACATGAGGATCCCCATGTTGAAAGTCTTTATCTTCTTCCACGAGTGTATTTTGCACAGGCTTGCATTGCAATGCTGCTTATTTAGATTGGAAAATTTGTATTCTCGATCTTCTCTGCAGCAGTGAGACAAAATGGCCATGGCTATTTTCAGCCCACCAATTAACCCCTAGTTATGGCACGAGCAACCCAATAGACCCTGCTCTCTCCTTTATCATCTTCAAACCCTGACTCCTGCTTGTCAGAAATTGAGCACTTCTGCGTAGTCCCCGTTGGTGCAATAACTCTGCAGGTTGACTCTGAAGAGCATAGCGCAAGACATTCAAAAAGATTCTTTTCCGCACTCAGTGTTTTCACAGGGTCTTTGAGCGTGTTCTTCTTGCTTGTGCAGAAGATCTCATATTTGACGCCGCCCACATCCAATGTTGATCCATGGATATCTGGGCATTCGCTGTCTCGAGCCTTCTTTATGTTTGGTGGAATATCTTTCGATGGTCGAGCCTGCATTGCGACGGCGACTATTCCTTCAGGTGACTGGGCTGTTTCGACATCTCGATTGGGGTTCCATGTGACGATGGAGCTGCCGCTGGCGCCAACTGCTTCACACCCAGGCAGGGTGGAGCAAATGACCATAGCCTCTTCAAGATTATGCGTGTTGAATACACTGTACTTTTCCCCGGCAATGACTTGCCGACAGGTTATCTTGTATGTTACACCACCAACCTTGACTTCTCTGCCATCGGTATTTGACTTAGGCTGGCAAAGCCGAAGGGCTTGGAGCCCCGAGAGCGACAAGTCTTGTTGAGTTGTGCTATTATTAGGACGCTGGTTGTCACCATTGTCGCCATTTCCACCTTTGTCGCCTTTGTCGCCTTTGTCACCTTTGTCACCTTGGTCACCTTTGTCACCTTGGTCACCTTTGTCACCTTTGTCACCTTGGTCACCTTTGTCACCTTTGTCACCTTTGTCACCTTGGTCACCTTGGTCACCTTGGTCACCTTTGTCACCTTGGTCACCTTTGTCACCTTTGTCACCTTTGTCACCTTGGTCACCTTGGTCACCTTTGTCACCCTGGTCACCTTTGTCGCCTTTGTCACCTTTGTCACCCTGGTCACCTTTGTCACCCTGGTCACCTTTGTCACCCTGGTCACCTTTGTCGCCTTTGTCACCTTTCTCGCCCTTATCTCCCTTTGGTCCAGATGCACCTTGTCTCCCCTCTGGACCCTGTTCACCTCTTGGTCCCGAATCACCTTTGTCCCCTTTAGGCCCGGGAGGACATTTTTTGCAATTGTCATTTGGTGGTCGAGGCCAATTCAGATTTGGGAAATGGAAATGGAACCATGGATCAAATTGGTTCCCATCAGGGTATCCCGATCCTAGATAATTTAGTTAGTTCCCAGCACCCGGTGTGGATGGAGAAGGAGCCTAAGTACCATATTGATGTTCATACCCGGGAGCGTAAAAGGGAGGCCTTACACCGGGAGGGCCAAATCCATTCCCCGGCCCTGGTGGTGGATAGGTATGATAGCCAGGTTGAAGAGGGTTCCGATAACCAGGCGGATAATGGTAAAAAGGTTTCTCTGGCCCAGGATAGTACGGTGGATACATTTGATTCGTGCATGGCTGAAATCCAGCGCCACCACCATAAGGATATTGTGGACAGTATACAGGACCATCATTGCTTGTATGACAAATGTTACCTGCACATAGCCGTACATGGATTGAAATGAGTGATATCAAGGCCAGCAGGGACCTCATGGCTCAATAGATGTGGTTTGGACCAGGGAGAAATACGATAAAAGAATAATCAAATATTAACAATTGGGGCAGTACAATGGTTAAGAGAAGTAACAGTCGGATTCTAAAACAGCAGTCAAGACCTAAAGGATGACCTGATTTTCATTTTGGGCGCAGAATGCATCACTAGAAAGATACATTATGATTCATCGATTTTTGTTACGAAGCTGCAAGCAACACTAAATAAATTTATATCTTAAGAGACGTTCTTCCAAAAGGTTTTGGTGTCTGGTTGGATCCTTCCATCCCACCCAGCAATGAAACCATACAGGCTTTGAGCCCCATATTTAACTTTGACCCAGAGAATGTTATCTGAACATGCATTTACTTATGACACTGACACCCTGCGATCCCTCGCCATACCTTCTTCGCTTCTGCGGTCATACCATGGGTGGATATCTAGGTAGATGTTCTAGAGCTTAGACATGTTGTCACTATTCTATGAATCTTGCTAACTTGTTATCTCCTGATGTCTCTACTAGTTCCTACGCCATAATATTTAAACCTGTCGTCTTTCTAGAATAGACGGGCAGATCAACACTCTAGCAGCCCATCACACCAAAACCTCCTTCGTCCACCAGTCTCAATCATAAGTGGTCATTACATCAATATGCCTCAACTTGCTCTATATCTCAACTTAGTGCTAGCCTGTTTCCTCATTCATCCTGTCAACAGTGCTCCTCCGACCTTGGCGCCACCCCTCCCGGGCCTCCACAACCTTTTTACCCCATTCCATGATACTCCCGTGGCACCAATTCAACCACAAAAAGATGAGCTAGATCTTTATTACGGCAAATGCTACCGAATCGAAAACAACAAAAAGCAAAAGCTAGGCTATCAACAAGGCGCATACTACCGGTATGATGCAGACGATAACCGGCGCCCTTTCCGCGTCTGCCGCTCCACGCGGGGAGCTTGCAAGCGTGAACAAGATGACCAGAACGTCCGCAAGAACGACCGGTTCTATCTCTGGGATGGGCACGGTTCGGCCTGGTCCAAGGGTCCAACCTGGATTGGTTTCACTGGAGTGTTTTTGTATCCGAATATTTACCGCGACGTCGAGAACTATATTGCGCCGTTCAAGGCGCATCAGAGTTGTGATCGAGATGATTCCAGTCAAGGGGGTGATCTGAATGAGCAGAAGAAGAATAAGTGCTCACTTTGTGTCAATTTGAAAAACAGCTACAATAACTATAACGGGCTGGCGACATATCCCACAGGATATATTTACCAAACCGCAAATCCGTCTGATTGTGTTTATTGGGTGTTTAAAGAGGTGGATTGTCCAGATGATGATTGGGTAGAGGATGACGAAGAACTGTAAACTTCGATCCTATGTGTGATGATATGCTCTGTTCTCACTTACTATCACATACATGTTTGCTCTCTATTTGTTTGCCTGCTTTCTGTGGTTAAAGAGTTGCTCCTAGCCCCCAATCGGCAAAGATGTTGTTTGCTCTTGTAAGTTAACTCAGGCTATTCAATCCCTAGGCTAAGGCCCAAATTGGGTAACAAATATGGAATCTCATATTGTCATTCTAGGTATTTCTCTTATATCTGTTACCAGCTAGGTCTTTTTTGATGGGAAGAGTGCATTTCACTAGACTTCTAAGGATAGAAAGAAGTAGAGAAACTAGGCAGTCGAGTCCAGATATGTAGATCCTCTTCCTTATGGAGTCTGCCGCCTAACTCAAGCGACAGTAGGCTACGGGGCTGAATGGTAGGGCCGCAAGATGGAATTTTTGTTGATCAAAAAAGAAAATATAGAACAAGAATTTCCGCCTTTTCTTGCTATTGATCTATCTAAACAGAGTGATATCTGAGAAGACTACTAAAGATACTGCTAGAAAGACTACTGAAAAGACTACTGAAAAGACTACACAAGACCGCTTATGCGGCCGATTATTTTTGTGTATTGTAAATTGATAAGTACGAAAATGAAGATTTTGGCACTATACGAATCCACGTATCTCCACTTTTTGAGGACCGTGCGTAGAATTTCGTCTGAGTGATTTTGACCAATCGCAGATTTGTTCGTCATTCCTTTTGTGGAACCTAGATTCGGCCCGCTCACCTTCCAGTAGACCATCAATCAATATGGAAGATGCCAAAGAGGTCGTTGCCAAGCATCGCTTGAATGACTATAAACGATTGAAACGCGATGTGCGAAAATTCCTCGGGGATAAGATTGACCGCCGTCAGCTGCAAGAAGCGATGGATCAGATTGACGCCTTGGAAACCAAGTTACCGACGGTCGCTATCAGCACGTTGAGTGTGGAGGACGTTCAACGATCCCTCCAGCTTGAACTGGATGTTGAGGACGGAGAGATTAATCATAGGGGAAAAAGCAAAAACATACAACAGTGAGGATTCGCTGGTGGTCACCCACCCAACTACTAACTCACCGGCGTGTGGCTTAAGTACGGCTGAGCGGACGGGAAGCCCTGTTTTCCACACCCTATGGTCGTATGTATTGGATATCGAACGAGAAGAAATGATATAGCGCCAATGGTGCGTTGTTCTATAAATAATAGAAGAAGCGTCGCCGTTGTCGACAGTCGCACGGGCCTCGGCTGATCCACGATACGAAATCTTCCGATGCCATGCTGTGGGAAAAAAAATACAGAGTATTTAACCACTAGGCTACACAAAACCATGGTGGTTGTATATGTAGCCCAGTAAGGCCATATCTGCTGCTTGAAAATTGACACATGCCCTCACTTGGAAACACTCTGTCCTTTAAAACAAACATCCATCAACTAAGATAGACATTTTAGAGAGAGAAAGAGTAAAAGCATAGCCACCATATCCAGCTCACTGGCCATGTTTGGCTTTTCTCCGCTGCTTGGGGTTATCTAGGCTTACAATGTTTCCAAGTGGGAAGAAACATCCACAATGTAAGGACGCCTTTGATATCGAAAGTCTTTAGATTTTCGAACCCCGCAATCTAATTTTAGACGGTGGTCAACACATTTTATAAGCATCTCAATATAAAGTCGTTGCCTACAAGATCTATAGTCTAAGTGGGCCCGAGCACCCTTGAAACGCCATCAGGGACCAAGTTTAATACATAACGAATGGTGTTATAATAATGTATGCTGCGACCAAAGCGGCTCTAATATTACCCGGTCAGACCCACTCCCATTAACCTCCTAACCCAGAAAATAGTGGACTGTGATGATGATCTTAGAGAACATTGAACATATTTCGAGTCTGAGTTTTCATTTAGACCCAAATTCCATCCCTAGACTCTGAATACACCCTGAATACGTCGTTCATCTAAATACCCACACATATATTTTGGTTTGTAGTTTTGCATCTCGGTCAAATCCCGACATGAAAATGTAATATTGAATTTCATGTGGCTAGAATAGCGATGTTTCACCAACGGAGAATGGAGTTCATCGAGCCAACTTCGACCCATTTCTTCAAGACCCCGCCTCCACCGACACTTCCAAAAAAAGAACATGGTTAAAGCGGCGCACTTGATAAAAACTACCACGTGCACTCGATCAGTGGGATACCCCGAAGGGAGCGGGATTATCCGAAGGGTACACCTGGGCACGATGGGCTAGTTACCTCAGCAAGATCAAATCGAGCCTGAACCTTTCATGCCTACTACAATAACTAGCCAATTAGCACTACGTGACGATTTGTATAACCATGCTACTGATAGTTCCAAGAGCCCACTATGGAGAAGGTTATTAAGTTATACCAAGGCATTACCACTGTTTTGTAAAAGCTTACCTTTGATATTACGCATTTTCCCGTTTCGGTGTACTAACTCCATTCGATGGATTTGCCTGTGGCTTATGTAGAGTTCACCCCCATAAATTTCCATATAAGTACTTCAATTCGAGCGATCTTTTAAGCCAGTTTTGGTTAGATCTCGGACGGAGGTAAAGCGTTGGAAGTGTGGGAACGCACAGTGTTTACAGGAACGAGCTGTACCTGGTCCAAATACCGAAATTTCACCGTGATCATCGGAATTCTGCTTTGATACAATGGATATATGAGATAGGTCCCTATTTTCCTGTATATTCTATGGGTCAAGAAAAGTCTTTGAAGGTTTACTGTCTTTCATCACTATCCTACACGGGGGTCCCGAGGACATTGTACTTTAAAGACCATTCCTGGTATGCACTTGCAGCCAGAGGGCAAAAGGAGCATTTTTGAAAGTACAGACTCGCACTGAAGCATATGATGATTATGGAAGAAGTTATTCAAAGACCTAGATACTGTAAAAGCAGGCGTACAGGTGGAGTCCCGGCCCCCAACAGATGATTATGAGCGGTCTCTCTCCCTTTCCTTTCCTTCCTTTATACAGGCGCTGCGAGGATCGATATTCAAATATATTTACCTTAGCAGCATATCATTCAATAATCTAAGCAAATTTTGGTGTTCGTATGACGCCCATTCCAGCAAAGACAGATGTAACGGACTATCGGTCCTTTTAAGCCCCCATACAAGCCTTCATAACGTGAGCTCGGTCTCGAGGAGCTAGAGACTTGGGGAATTATCCTGTTAGCTAAGGCAATGTAGGCAACAGTATTCAACTCATTGAAACTTATAACATAACATTGTAACCCTGTCGATCACGGAATCACGGGGCGGGAGGGTCTGGCGCAAATTCTCGTATGCTGTGCCAAGAGGAATGTCTCATTCGGTATCGCTAAGGGTTATGACTTCTGTCCTCGTATTATAATCCTACTGGCAATATATGAAGAACTACAGATTTGACAGTCAAATGGTAGTCACACAATGACAATATAAGAATTGCAAAGGATGCTGTTCTAAGTGTCCTTAGAAGGACCATTATATAGGAACCAATTGCTCTTCCAGGCTATCGAGAGCAGCCATTAACACACAAAGTACATACAGTATTGCTCCGTAAATATCCACAGACTCCTTATTCTTTACACACGAACATGTTATTACGTTTTGGATTTTTGAACAAGTAGTCCCTAGCCAAACCCTAACTTCTGCCCGTCGCAGGTCAGCCTTTTGCTTCATTAACAGTCCTCTCTGCCTCATGGGTTTTGGCACTGGAATCGCATCTTATATCGCTCAACCAGCTATAATGATCATTACTTCGGGAAAAAGGCGGACAAGGTTCATTGCTGTCGGAATCCTATCACTCGTTCTCATCTTCATCATCCATCTCCTCAATTTTGCAAACTCCTTTTCCAACCCCGGCGAACTGTCCACATCGATGGACGTAATTGCTTCGTGCACTACCTCTAACTCCAAACACCTTACCGACTCTCATTCCACTACCGTCCCACAAATACCCAACGTCGTTCATCAAATATGGAAAACAACCGACCTGAAAACCTACTCGACACAAATAGACGCATCACGCGACAGGTGGGAGCACACCCTCGGGCTTCTAAACTACACAATCAAGCTCTGGACAGACGAAGACATCCTCCAACTCATCAAACGGAAATACCCCTGGCTTCTATCGACGTATGAAGCCTACCCCCAAAACATACAACGTGCCGACATGGCCAGATTGCTCGTCATCCATGCAGAGGGAGGCATCTACGCAGATCTCGACGTCTACCCGACCTCGGCTACTCAAATACAATGTCTCCAAAGCCTCAATCTAGAAGCCATATTTGCGCCAACGAGCGGTACCCGCGGACTGAGCAACCATTTCTTCATGGCGGAAGCTGAATCTCCATTCCTCCAGTGGGCACTATACGAGGGCAAGCGCCGCGGTGGTACGACGTCTCGATTCATCCCAATACCGTATCTACAAGTCTTTTGGTCAACGGGACCTACGATGGTGACGGCTGCATTTAGGAAGTATGCATGGCTATACGGTAGCCTCCGACACAGGCTCGGCGTGTTGGATGACGGATATACAAGGGAGGTTATACGGCACGAGGCGGGCAGGTCATGGCATGGATCGGATGGGCGGGCTTTGAATTATATAGCGGACCATGTAAGGATGGATAGTTTGATGGTGATCGCGGCTTTTTTTTCTTGTGTACTGGGGGTTGGATATGCTGTGAGAAGACATTATTTTTGAACTGCAATCGTGGAATTTGCGCAGTGACAAGAGAAGGAGGAACCATGTCGGAAATTTGGTGGTTTGGTTTGGCGTTTTTTATGAATTCCCTTGAGAATTCTTTTGGAATCATGTATATAGGATGGAATTGTATATTAATCTTTCTCGCCTTGGCCTATAAATTATCAATTTCGTAGCGGTTTATCATTTAGAGAGTTTGCTATTACTACTATAGGGAGATTTTTGATTCGAGGGGAAGTTCCAAGGTTGGAAGCGGCAGAGAGAGCCACAGTAGATGTAACCTGATTAATCACAGTTATAGCCCGGAGTGCGGACTAACAAAGGAAAACAGTTTAGGCTCTTGTGATCCTAATTTTGATGTTCATGTCTGAAGCGGATATTTGGAGGTCAATGGAATTTCTTCAATACGACTGGCCGCTGGGAAGGGCTTGATCACAGGCTTTTCCTCCTTGTGTGAATGACTCTCCTACTCAAATTCCGCAGTAACAGCTTGGTCGCAGTTCGACAAAGGGGTGAGAAAAATGAGTCAATTCAGCTCATGATAGCTTGATCAGAAGACTGACATGTATCGTCCTTGTTTAGGTTCGAGGATTCGAGGTTCAATGGCTTTGAGATCTGGAATTACTGCCGTTCAATAATCTCATCTGCCCGCACTTCTAGAGTGTACAGTCGAAATTGTATCAACTTTAATTTACAAGAGTACGCTCTATAATAGAATTGGTTTACAATTATATATTCTATAGTAACATGATATTGAACCAGTTTGTACTGAGGCCATACACTCCCCGCTGAACTACTTCGGATACGCAGGCGTATAGCGGCCAGGGGGGAGAAAGTCAAGCATATTCAGGCACCAATACTGTTCATTACCGAAGCTCGCCGCTATACGCCTACGTATTCAGGTGGATCTCCCGAGGTCCCGCTGGTCGTTTCTCCGAACATGTAAATTATTTTCCCTGTATCACTTGCCTAAAAACCGAGATAAATCTTTTCGGAATTGGTGGATCTTGTACGAATTATATCATAACGATGAAAATGTAGTTTTTAGACTCTTGAAAAATACAATTTTGGTGGTGTAATTTAATTATATATAGTATATACTAGTAGAGTGAAAGGGCTAAAAACTGTAACTTCCCCTAACATATTTCACAAGCGAATGGCCACCTCAAAAACACATCATAGTGAATGCGATAGATTACAACTTGCTATCCCAACAACGGTGGTCTGTATAGGTATTTCCTAATATAGTTATGCTTTTTAAGCGATATTTAGCATCTTTGCGAAATTTTAGGAATATATATACTATGTATGACTTAATGATTAAGATATATATGTTTCTAGCTTTTTTCAATGTAATTTTCGGTATTCTCTGAAATGGCGATAATGCAGCCTTCTGCCAAAAATTAAATATAAAGTGTGAATAAGTCTTATCAATGACTATCGATAAAGGAGGAGATAAAACAATAATATGGTTGTTGAGATATAAATGTAGAATAAAACATATCTATTATGTGTTTTCGAGGTGGCCGCTCGCTTGTGGTGGCCACTCACTTGTGAAATACGTTATACAAATCTGTATTTTCTGTCATCAATTGCTCTAAGTGAGAGCCATTGCTGGCTCTTGATCCCTACTAGTATTGGGGCAAGAAATACGATGGAAACAATAGAGATTCTCGAAGAAACCAAAACTTTTGTAGAGTAACCCGAAAGAGCGATACCACTGACCAACGAAGGCGGACCGAGAGAGAGAGAGAGAGAGCTTACTTAGGCTGCTGATCCCTTTGGCCAGTAAATGGCCTCCAAAACTCATGCCTCATGACGCTCCACCGTCCACTTAAAGCACTCCAGCCAGACCTTGCCAGCCGATGTGGCCTGCCATATCCCAGCACTGGGCAAACTAACTTCTAGGTTCTTGGGTTCAAGGTAAACCAGGAAATAAGCGATACTTCCAGTAGCAGAAAACACACATTTCACAATCCCAGCAGTAGAAACTGCAACGTTGTAATCCTTCCACGACGGCGTGTCCAATTCAAGCGCCCCGGCCATTATACCGAGACCTGACGTTATGACACTCACTCCTGTATCGATCAGCACCACAAACAAGTCGACGCTCATGACCTCAGCAAGTTCCTTGACCGAGGACATACATGCAGCGTAGATATGAGCAATGTTTTTGATGAGATCGAAACAACAAATCTAATCGAGGTCAGTCGCGGTAAGTGGGCGCATCGCATGGGGCAAAATCCTTACCACCTTCCGGATATCAAATGCGGGCATCTTCCGATTCGTTGGGAATGAGGCAATGGTACCAATGCCTAGACATATAGCTTCGAAACAGTCTCCAAAACCAATGTTTGGTTTTTCGGCAAGACCTTCTGACGTTATCCTTTTCAGCCATTTAATAGTGCCGATGATTCGATCGAAGACCGATTTAGCGACCAGCGCCCCGCTCACGAACGTCTTGAATGCTTGAAGGACTTTCGGGTCGACCTTGTTGGAGCCGATAAGGATATCAATAAGCCTGTCTGACATACGTGAGCCAGGCTTGCCTGACTCATATTGAGTAGGATTGTCGGACTTTTCTAGACCAGCGATAATTGGAGGCGGTGACCCGGTGATGATAGTGGTGATGGTATTAGTGACAATGCCAATGATCAGCGAGATGGCATCAAACACCGTTAGGTCATGACCGACCAGAGACTTGTATAAGCCACTGATCACAGGAATGGAAATCTTCGCGTTGCCGTACTTGGTAAAATGCTCGAGGACGAATTGTATCCCGTGAAGAAATTCGGCAGCATTTGATTTCAGAGCATCAGGACAGTTGTCCGCAAAATCGGGTACGGGTTCCAAAGCCTCACCTGATGAGACGGAGCTTTTATTTTTCCAACTATCGCTGAATGAACTAGCGAGGCCGTTGATGTGCGGCTGTATCTTTTGCGCATGGGGGATGGTGCTTTTCCAGTATTTAGTTAGCTCGGGATGTACGGGTAGGGAGCCTATCTGCATTAGCGTCAAGTAATTCTTAACTAGGTAACGAAGACCTACCAGCGTCATCTCCAGACATATTCGCCATTCCGCCATTTTTCAATCTCTCTCCGGCCCACATAACTGAGGTATTGCACGACAACCAGTCGAGAGATTTGTCGGAGCCATTAGGTGAGAACAAGTTTGCATCCACGCTTGGATTCGTGCCTTCTCTCAGATGCTTTGCAGTGCCGTCCAGCTTATCGATGAGGCTGTCGCCTGTGTCTCCAGCTTTCTCGGCCAGCAGATCGATAGAAGAGTTGATGAGAGCAGAAATTGTGTCCTTGGTGTTACAAATATATATCTTAACGTATCACCAGCTGCACATCCCACGAAATTTAAATGCAATTATCTCGACCATAAGGCCTAGTATACTTCTTCAATATCATCTTTCATACTCTCATCTACTTGCCTGTAGACTCGAACACGAATTCAACACCGAGAGGATAAAAGCCTAGATAATTATAATGTTCCGATTTCCTCTACAACTTCGCTGTAGGTTCTAGTAAATGCTTCATCTCCGAGTTTGGATACTCCACATTTTGAGACGAGTCAGGTCTCTGTCGATCCCATGCCCATTTCCCCATCAATTCAGGCGCCAATTTCCCCTCAAGCATCTGCGTGATGTACTTGCCAAGCACGGGGAAAAACTTGTATCCATGGAACGAACCACAAGTGGCGATATATAGTCCTTTGGAGGCGGAGTGGGGTGAAATGATGAAGTCCGAGGTAGTGGTGAAAGCGTCCCTTGTAAGTGTTAAAGTCAATCGTTGCGTTTTCAGGGGTTCACTAACCAGCAAATGCGGTGTTTCGTCATCTCCCAGGTTGCGCTTTCGGGCCCATACCACAGATTCCTCGCTTCTACAATATCTTGCTTGAGAGGTCCTGGGACCTTCCACTGGTTATAGTCATGCGTGGGCGGCGGAGAAGAGATGTGATGTCCGGGGAGTACTTCTCGGGTGTTTGTGAAAATTTTAGATCCCCACCACTTGAGCTCTCGGTCTTTAGTAGGAGGAAGGGTACCAATGAATGGTTTGCCTAGAAAGTGTTAGTAGCATTCAATACGAATATATCAGAAAAGCGTACCTTCAGCCGGTGTGTAGCCCTGGAAGCCAACAGGCATGTCTTTGAACTTTTTGTATTGCTCCTCGTTGAGCTGTGCCATTCCGGTCGTAATACCAGCCGCGACAATTCGCTCTCCAGCTCGTAGCCCGGGGTTGCCACTCTTGGCAGCACTCCACTCCAGCAATGTCGGTGTGAAAGCCCCAGCAGCGACAATAACATGTGTGGCTAACAAAGTCTCTCCAGATCGTGTCTTAACACCGGTACAGGAGCCTTGTCCATCGAATTCAAGGTTAGTAACGGATGCAGTGACGTATGATACGCCCAATTCTAGGCATCTTTTTGTCACTGCTCGAAGAGCATCTCCAGCGGCAGCCCAACCACTAGCCCTGTTCACAAGAACCTCTTTGACACCGGTGTAGTCAGCGTTATTGAAGATTCCTCCATAAAGCTTTCTAGCTTCGGCAACAGGGAGAGCAATAATATCATCATTGCGGCCAAGTTCCTTGTGGTTTGTGATCACATTTTGCGCATAGTCGCTGCGGCAATTCCAGTAAACACCTGTCTGGTGAAAGTGTGGCTGCCAAAGAGGATCGGATTTGAAAATATCTTGAGCTTCAAGAGCAAGTCTACAGTAGACCTTGTCGTCGTAATCAGCACGGACGACCTTGTTCCAATCCCATGATGCAGCCACGCGCGACTCAGCATCATATGCATCCCGATCAACCAGAGTTATAGATGCATTAGGATACTTTTGTATGAGGTGGTAGGCGGTTGATACACCAAAGACACCGGCGCCGATAATAAGGTATGAGGGATTGCTGGCCATTTCGAATATGACCTTTCAAATTTCAGGACGTGACAGATGTGCTATTGGAATTGAGAAATTAATTATTATTGAGCGAATCCCAATTATTTATCTATGAATCAAGAGTCATGTTGATTCCAATGGACGGTCCGTATCGGGCGGGGGAGCCGATCGAGCCGGTCACATGAAGTCAAATGCCCGACCTTTTGAAGAAAAATAAGTAGTAAATGGCAAGTAATATATCAAAGGTTATACATCGAATATATATGACAAGGGTAGATGCAGGAGCAATAGCAATGTACGATAATTAGTGATTGCAGTTCAATTAAAGAAGAGTGAGTAGAATATTATACTATATGCGCCACCGAATTTGCTTTAACCTTCAATGCAAGCTTTATGAGAATGCAGACTTCATCGATCCTTCTACGTATAATCGTCTAATAAAGTAATTGGACTCTTTTAGGAAGGCACTTATACTATTCTTGATATTATATATTGTCAACATTAATTATCCAATGCCAAGAGATAATGTCGTGCTGGTTCACGGTCCGTCCACGGTCCGTATCGGGTTGCCGCTAGAACACCCGGAGAACTCGATACCATATAGTCATTCTAATTTCTTACTGGACATATACATTAAGTGTTATCACAATAATACATATACTAAGCAAGCTCTACTTCAATTGAAAGAAAATTTTATCCTAGAAGCAAAGCAAATCTATGCAATCACAGCCTCAAGACGGGCCAGAAGTTGTCAATTTGAAACCTAGCATCAGCCACTTACAGCATTTCTAATACAAAGTGAGGATGTAGTACAAAGAAATGGTAAATAAGAATTTGCTAGTCTCAGACTATATCTTTACAAAATCCATCAGATCAATGGCTATGTTCACGTCCTGATGTACAGCAAGATCCTCCCATAGCAGCTCTAGCCATATTTGCACGACTCAGCTGACGAGGCTCACGAGGCTCATAGACAAACTCAGGTTCAGGGGCTGCATCTCGGGGACCCTTGCCGAATTTTCCTCCCTTATTATGCTTGACCTTCTTCTTGTAGATGGTATTGAGCCAGTTGGCTAGACGATAGCCAGCCTTAGCAACCTGGATCTCAATCGTACCGGTAACAGAGTTGTAATATTCCGGATAGAGATCGCCAGTCTGGAGGGCAGCAGCTCCATCGGGCATGACAACAGTGCAGATATAGGCATTGGCATCCGCCGCCCATCGAGTAGCAGTCTTGATAGCATTACCGATATCATCGCCTTTGGTCCATTTCTTAGCCTGCTTCTTGTAGGCGCCGGACTTAATTTCATCGACCAGACTGTCAGCCCATCCCTTTGCATCGGCGAGCGAACTACCGCCAACCAGCTTTCCAGGAATGTATGTATCCCAATCGGCGTGAAGGTTGTCAGTGTGGCCGTCGAAAACGACCTCAATACCGTTTCCGCCAACCTCGTAGTTCTCGTCGTGCAGTGGCTGCGCGATATCACCAATGATGTGCACGAGGAACCTTAGAGCTTCGGCGGTTTCAGCGTTGTTCAGTTTGGGATTGCCTGCACGCTGGGTGTAATTGGCAATGGCAGAGACTGAACAGCCTTCAGCTGGACAGTCGCGCTCATAATCCAAATTGCAGCTTTTTGGGGGGTCATCCATGGCATCGATGTAATGCAATGGGGCTGACCATTCGCCCTCATCTGTGCGGCGATAGCTATCAGCCCAGGAAGCAATGTTTGCCAAGTATGAGTCGGAGGTGTCGTTTAGAACAGTTTGTGTCCTTGAGATAAGTTAGAATACTCTTGTTATAATGAGGCTTATGAGGACCTACCATTTTGCGGCTCCAGGGGACATGTAATGTTGTGCAACATAAGCCACAGCTGCATGGCCCAATTCACCCCATGCATTTACCCCATGAACCACCCCGAAGGTGACGAAAGCAACTCTAGATAGCGACACCATTGTTGGGAGACGTTTGAGGGAGTCTCGGTATAACGTGATGTCTATTTATGAAGACCATGATTGAAAATCTGACTGCATTATATAGTTTCGAATGCCGGCGGTTTCCACTTGACGCGGGTTACATTGTTATGGAGCTAGCCGTGTTACCACAAGAAAAGGAGCCTTTCATAGGCTTGTCAGGAGATAACAACAGAATAATTGGCAGCAAGGGATGTGATTCGCGAACGAAATTGCGAACTGAATTGCGGGGTCGACACTAAATACCCAGGGCCACCGGAGTCCACCGGACTTGAGGCCCAAGCAGCTATCTCGGGTTTCTGCCTCTAATTTGCAATTAATGTAATAAATTGAGATAGAGAAAGGGGTTGACACATAAACGTCTGGGAGTAAACTGGGGAATTATTCAAACAGACAATAAACAGTTATCTTAGCAAAGACGTGAGATCGACAAGTTTAATGCTGCGCTGATGTTAGTTAATTCAGTCAGCATATAAAATAAAACACAAACGGTGAAGAAATGATACTGCGAAACTACAGGAATTCCTGCACACGGCGTGACTGGCTACAACAGTGCAATTGATAATGGTTAGCTATGTGGTAATAAACTCCTACAGAATGGTCGAACCAGGTTATACGATTGTTATCTCGTGAAGTGCCAGGAGCAAAAGACTAAGGTTCCAAGTCGGCACTTGGAACTGTACTCGCTATATAAGGCATAGATCACTGCAAGTATTGTTTTATCCTACATCTTCCCCTTCTCTATGAATAAAAATTTTTCTTCTATTTTTTGCTTTATCAGCTTCGCGTTCCCGCTAACAGACTACAAACAAGTTTCTATAGTGCTAATCAATGGGGGATTGAACAAAAAACATACAACAGTGAGGATTCGCTGGTGGTCACCCACCCAACTACTAACTCACCGGCGTGTGGCTTAAGTACGGCTGAGCGGACGGGAAGCCCTGTTTTCCACACCCTATGGTCGTATGTACTTGATATCGAGTGTGAAGAAATGATATAGCGCCAATGGTGCGATTGTTCCATAAATAATAGAAAGGAATGCACGATAACGGTGGCCATGGAGTCACGTCTTCCGTACTTCGCCTCACTTGTCAAATTCATATGTCAGATTGTCGGACCTGCATTTTGCTGGCAGTCTAGAGAGTTTGGATGAAGCCGGCATCATTTATTCGGCAATTCTTTGGTTGTCATAATGTGATGTTGTAGCTCCTTTTGACGTCCTGTCGCATCATCTGACGATATGCTGATTTTCCAATCAGATGCCGAACGGGGATCCAAATGTCCATCGTCAAAGATCACATCGGCCTCATTGTCATTGTAGTAAACATTAACAGCAGTGGTTGGCCCTTCTGGGTGTGGAAAAACGACACTCTTAGAGGCGTTTGTTGGTGCGCGGGGTATGCCGCACATTTTCGTTGGAAATTCTCCAGCTCGATCGGATTTGCGAAATACTTCTAATATTTCTGCTCAAATTAAGCCGAAATTGATTGGTAGCTCTCCCGGTGTTTCTGAGTAGGAGGATGAAAATGATCAAGGATCTGACAAAGTGTTAAAAGGTACGGAAGCGACGGAGGTAGCCTCCATGGTGGGGAGGTGTAAATGGGGGAGTTCCTGTGATAGATGTAAGGACTCGGACATGTTGAAAATATGAAATACTGGGGATAATCCATAGAAATAGACTGAATTTCCCTTACAATCTTTACCTGCATAGTTGACGTGGTCATGCATGAAAGGCTGAAAGGCTGTGTGGAAGGTGAGACACGTGTCTCACTTTATAAGTAGAGCCTCACTCCCCCAGAGTAATCGACCTAAACTCCCAACTCCAAAATGTCTGGGCTCGAAATTATCGCCCTAATTCCGGCTATCGTCTCAGCATTTGGGACAATCTCAGTAGAGTACAGGGACTGGCGAAAGCGACGCGACGATCGCCGCAATAAGAGCAAGAACGTTGCTCTACAGAAACTCCTAGCGGGCAATGGGGAGACGGTTCAGAATGAATACGATGAGGATCTTCGACTCCTCGGCCCAGTTTTTCAACGGGGCGATAGTAGGGGTTTCTCTCTTTTGTTCATTCTACTTCTCAGAAAGACTTCTAATATACTGACCATCCAGGCACTGGACGAGAGTCCCTAATGCATCATCTCATTATACTCCAGTCGACTGTTATCTCGCTCATGCGCGATCGGCATAATGACATGTCCTACCTGAGCCACCCGAACCATGATGCCATCAACAACACCACGAAATCGACTCGGAATGGAATCGTCAACACTCTGTCAGACCAATATCAACGTCTCGCACAGGCAAGGCCAATCGCACGATTGCCAGCCCCGGCCACGTCCTCGGCCGAAAATTGCTTCAATGACCTCTCCTGCGCCACGTTCAACACCATCCACAACACATACAAATGCGATGATTGTGGGTGGGGTGAAACATACAGTAAGACAACGGAGTATGTGAAGACGAAGGATGGTCAGCTACTTGATATAGAGACGGCCCTTGCTCTCTTCCATCATCGAGAACCATACAGGAAGGAGAAGAACGTGTTCCGATGTTATCTTTGTGAGGAGACTATTAATCTGCCAACGGGGATGAAGGGGTGGTGGTCTGTGTCTCTAGAGTCGGGGAGTGAGAGGTACGTTTTGTTGAAAGAGCTAGAGAAGCATGTACGGAGGAATCATTATTTCGAGGAGCTTGCATAGCTTTTATCTTAGGGACATTTCAGATTCCTTCATCTTTACCTTAAATAGCGTGTCTCGTCTTGAAGTGGTTTATAGTTCCAAGTGGAACTGCATAATCATGCAGCAGATCAGCAGATTCTATGCATCCGACGGTAGTCATATGCAGCGACCAAAGCAACAACATGAAAAGCACCACCAAGCACAGCAAATATATGCCAAAGCTGATGTGAATGACCCCAAATATCAAAGGTTCCTGGGCTCAATCTCTCTGGGAATCGACATACGAAAACCATCACTCCGGCCAAGAGTGAAAGTGCTTCTGCCAGATACCACCCCGCCCCAATCTCATTACTCGCACGAGTCCAACCCAACTCGATCACACTTTGGAAAATAGGCAGCATGGCAGAGATAGCAAGCAAGGAGAAAACACCACCTCGCAGTGTCCTCATTTTGTTGCCTCCACCGCCGGTGTCAAACAAAGTGATGGCAGCGCCAATCGCCGAGAAGACATTCAAGCCCCAATACACCCGCTGAATCAAGGGTCTGCAATAAAATCCGTAATAGGTCATGAATGTACCAGCTCCCAGTGCAAGAAAACAGATGCCGAGAATATCCATTTTGCCCCAAAGATGATGGATATTGTATGAGTGGCTTCTTAGGTTGTGAAATCCAGCGCTAAGGCCAAAGCAGATGATTGCCGAGGTCAAGAAGGACCCGAAAGCAAATACATCGCCGCGGGTGAAATTGGAGTCTTTCGAGAGCGATGCAGAATACTTCAGAGTAAAACCAACAGCAACGAAAGCCATCGAGCCTAGAAGATGGATCCAGATATTCATTGTCTCCATGTGTAAACAACGCCACAGACGCAGTGATCGTTTGTAAGAATATGTGGGCATTGGATGGCCATCCAAAATGTAGTCATTATCACGCAGCCATCCTGGGAGCTGCTCTTTGCTTCCAATGGCTGGCCAGTCGGGGTGATCTGGCTTGGATGTGGTTGAGGTCTTCAACAGTTGGGAGTCTTTGGACGGGGAGTGTGTCATGCGTCGGGGCATATTCACAGTCTTCCAGATTTGAATGTGCCATGCAAAAATAATGGGGATCAATAGGAAGATCGAAACTCCTAAAACAATTTGAGTGGTGAAACGCCCTTGGCGCGTATCTCTCAAATTTCTAAGCCCCCTCTTTTTCGCGTGCAACTCGATAGGCCTGATCAGGTTAAATTCTCATAAATCACCTAAAGCTAGAAAGGGTATAAAGTACAACCGTTTTGAACGGCCTGATCTTCCATATGCTATGAAGTTTATAACACTAAGTGATATAGCCAATAAATCAAAGGTTATAGAAAAGTTCATTGCAAGAATTTTCTGACTTTCTTTTGTATAAACCTGACATCTTCACAGAATAATATTTAATACCACTGAAAGGATATCACACTTCTGTGGCTATTGTACATAATCAGTCTAAGGGAAAGTAGTTTAAACTGCTATCACAATGTTTGTCTAATAGATCTATTGATAGTTATGGGCATCACAGGCTTGGGGCCTAGGTTATTAGGCCTATCATTGCTATTTAGATAGCTTTTCTGTAGGAATCAACCTTCTTCTCCTCTCTCTTCTCTATATAGTCACCAAAAGCAAGGACATAACCCCTTATACTTATACAAATCCATGGAACTTCTCTCACTTTCTCTTTAACAACTTCTTAAATCTCACTGCTCTATATCAACCCTATACCAAACACAAGTTATAATGCTGTTCCCTTTGATCCGCCAGCCGTTAAAAAGCGGTCTGATGTCCCTACAGACAGAGAAGCCATCTCTTCGCAGTCCAGGCTATATTATATCTTATTGTCACCAATCTTCACCAGACCAGAGAGACGCAGATATTGAAGGGAAGAATATCAGACTTGGAAAGAAATGTTATGTCCCCGCAACGAAAGGAAACCAAATGAAAACCACATCTGAGAGTCTATCAGACACAGAACTTGATGGATTACTGGGGATTGAGATAATATAAGGACAAACAGGGTGGCTTTGAATGGAGAATATGGTTTTGCTTACTCCCATTGTTATCCAACACCAGATGGGTTGGCTGGGTATGCCTATAATTTCTTACAGCGTTGGTGTATAGGCTTTTCAATGTTGTATTTTGTTTGCCTATTCAGAAATATTTGTGTTCGGTATGCCTGAGATATTCATATTCATGCATATAGTGGTTGCCTACATACTCACAAACGCAAGTTCCCTAGGTCGCACCTTCTCCAAGCAACCTCAGGGGAAATTGTCAAATGACCTGGGCTTTCCTTCTTTCCTTCTTCTCTTCTTCTCTTCTTTTCATCTCCAGATTTATTTTTTTTTTCATGACATGACATGACATCTTGTTTTTATCCCATCTTTGCGCAGAAGTGTGTGCCCTGACAGGGAACCTGTCATCTGGTCAACTATAATCGAAGTGCGTACAGATGACAGGAAATCTATCACAGATCACAGAAGCTGTCATTGACTAGGGACACGGACCGAATTCAGAAGGACGGCAAGGCCTTGGGAATTTCCCACAACGAATGAATGAAGCAGTTTGCAGTGTCCTCTGGATCTCTCTCCGGCAAATTCGGCTCTCTTTATCGATGGCTGTGTCTACAAACTGGCAAGTCAGCATCGCTCATTGCCCTGGCTTTCGGGTTGAATTACTTCGCTATCCTGCGCCTTCTACAAAGGGGCAGTCGGCATTGCTCATTGCCCTGGCTGCTTCTACAAACTGGGAGTCAGCATCGCTCATTGCGGCTGCTTCTACAAACTGGAAGTCAGCATTGCTCATTGTACTGGCTGTCTGGATCGAATTACTTCGCTATCTTGCGCCTTCTACAAAGGGGCAAGTCGGCATTGCTCATTGCCCTGGCTTTCTGGGTTGAATTACTTCGCTATCCTGCGCCTTCTACAAACTGGGAGTCAGCATCGCTCATTACCCTGGCTGTCTTTACAAACAGGACAACCCCTTATTGCCACCAGTACCCAGAACAACCTGCATGCCATGCAGGACACAAGATATCAGGCCACAATGAACATCTTTGGTACCTCACTACAGAACAAGCCGTTTGCCAATGTCTGATGACAAGCGAGATAAACGACCGCCACAAGAAGCCCCCCTGTCGTTTTTCAACGACGATTGCATGGAGTGGCATGTGCTGACATCCAAAGCAGAAGCTTTCCGAGACTCCAAATCGAAATGCCATCCACCACGATCTACCCTCAACTCCGCGTCATGGATATCAGCTTTATTGTTCAGTAGTCAATATGAAGGAGAAGGCCCCTCTCGGTGATGGCGAAAGGAGAAGAGCGAATGTGAGGGGTCTATTTAAGGAAGCCAGATGGCGGAACGGCCAACTCTGCCGAGCCTTCAGACAAGAAGTCCACTGCCGAGGAACCACTCAATGACTTAACTTTTACACCTCGGGATATACATGTACTAGTCAGGTTGACATCCAAATGAAAGTGTAATCATTTTTCAATTCCTTCTATCCACTCGCAAAATCCTATCAAATTCTTCTAGCGCTGCGCAGAAGCCTCAGCCCGATCCCGAACCGACTTAGCAACAGAAGGACGTTCCTGCACCCGCTTCAACCAAGCAGCGACAGTGGGGAAATCCTTATCCATATCAAGCTTCTCATCAAGCTCATATTGGATAGCACACACATACCAAGGAACGAAAGAAACATCGGCATATGAGAACCTGTCACCGACGAGGTACTCCTTCCCTTGCAGGGCGCGTTCAAGCACGCCAGAAACACGGCGGATTTCATTGAGGTAGCGGTCAATTGCGCTTTGCACCTTCTCCGAGTGGTAACGGGCGAACCAAACAGCCTGGCCGAAGTACGGACCTTGACCAGATACCTGGAAATGGAGCCATTGTTTGGCGAGGTAGTATTCCTTAGAGCCTGCGGGGAAGCTGATGGTGTTTTGCTTGTCGTATGTTTCAACCAAGTATTCGACAATCGCGCCAGATTCCCAGAGCGTGATGTTGGTGTTGGGATCTTGGATTGCAGGGACGCGGCCGTTGGGGTTGATGGACTCGAATGGCTCTTTCTTCATATCTGGGAAAGGGATGATATTGTGCGTGTAGGGAATTTTCAGCTCTTCCAGAACCATGATCACTTTCCAGGGATTGGGGCCGGGGCCATGGCCCCAGACGGTGATGGGCTTGAGAGTCATTCTTTTTGGTGGGGTGAAGGGAAATAAAAAGGGAGGAATATGAGATATCAAGGGAATTGGAATACTCTTAAACTATTCCATTCTTCTTCCCCACATGGCACAATTCCAAATCAATTATTCAGCTTGAGCCCTTCATTGGAAGGTTGCAAGGAGGTGCTTTGGTGGAACCTGATTACAAATGGCCTCTCATGGCCCCCGGTGCAGAGAGAGAAACTCCCCGAGCGCGGAGTTGAATTCCTCCATGTCATTGATAGGCAGTTGAAATGCTTCATGTTCACCGATAGGGACGACCAGTGTTGTTGCCAAGCTGTCTGCCATGACGACGGGTGGACCCCGACCCCCTTGGTAACCACATCATTCTTCGTTCTTCCACCTAGGCACGGTTTAGCATGTCAAAACTCATAGTAGTATGAAAGAGTCTCAAAGAATTCGAAGCCCAATTGCAAAACTCGATGTTAGCATGAATGACCACACTGCATTGATACTTCGGCTGTTTGTGACTCGAGGGTGTTAGGACATTCCGATGTGGATTCCTCCATCACAACTGTGCGAAATCAGATGTTGGATTACAATGAAAGGAGTAGTTGGCCACATAAGCGACCTTGTGATGTCTTTTCAGTACTCTTTTCAGTGTGGTCTTCTTAAATATCACTCTGTTCAGATGTGCGAGTTGTATAGGTCGACGGCAAAAAAAAGCGGAAAAAGGCTTAATTTGTATCAACGACTTTGTATAAACTTTGAAATCGCAGGAAATAACTCTTTCTGGCATTCGGTATAAAGTCTGACGCATCAATGGCTCTGCGCCCTTCTCAGGCCTTGAAAACGAGTCAACTGCAGTATGTTCGTAATAGTGGGAACCATGTGGGTATATATACTGCATCCAAGACCGTAGGGCGTGTTTTAGAATGACAGAGATATCGAGGGGAATAATAATTCCGAAAAGTCTAAGTACGAACAAGGTTGACAAGCTTGATCGGACTCGGAGCTCACCAATTCTCTGTCTGATGCTTACATAGCTCTATAGAATCTCAAGGTCTGTTCTATAATTAATCAATATAAAATTGAATCTAAAATAGCATATAACATGTGATAGATTAAAAATCAAAAAAAATCAACCTCAGTGACCTGAAATTTTAGTTTCGGAATAAAAAATCTACTTCGGACTAGATATCGGACTACCCACACAATGTCTATGCTCTACTCCGAACACCGTACTCCGGAGTTCCTAACTAAAAATATCGGTCAAATCCTATCCGAATCATCTGTTGATCTTTTGCTTTCAAAGAACTCCATCCTTTTAAGCTTTATCGGGAAGCCGTAAAAAGCCCCCGCGCATTGAGTCATCTCAAGCCCCTTCGTAAATCATAACGGCTAAGCCGCCAAGATTCGAAGTTCTCGTATGCTTGGAAATCAAGATTAGTTGATTCTCAAAATCTAGATACCGATGCAAAATTTGTCGATGCAAATTTGTCCGGCTTCAATTTTCCATCGGTTTCACGGCAGGCCGTTGATAGCCGACACGGAAGACTATCCTTGCACATTAGCCACTCTATATAGTATCCTTGACATAATATGGAAGCTTTTTTTATGCGCCTAGATCATCTAGATCGCCCATCTTTAATTCAGATATTCGGACACGATCTAGACTTCAACTCCGAGATAGGAAAGCATCATGTCATAGCCTCAACGCCTGTAACACGTGGTAATAAAATTTATACGAAAACTAAAAACCGCGCCCTGTCGGTAGAAATTCTGAACGTGGCAGTCTTTACGAGGTCCATATCGAAGGGCGTGCGAATGACCGTATTAGGATCCCGCAGTATTGGGGATCATCATCTAAGTAAAAGATGGACACGCGTACCATAGAGAGTACAGGGCTTTGATTTCTAATATATTCAATTTTCGGTATTCATATATTTCATTGGATAGTTCGAAGCAATTCGTCAATTATTCTTAGTTTGTCATCCCAGCCTCTAACCTCATATAGTCCCCTGTTAGTAAAACTTCAACTCCGAACTTTACTCCGAACACTAGCGGATCCACACATCAGGCTACGACTGACGTCTTAGGCTATTCCGTGTGGATTTTATAGTGTAAATCTACATCTGATGTACAAGGGCTGAGACGGTGGGTCTAGGCATGAGATTTTTTTTTTCGGAATGACATCCAAGTAACGGAGTAAACGATGAGGCGACCAAATATCTCTATATAAAGACCAGATGATATCCCCAGAAAGAAACATTCATTCCATTGCAAAGCATCAGATCCCAAAGATCAAAAGTGACATCTTTCTCACACCTCACTCTCGAACTATAAACACAAAACCAACTTATACTTCGGTATACCACCAAGCCTTCAATCCTCAAAATCCTCCAAATCATTCAAACGAGTTCAAAGCCTCAATTCTCCAAAATGTTCGCCAAATCCTCCAACTCGTCTTCCAAGACCACTTCCAGCGCTGCCTCAACTCACTCCACCGTCTCCACGGCCACAACCCTCAATACTCGTGACGCCAAGAATCACAAGTGGTACTCGCTCTCCAAGTCCGGCTCTGATCCCAAGGACGCCGCTGCAAAGATTGAGAAGAAGAGACTGCATAACGAGGCAATTGCCAACTACCTCAGCATGCGCTAGGTTTCGAAATGGTTGCATCTACTTCGATGTCGAGTACTACACCTCGATCTACTCGTGATACATGAGTAGATATCCGGGACTCTTTCCTGCTTGATTTGTGGGATTGGGAATAATGATCTTGATTTCTGGCATGTTTTCGCTTTCGCTTCAACGATGGAATGATTTGGATACCACATACTTTGTTTAATAATTTGTGATTTGGATTTATGTCTATGTTTTGTCTTGAACTGTTGTTGTCCGGGCTATTTGGCTGGTTATATATTGGCGTTTCAATATGCCTGGAAATAGAGGAATATATTTTTGATTTTTGCGCATTGTCTCGTCTCGTTCAAGTGAAGTTCGTATTTCTATTTCAAATATTCATCAAGTAATTTAGTGTGTAGTGTCTGATATTTAGCTCATAGAAGACAGTAATCATCATGGAAGGCATGTAACAATGCATGAAAGAAGAAACTCCACAATGACAAAACGCTTAGAGGCAACAAACTATATGCATATATTACAACCCAGCCATCAACTCTCCCATAGATATGGGTTTCCGCACTGCATTCGAGAATCCTTCGTGGAAAGTAACCCAGACTTTCCGTCCAGCCTTAGACGACTCATCAGCCCAGGTATCTGAATTGTTTAGATCATTGGGCTGCGGTGCAGGCTGTACAATCGTTCGACCAAAGAAGTCGCGTTTAACAGCTGCATCCTTTAGTACTTTGGCTGCGGCCGTATCGTCGGAATTCCTAGGACCCTTGCCGCCGAGTCTAGAGCTCATGACATCAGACTGCTTGCGCATCGTCGCCTTGCGGTACTCTTGATCTAACACCTGGCGGACGGCATACCGCACCGGCGCTGTACCACCCGAAGCCTCGATGGTGCTACCTTTGATCTTCGAGAAGACCACAAGTGAGTCGATTGGTCTGTTAAGGGTATATTAGCTTTGTATGTCTCATGGGATAATCAGGAAACACTCACGGTTCCATTCTATACGCCCATCCACCGTGGCTTCCTTCATGTTCCACTCGAACTTTTTCAAAAGTCACGCCCATCCCGGTCATGACACGCACTGTAGACTGCACAAGCGCACGTTCAGACTCTTTGCGGACAGTGGCAGTGCTTTTCTGCTCTCCGTTTCCACGGATAATAACCGGCTTGACGTCTGGTGATAGCATGCGGATCAAGTAAGGGACTAGATCTATGATTATACTTTCATTCGACCGGAAAAGACGAGCCATGGGTGCCGACAAGGAAGCGTGGAATGCGGTCATGGCCGCGCGGTTCTGCTTTTGCGCTTCGAATGCAGCAAAGTCGGCTTTGGGTCCTGAGAAAGGATGAGGCTCTTCGAGTTCCTCGTCATCTTCGTTCTTGTCATCCTCGGTGGTTCTACCAGTGGCAGTGGCAAATAGATGATGGAATGCGACAACGGACTGGCTAAGGTATGGAATCAGTTCCCACTCTTGGGATGAATGGACTTTCGAGCTGACTGAGTCATGGAAATGAAGCCAGTCATGTGCAGCGTTGGGTTTGGAGAAATAATTATCATCCTGGTATTGCTGGATAGGATATGAAGCGAAGCAGTCCGATACACAGCGGTCATGATCACCATTGGAATCGATCATTTCCCGCAATCGGTTGATTGCGTGTCGCTTGCGTAGATCAGCCACGCCGACAGGAACACGGCTGGTGGCGGTATCGAAGCGATCTTGGAAACTCATGCCAACAGGAGCATCTGAGAAGCCAGCTCCCTCTGTGAAAACACGGTTCACAATCTCACGGACTCCCCCACGACTTAACTCTTTGAAGAACGCGCTACCCTCAGCCGATGCATTGAGGACTCGATTCTCCAGCCAGTTCCTCGTCAGTCTGAGCGAGGATGGCGACTCGTTTCGAAGCTTGTGCGCCACGAATTCTGCGGCAACAAGCACGCTACGAATATCGCCCTCGGCAGACCCTTGGGTTTTGGCATTGCGGTTTTTTCTGCTCGCCATGCCCCAGGCTGCTTCACAGAGCCTTCGGGCTCCATCACTGTCACACGGGATGCCTTCGCGGCCGAATATACCCTTGACTCGTTGAACAACATTCTCCAATGGTGCCTGGCGGACAGTGATCATCTCTGCAATGGATGATGCCCTGAGAGGCCGGAGACTGCTGTGGTAGAGGTCGTTGCAAACCAAAATCAATGGCCGCATGAATCGGAAGTTGTCACCCTTGCGCTTCTTGCCCTTATTACCCTCCGAAGACCACTTCGCGTTCCGCTGGTCAAGCAAAACAAGGTCAATGAGGGCCTTCATAAAACCGCCCTCACCACCACTTCCAGAACCACCAGTGACACCGTCGACTTCGTCCACCACAACACACACGGGTTTACCGGCACGGCGGACCTTTTTCTCACCGACCTCCACGTTCATGCCTTTGACGTTCTCCGTTCCCAGCGCATCACGGATGCGGCCTTTGACCACATCCCTGCTGCGGTCATCACTTGCATTGATTTCAAGCACTTCGAAGCCAGCCTGTCTGGCACATACGTGCGCTAATGTCGTCTTTCCAAGTCCTGGAGGTCCACTCAGTAAGAGAACCTTTCGATGGATATACTCTTCTTCATCCTCCTTGGCAGGTTTCTTCGCGCGAGACTTGGCCAGACCAGGGAACACAATTGACTCCCATCCCTTGAGCCAGCGTAGGACTGATCGATGAGTGCGTTCATCTCCAATGAGATCGGTGAATTTACGAGCACGGTATTTCTCTGTCCACATCGCAGAGTCTATCTTCTTCTGCTTTGAGCTAACATTGTTCGCTTCGATGGTTTTCTGGACTGGGGGTTGAGGAACTGTGGGTGTGGGCTCTTTGTCGTTGGCGGCATCGTCCAACAATTGATGGATGTCGATACCGTAATAGCTCTTCGTAGCTTTTCCAGGTTCTGTCTCGGACCGACTAGCAATCATTTGTTTATAAGAAACGGGTGCCTGGGTCTTCCTTTGCGGGACATTATGAGTCTTGCCAGCACAGGTCTTGATCTGGAACCTCTTAGGGGCCGTTGGAGCGGGTCGAGGTGTCGGTTGTGGTAGTGTTCGTGAAGAGCTAGGTGTAGCATTTGTCGTCTCGTTCAATTTCGTAGATGCCGGCATCCGCGCTAGTATACTAGGGAGTTCCGCCGGAGGCTCCTGGAAGAAGTGTTCGGGCAGGTCATATTGATTCTTCGTCTGCTCGTCCCGGAACGCAGCGAGGTCGTCTTCTTCGTCATCGTCATCGTCATCAACGAAGCCTCCAACCATGCGCTGGCGCTTAGGCTCCTTCGGCGGCACGCCTGCCTCCGCATTTGGTACTTTTCTCTTATGCGAATCGTTCGTCGCATTGCCAGACGTGGGTGCAAGCGCGTCCGGGGACGCTATAAACGGCATTATTGAAACAGGCGGCGAGGACGGCATAAAATTGGGATTTTGAGTAGGAGTGCGAGAAAGTGGTCTCGGAGTCGTAACGTTCTTCGTCGGCGTATCTACTATGTGGCTGTCAGTGTCACTATGCTAGACAATGCGGGCTTGGGAACGCAAACTAGGTCGTATGTCGTCTTCGCTGCGAAACACATCAGATAGATCCCACGCTCTATGTTGGATCACAACTCGATTGCGAGTTTGTTCGCGACGGTCGAAGTGGATTGCCTCGATATCGTCGGAGAATGATTCGGAGGGCGGGTTTTGGTTGCCAAACCCTTCAGAGTGGAGGTGAATGGCAGGATCAAATGAGGATAGAAACGATGGCGAGGATGGAAGCATTCAAGCGTTATATCTCATGTCATTGAATGGTCTCCGATGTAATTAATTCCCCTCTGATAGACGCGCGACGCGTGCAGAACGCGCTAGTCCGTTTTTGGCCGCATAGTCCTTTTACAGGCTCTTCTTCAAGGCCATGTCTATCTACAAATGTATTTAAGAAGTTTGATTGCTAGACTGAATTCTTTTGAAATTACAGCTTGAAGTTTAAAGCAGTCAATTAACTCCCAGGATATTAAAATCAAATCAAAAATGAAGGAAATTTGGTATTGTAGACCAAACCAATGTTGGTTCTAGTCCTCTAGTCAATGGTATACTGTACGGTTCATTTAACAGACAAAAAGGGCACATGCATCAACCTGCTCAATAGGTTATGATACAAAAGAGAAATCATTCGTGCGACCAGATTAGGCGTTCTTGACCTTCTCGGTCAGCTCAGGCACCTTCTCAAACAGGTCACCGACGAGGCCAACATCAGCAATCTGGAAGATGGGGGCCTCGGGGTCCTTGTTGATAGCAGCAATGACCTTGCTGTCCTTCATACCAGCCAAGTGCTGGATAGCACCAGAGATACCAGCACAGAGGTAAAGCTGAGGAGCAACGTTCTTACCAGTCTGGCCAACCTGCAGACTGTTATCGGCGAAGCCACTGTCGACAGCAGCACGCGAAGCACCAATAGCAGCGCCGAGGGCATCCGCCAGCGGAAGCATGACGCGGTCAAACTCCTCCTTGGACTTCAAGCCACGGCCTCCAGACACGACGCGGGTGGCAGTGGCAAGTTCCGGGCGCTCTGACTTGGTCAATTCCTCAGACACCCACTCGGTCATCGCGGGGACGTTAGGGTCGGCTCCGTCGACGACCTCGGCGGAACCGCCCTCAATCTCAACGTCCTGGAAGGCTGTGCCTCGGACTGTGATCACCTTGACGTTGTCGGTGGATTGGACGGTCATAATCGCATTTCCGGCGTAGATGGGGCGGACGAAAGCTAGATGGTGGTCAGTGGCCGGATCACATGTCAAACTTCTTGCTCGGCTTTTCACATACTGTCCTCGCTCTCGATGCCGGTGATGTCGGAAATTTGCTGCACATCCAAGAGAGCAGCCACGCGGGGCAGCAGGCTCTTTCCGAAGGCAGTGTGGCCTGCAACGACGTGGGTGAATTCGCCCTTCTTAATGTTCTCGACGAGAAGAGGGGCATAGTTTTCGGGGAGGCCCTATAGTGCAAGAAATTTAATTGTTAGCTCAATTTCATCCTAAAGTAATTGATTTCGGATGGTTTTGGCATATATACCTTCTCGTATGCGTCATTATCCACGGCCAGCACCTTCTCAACACCCTTAATCTTAGCAGCCTCGGCAGCCGAGGTGCCCTTGACACCGGAACCAGCAATGAAACCCGTTACTGAGCCACCGAGCTTCTGTGCGGCCGCAATTGCGGACAAAGATGAAGACTCCAGCTTGCCATTGCGCTGCTCTAGAACGGCGAGGGTGGAGAGGAGGCGGGCGAGCGCCGAAGAAGCGGGCTGGCTCAGCTTCCGGGTAGGCTGGAGCTGAGAGCGGGCAGCCCGCAGGACAGAGTGCCTAGCGATCGGGATCATAATGACAACTTGGTGGAAAGATTTGGCGTTGTTCTTCCAGGTGTGGGGAGAAGAGCAAGATTGAAGCTCGGCGATTCACGGTGATGTGACTTAGGGTGGCTATCGTCGGGATGCCAAGACTGGCTCCCCGAGGTCGGACTCGGTTAATGCGGTGATCATATACAACATTCACTCCTTGAAATGATGCATGCGATGGCGATGAAAAGAAATTAATATAATACTCTATTGTGTTATCTCGATGTTTAGATTTGGCTACTGTTAGATTGGTTTCAATTACTGGCACAATATAAATTGTCGGAACAATAGACACGTGATATTTTGTACGCCAGAAATACCTTTACATGCAGAAAACATTAAGAGCTATAACCATCATGAAGTCGACTTTCTCTTCTTCTTGCCACCAGTCTTCGTTGCGGTGGGCTTGCTTGTGTCGCCGTCTTCAAGAGCCTGAGCCTTGAGCTGCTGGAGCTTCTCTTTCCGCGCGGCCGCGGATGCAGCCTCCTCCTCATCTTCTGTGGACTTGGTCTTCTTGGTCTTCTTCTCCTCAAGTAGCTTGCTGTCTCCAACAGACTTGCGCTTCTTGGAGTCCTTGATGGCTTCAGTCTCGGGGGCAGCTTCCAGCACATTGGCATCCTCCACCCACAACTCATCAGCGAGCCAAATAGGCAGGGCCATGGTGTTGGCACCCTTGATGTGAAGAGCCTTGATGTTTCTCCAGCCCTTTGAGACGAACTTCTCGGTCAGACCGTTGACAACAGCGGCAATATTCTCAGACAGCTGCTCGGGTGTGAACTTGGACGAGCCGACACGGACGGCAGCGGTGGTGGATGGTGCGAGCTGCACAGAGGCGCAGTTCAGGGTACGTTCGATCTCCTTGGCGACAATAAGAGGAGAGGCGAAAGAGGCGTGCTTCTCTTCCTTGGAGGAAGAGTTGGGCACCTTGGGGTCCTTCTTGACCCGCTTGCCATCCACCTTCTCGATCTCGGCAATACGGATGGGAATTGGACGCTTGCTAGACTTGTAGAAGATCTTTCCGAGAGTCTGCACCAGGCGCATGGCGATACGGTCATCGGCCAGGAAGACATCGTGCTCGGCGAACAATTGGCGACGGCTCTCGAAGCTCTGGTAGCGGGCCTTAAGTTTAGAGAAACCAATAACCTTCTCGATGCGGGATGAAAGACCCTGGGGGAATGATGGGTCGGCAATGATATCTTTGACGCCACGCTGGGGATCGGCAGTGATCAGACAGATGCTGAGCGAGGGAGATGTGTTGAGAGAGTGAGGGATGCTGATTTTTCCGGGCTTCAGGCGGTTCTTGTCGACCACATGCTGCTTGGTGGTGAGAACGAGCCAGATGGCTTCATTCTTGGTCGCGCCATCCTCATCATCGGAGTCATCGTCGCCAATTAGAGTCTTCTTGGTGCTGGTCTTCTCATGTTCCTGCTGGGTAGACTTGATGTGCTTCAACAACGCGGTGGAAGCTTTGAGGGCCTAATTGAGGTAAGATAAGTACTTTGCGAAATTGGATCTTGAGGGTCATCGATACTAACCTGGGGCTTGTCAAGCTGGTAAGGGGAGCCCGAGGTCACCTTCGAGGTGAGTTGAGTAGTAGAGGAGCCCATTTTAGTAAGTTGTACACTCGATGAACATCTCCAATTTTTTCGCAATCATATCGGGACTCAAAAAAATTTCGGAAGGCGGTGGCAGTTCATCCGTTCTTGGCAGTTCCAGACCCCAGTTGGTGCCTGAGGCCTCTATCGTGTCTTATCGAGCGTGATCAAGGGCTTGACTTAAGAATTGTTTTGTGACGAGATTCACTCTAGGCACATCGAAATATGATGCTAGATAAATGGATTTGCACCCATTTTTTACCTTCCAAGTGCAAATATTGATTGGCATATGAATAGAGGACAAGTTGACCTCGTTAGCTTCTTCGGTATGTACGGATATCTCATATTGAAATAGGATGCCCCAGAGGCTCCTAGCTAGGTCTCTCAAAAGACTTCGTATCCAGAGGCAAAATAAAAAAAATTAAACAACATCACGATGGAATGGTACCGTGACCACTGGCAGTAAAATTTATGCCCAAACCAAAAATGAACTAGAGTCCGCCAATGTACTGCCGACTTGAGCTCATTACCTACTACACTTTGATGTGAATGATAGATAACCTTGGACAGGTACGCCATATCAGTTTCCAGCATAAAATCGTACCACACCTTCCAGGTACTTTGAGAACCCAGTTCAGAGGCTCTCCTGTAATGACACTGGTACTCCATATCCAGGGCAGATTCAATCGTCTAATGAACTAATGGCAAGGGAGTGATAGCGACATATGAGATCATATGGCACGACTTATATATCTTATGGGTAACTATGGAGTACTCCGGAGGGAGTGCGGCTAAAAGTCTAGGGGAAATACTGATACAGTGGCTCTCCAGCCGCAGCTTTACGGGTGGTCACCTTTTGCACTGTGTCTCTGGATGTGAATGATTGTTGGGTACCATTTTGGTAGTTATTGTATCAAAGGGCAATCCCGAAGGGGCGATGAAACCCATGAGCGTGTTCGGATGCGTTACGGGATACGGAGTACGGAGGACATACGGATGGAGTATGCGGCTGGGATAAGCTTGATAGTCCCAATTTTACAACATAGGCCGTTTCAGATTATCTAAAAATATGCATGGAGTCCTCCCTCACTTCTCCAGAAAATGGAATCTCGTGAAAATCGCCACCTTATAGAGTGCCAAGCCCTAGAGTCCATCGCGGCTCAGGTAACTATTTATAGGCAACTGGGTTCCAAAGATATCCGTGGATCAGACCATTGTACAACATAATATATGTTGATAGGTATACTAAACTACTCTGTACGGAGTAGCTCCATTGAAACTATCTAGATGTTTTGGATTTTGATTTAGCGATGTTGGGGTGACTGAGAAATTGCATGTCGCACCCCATAATGAAATCAGAAAACTATGTGAAATTAAATTAATTCATATGATACGAACGGTGGTCCCGAACAGCCGAACCGTGAACAGTCTCCGGTTTTAATGTATAAAAGGAAATGCTTGAATGTTAGCACAGATGATATATATCGGAATAGCAGTACTTTGTACTCTGTAGTTACATATATATAATGTTCGCATGAAGTATATATATTATCAGGAGCACAAGCCTATCCCCATATACAAGTGTCTTCAAATACCTGAATCTACTTTTAAGTCGAAAGGAAAAAGGAGTTCGGTTAATGAATAATACAATTGTTGCAGCAGGCACCAGCTAAAACAAAGTTGCGTAATATGGAGCTAAATACGGAGTATTCGTACCCGAAAAGGCAGATTTGATGCCTATGATTGTTTACGTGAATCTGTATAGGAACCGTTGAGTAGCGCACGTTAAAGACTAAATCATGCCTCAGATTTCTTGGCCGAACTTCGTATGGAGGAAAACGTGGGCAATGCCGAATGTTTGCTATTTCCGTGGAGGTAGTATTGATACAATATTACATTTAGCGTAATTTTAGTGTTGTTCTCGAGTCTGCTAGAGCGTGCAATGACGCGGACAAGTCCGGGCCGTCCACACGGTAGGATTAAGATTGCTGTGGATCGGCAAGTCCGTTGACTTGTACTCGGTAGCTTGCCTATCATTATTCCACTGATAATCGAAAAGTGGATGGGCGGAGCAACTCATGCTGGAGAGGAGTATGGAGATTATGGAGAATTTAAAATTTCCAAGCGTGGAGTCGTCATCATGCAGACTGGGATGGGAGCTCAAAGAGTATAATTACCTCCTGACTTTTTTAGGATATTCGTACATTATTATGGAGATGGGCTGATATTTAATTTTATTATCACCATCAGGTCAGACCTGTATACTCCGTATTGGTAGGGAATTTAAGTCCAGAGTGGAATACGAACCGGACAACTATACGCCACAGGGGAAATCTCCTTGCAACTGTAAGTCTTGGAAAATCTGGGCGGGTTAAGTCGATTTTATCAGGGGGTGACAACGTTCCTTAAGTGCTCTTCCAAGAGTCAAGGTGAAAGAAAGTAAGTTCAATAGTGTGTTCAAGTGTTCTAAAGTACTTTCAAGAATAAAAATGGGAAGAATACTTACAATCCTGCCATACTCCGGTAGAATCCATAGGTAATATAAAATTCGCTCACCCATGGATACGTAAGGAATTTGGTCAAGTAATCTGATTGGTGTACCTGAATTCTGGAGCCCAAACAAGGGCAATTCTTTTCTGTGATTGGTTCCCCCTCGCAGTTTTTAATTTCATTTTGTTGCCAACCTTGGAAGGGACCAAAAAAGTAAACAAAAAGAAAAAAAAAAGGGAACTTGCCTCATAGCAGTAGGAAAGGACTGGGGAAAAGATAAGTTAATATTATGTTATTTTAGAATATTTTTTTAGGAATATCATATTAGATATGCCAAGCAAGTAGGGGAGCTCTGGATTGTCCAGACTCTGTCTAGGGTCCACCAAGAGGCAGTGTAAGACAGGTATCTCAAAGCTGTATCCCCGTACCTGCCCCTTTTCCCGTGACAATCACACTAACGATATTTGGATATGGAACCAATCGACCCCCCTCCTTTTTGTCTCTCCTTGCCTTCTTCTTCCCCAGTCTTCGCAACCGCAATTTTCCTTTCTCGAAGTTTTCCCACACCCGAGGGATTCGTTCTCTCTACATTCATTTGAAAACCGCTGTCTTTTACTTTCTACGACAAACGCGCCCTTGAGGTATGTTCTATTTCCCATTTATCTCTATATCATATCGCGATCTGGTGTGGTCTAGATTGTTATATCCCGGAATGTACAGACCATGCAACACAACATACACGTTCTATGGCAAGGACCCGATCGCGCACTGCTTTATATGATGTACAATCATGGGAGAAGAACCAGACATTGGACTGAACGCAACTAACATTTAATGATCAGCAGATTTCCTCCACAATGAAGTTCCAGAACACCGTTGCCGTACTGGCGACGGCTGGCCTCGCCGCCGCTCATGGCCATGGCCACGGTCACGCCCACAAGCGCGCTACCGAGACCGAGATCGTTTCAGTCCCTGGCCCAGTTGTGTATGACTTTGTTGTACTAGATCCTTCCAAGGCCGACGGCCCTCAGTCCATCACTATCGAGGAGGCCTGCGAAGGTCTCGCAAACCACGAGCTTGAATGGCTGGGCTCTGCTGTTGCGTCTGCTTGCCCATCTAGCACAACCACCTCCAAGACTACGACTGTCGCCCCAACAACAACCGTTGCCCCTGCCATCCTCCAAGAGACCTCGGCTGTTATCAACCCACCCAGCACAACAAGCAAGGCCGAGCCCACCTCTACCACCACTAAAGCCGCTGCTCCTACCCACAGCTCTTCCAGCTCCGGTGCCACTGGCCTCACCGCCGAATTCCCTGATGGAGAGATCTCCTGTGGTGACTTCCCTTCGGATTACGGTGCCATTGCCCTCGACTACCTTGGTCTTGGTGGTTACTCCGGTATCCAGTATGTCAGTGGTACCGCTGAGGCGTTCAGCGAGATTGTGACCGCTATTACTGGTGATGAGTGCCACAGTGGTGCCATGTGCTCCTACGCTTGCCCACCTGGATACCAAAAGTCCCAGTGGCCTACCATCCAGGGTGCTACTGGCCAGTCTGTTGGTGGTCTCGAGTGCAAGCTCGGCAAGCTCTACCTCACCAACAAGAATTACAAGCAGCTTTGCATCCCTGGTGTTGGTGGTGTTCACGTCCAGAACAAGATGAGCCATAGCGTTGCTGTTTGCCGTACTGATTACCCTGGTACTGAATCTGAGACTGTTCCTCTCGCCGCCTCTCCTGGTACTATTCACGACCTGACTTGCCCCGATGGTGACAGTTACTTCGAATGGAAGGGCAAGGTCACCTCCGCCCAGTACTACGTCAACCCCAAGGGCGTGTCCACCGAGAAGGCTTGCCAATGGGGTGATGGCAGCGAGCCCATCGGTAACTGGGCTCCCATCAACCTTGGTGTCGGTTACACCAAGAATGGCAAGTTCTTGTCCATCTTCCCCAACAGCCCGACCACCGACAAGCCCCTCAACTTCAACGTTAAGATTGTGGGTGACAACCTCAGCGATGAGTGCCGTTACGAGGATGGCAAGTTCTACGACAAAAAGGGTCTCATCCCCGGCAACAGCGGCTGCACAGTAAGTTTTTCGTCCCAATCCCTACCGGTTTCCAAATTCTGTACTAATGATATATCTCCCTAGGTCGGTGTCACCTCCGGAAAGGCCTACTACGTCTTCTACGACTAAATGTCGCAACCGCTTTTTGGCCGCCGGCAGCCCTTACACTGCCAAGCGAAACTCGAACAGCTTCCCATGCTCGAATTACACTAGGGCGAGCAGAGTTACCGCTTTCATTCCGATTCCCTGTGTGCATTTGTCTATATTCACGGCTTCTTATTCGAAGGATCATTATTCTTTTCTGTGTATCTTAAGTTCTATTTTGTCTGTGTGACTGGGCTCGAAATCCAATCCTCGTTGCATAATTTTTGTTTTTATTTCTTATGACCATATTTTACCCCCTGGTCAGACATTGATGGGAGCGATATCTTTTTTTATTTGATGGCTAGATTTACCTTCTTTATTTTCAAGTCCCAATCAGTTCTTGAGTTTGAATCTATCCCTCGTTCCCTTCCCTTTCATTGTCCTGGTGACTGGACCCATGTTTTTCTTTGGACTCTTGGTGACTTGTTTCATCCTGTGCTTTGATGTGATATGCTCAAGTGTCCGGGTTGAGAGGGAAAATATGGCAAACAGCTGGTTCTGTAACAGTCGGTCATCGGCTGGCCGCTCTTGACTTGCCCTGGTATCCAACCAGGAGTGATCTAGTCCGCCAGATATGCACTGCCTGTCTCGATACATCTTCTCCATCCTTCGAATGATATTCTGCAGCTTCCTTCCATCATTCCTCCATGATAATAGATCAGGTGCTACAGCTAGCTCCCTATCCCATCAGCAGTTAATGCAGGGGGGATCGGCTACTTAGTGTGGCGGCAAGCGCTTGTATGTGACATGTCGCGTACATAATGAAACGCGATGCACAACCCCACCATGTAGCTATACCATGCATGGCCGCGTCGTTGCTTCTGCCTCTACTCTGTATTGCAATACAAATAAATCTTCATCGTATACATCGCAACTTGTTTGGAAGGAACTTATCAGGTTATATAAACTTTGTGTCAATCACGTGCCAATATATATAGCAGCAAAGCCCTAATAGATTATGACAATAGGTCTTGAGGAATATACCGACAGTACCATTTACACCGCTAAAGTAGAAATTCTATTTTGATATTATGCGAGAAGATTAGATCATACGATTAGGTTCGGAAATCTATTCACCTAACGACATGCATGAACGATTTCATGCAAAGCTCAGAACAAACCTTCACGCCACATAGATGGTGTACTTGACGATAGGCGATGCATTTGGCAACATTCCCCAGAACAGTCCGGAGATCTAATCTTCTTATTTGAATACTGCGAGTGAAGACCCATCTAGCAAGTCATCCATGATCGGCCTGAGAGCTATCGCTAGACGCTATCTTTCCTCGGTGATGTCATTGCTTTCGATGCGATAACTTGTTTGCCTGCAAAGAATTATGCAGCAAAACGTTAATCTTCTTACTAATTGCCGGTCAACACCGAGAACCTCGGGAAGAATTTTGCTGGTGGTTGTCATTCCCGGTGATGGCTGGGCTATGACATCGCTTACGACGGTCATCTTTATTTCTCGATGTGCTAAGTGTCTGGAGTTGAAAGGGTATCATCTCAACTTAATACCATATACCAGTATTCATAGTTGGTCTCGGGGACTGAAGAAGAAGGAGGATCCGGAAAGGCGAAGTCGGATGTGAAACGGCACTGAGACCAAGAGACCGCATGTTGAAAGCTGGGCTGAGGCAATTTAGTAATGGTTATGTTGTCACTAGCAAGGCAAAAAGTAAGTTGAAATAAAATGTCCGATAAGAATATACGGTAGGTCCAAGAAAGGAATACAGAGGCAATCATTGATCATTTCGACAGTCCGGGGAGGGAAGGGGTCAACAGTTCGATCCAATTAAAATACACTATGGAATTGGAGTGGAAATGGTGCTCAATTACGGAGTACGTTTTATTTGCATTACATCTCGTTATGGTTTAATATAATTTGAATTTTCACAATGTAACTACCGTTTTATATAACCGTTGGACCATGCGTTAGACCTATATTAGGCAAGGGGATTTGTACAGGCATAACTCCGCAGCTAATATGGAATCAGATACAGAGGGAGATTACTTTAAGAAGATTTTTTGGAGCTTCCCAGCCTTTGACAAGACCGGTGAGGTTAGCTATGCTGAACATACCAGAAAACCAAGCCCGAGGCCCCACTAGCACTTGTCAACAAAAGACCTAGAAAAAACTAGGGAATTTTGTTATCTCCCTTTTTTGGATGTAAATTAGTCAGGATTTTTGCTCATATATGCTTTTGGAGTAGAGAGAAAGCTTTTGATTCATAAAAGGGCCCAAAGGTATCAAGGTCAGGCAAATGGCTGGGAGACGCGACAAAGTGACCGGTGATCAATTTGACAGTAAGGTGGGGGGTTAGGGGTTTGCATTTTCTAGGAATTTATTGTATACCCTAGTACGGAGCACTACTTATAGTACTTCGTACTAGAGTAGAGTACACTAGCTAGGTATGGGTTTAGTGATTAAATGTCATCATTGGCTTTTGAGATTTAAATAGGCCAAGAATTTAAGATGGAAGACATGTTACACTCATTTTTTTTTAAAATCATCCAAGGGGTTATCGGCTAAATAAGAAGCAAATTGAGGTCAATACCATTCCTGACACATCCTTAAACCCGTTTACTGTCTCGCGTGTGGTCACGTGTTTTGAGACGCGGACGCGCCGTGTATAGAGTCGAATTAAGAAGAAACAAACCTCCAATTCGCGCCTTTTCACGTTTTTGTCTCTTAATTTACAAATCACTATTTGTACAATAACTAGAAGCAGCTATTGAAATCGCGAACTTGAAGTGGAGTGTGGTTGGCGCCTATTGAACGCGTCTCGGACTGTAAGCGTGCATTTCCGCGCAGGGTGGACAAGACGCCTCCGCCCCAGGGCATTCCACCACCACACACCTTTTGACCTTTTTCTTCAATGCTTCTCCTCCTTACTCCTTGACCAATTTCTTTCATCCCACCACACCCTTTTCTTTAGGGGAGGCCTTGAAGTCTTTCTCTTCTTCAAAACTCTCCAGCATCTCCTCTGTGTTCCTATAACACGCGGAGACGCGGGTCCTCGACCTCGACTCAGGTTTTTTTTTTCGTGAGTAGGAGAGCTTGACTTCGTCCCATCTTTTTACTATGGAGTCCTCTCCGTTGAAGAGCCGAGTTGGCTCTGTCTTGGGCATGAAACGTCCTGCAGCTTTACTGCCTGCCTTTGAGCCGAGCTCGTCGCCCTCCCTTCCTCGGCCCCAAAAGCGTGTAGCACGCGAGCCAGATGTCTCGACCTATCCCACCCCGGTCCCGACCTCGTCGACTCATATCATGTCCTCTTCGCCTCCTCCTCCTGGTGTCACCGCCTCCCGGCCCTCTCTGCCACGATCCTTCTCTGCTGCCCTCGAACGCGCGCCCTTGTCTGCCGTACCCGCGATAATGCTGTTGGAGAGTGGGGAGCCCATTCTAATGGGCAGATCCAGTGTCTCTTGTCATCACCAGCTCGCTGCTAGTCGGATGATCTCTCGTGTTCATGTCAAGGCTACATACAAGCCAGCTCCGAACCCGTTCGATCGGGATAGGGTTGAAATTGTGTGCATGGGATGGAATGGGATAAAGATTCACTGCCAAGGGAGGAAATATGACTTGGCGAAAGGCAAGACCTTTACCTCGGACATCAAAGATGCAGATATCATGATAGATGTGCATGAGGCTCGCGTGCTGGTCCAATGGCCTCGGAGCGAACGAAGGGACTGCCCCTCTACAGACTCGGAACAGACCAGTGACGAAGCAACACCAACCCAGCGACGCCAATCCCGACGAGAGCTGCAGGAAAGTCCGCTCCTGGATCGTCAGCGCCTGGCATCGCCCGTCTCCCCTTCGCCTGTTGCTCAGCATGCCATCCCCCCATCCTCGCCAATTTTCACACCTTCTCGTTCACGTGCTGCGGTGGTAGTGTTTGAGGATGAGCCATCTCCATTGAAGCGTCACAACACCGTCACTGGGGTGGTTTCCCAGAGTGCCCGTCGTGCTACTGCTATGCTTCATACCTCGCGGGCGAGCGAGTTGAGTGACCTGAGCAAATCTGAAGAGTTCTCCGACAATGACGAAGAGAATGATCCTATCATCCATTCCTTTGGGCCATTCGGAGAGAACCTTCTTCCTCGTATGGCTTCTTTCCGGGCGGGTGATTCCCCCGCTCACACTGCTCGCTCTCCTCGCAGCCTGCTGCCCGCCCAGCCTCTCCAGCCTACTCGGTCCCCTAGACAGCCGGCCACCGTTCACGAGGACAGGGAGCTCGAGACTCCCGAGGCCAAGCCCCAGTACACCGATGAACGGTCCGAGAGAGTCCGCAACCACGCTGCCAACCAACTCGCCTTCTCCCGACTGTCTTCCACGCCCTTCTCCACTATTTTGAACAATCTCCCTCCCGCGTACTGGAAGTCCGGCCACGAGTACCCGACCGGCCTCTCTAGATCTGATATCCGCAATATTCTCGAATCGACCAAGTTTATTGGCAGAGTTGCTCGTGAAGGCAAGGATGCCGCCGGCAAGCCACTTGAGAGTGAATATTACTATGTTCCTGATGAGGATGACGATGCGATGCGCCGATCTGCTGTGGTGGATGACCTTCGGAAGCCTGGCCTGCGTAACTGTCGAAAGCAGCACAAGGTTAGTACCTCCTCCATACTCCCCTATACATCCATTGATGTACTTGAACCTCCACTAACTTGTTTCCAGCAATACTTCTGGCGCAAGCCCAAATGAATCATTGACCGAATAAGTTCCTATGTCTTTCTGCTGTCGGATGGACTTTCTCAGTACATATTTCCAGTGATTCTTTGTCTCCCTAGCTGCTAGGGAGACCCGCATAGCGTGGCGTGAGGCATACCCTGTTTTTAATCTAGTATCAACATCCTTGCTTTTTTTTGGCTTTGTTTCTGCTTGGTCTTATTTCCTCTTTTCAGTATTGACGTGTATGATTTTTGGTCTCCAAAAAGCGCGTGTATCTCGTTTTGGTGTGGCCTTGGATACCCCGAAGTGGGTT